CGGGCCCCTCCCTGGCTGCGCGCCTGGTTTGATGTTCTGAATGGTCATTGTTTATTTAAGCTTTCGTTCGACATGGCCATGCCGCTAACTTAATATTTTCCCCGCTGCTAGTGCTGCGGGAAGGACATCACAGCCGTGACGAACGTGAAATTGAGGCCCACAGTGGGTTGTTGCCGTCCTGGCAGGCTGCCGTAGCGGAGAATTTTAGCCGGAGGTGTGGTTTGAGAGGCCGGTTGAGGGAGTCTAAATAACGTTTATTTCCACCGCAGTCCCCGACTCACGAGGAAGAGGTAAGCCAAGAAAAAGGGACGGGGCCACCGGGTCGGCGCGTGTGTGGTGCCCCGCCGCGGTCCCGTTCAGGCGGCACCGTACCCTGCCCACATGTCTGATACCTAATGAGGAGTGGTCTGAGCGACCTGAACCTTCGCTGGCTAAATCTGCCACGGCCACGGTTTGGATTTTGATCTACTACTTGGTGCTTGAGCTGCCGATAGCTCCAGGCTAGGAACTTTGGCTTTAATATCTTGCAAAGCTAACTCGGAGGACAAAACGGTCTGTGTTGTCTTGGTCTGAACGAGAGAGAGCAACAGTGAGATGTTTATCTTCTGGGCGCAAGCCAAATTCATATGCAGAATCAAAATATGCTATGACAAATTATCGGGGAGGCGATTTCAGGCCTTTGACAAAAGCAGCCGCCACTGTTTTGTTTGGTTTTTCAAATTTTGGGTTTGGGGTGTCCCGTCTCACCCGGTCAAATATTTTGTTTTTTGCGAATGCGATACACATACGCATCTGCAAACTCGTAAGAATTTTGTATGCAGGCCATCAAATCCTGCTGTTTGGAGGAGACGGGTCGGTCGGCGTGAGTGCGTCGACAAGACGGGTCGCAACAATATCAAAAGACGGGACATGATTTGAATCATGGAGGTTTCGAACCAGTTCTCCCTCACTGCCCTGCAATTTAGATTTTGCTCCTTTTAAAGAAATGACTTTTGGCCAGGGCCCGAGAGCGCTTGTCTCACACATTTCCTGAATGAAGTCTTGGATGGGGAAGGAACCATCATACACAGTCACAAAGGAAGACAAAGAATGAATGTTCAAGTTCGCGACGAGAGATGCAGCAGGAGTAGAATTTGCAGATTGATCTGAAGGAAACATGACAATTGCAAGAAAACAAGCTAGAGACTTACTGGAACACTGCTGTCACCAAATGTCGTAGCGGAGAATGGGAGCGCAGGAGGTGTGGTTTGAAAGGCCGGTTGAGAGAGTCTGGATAACGTATATTTGCGCAGCAGTTGCCGACTCACAAGACTGCGGTAAAACGACGGGGAACGTTCCCTCACGGATACATGCATCTCTTCATGAAATGACAGGACGGAGGGTGCAACTGACTTGTTACACCACGTTGTTGGTCGCGCAGCTTTTACTGAAGCCTGGCGAGCTCTGCGGGTAAGCGGTGGAGAATCATGATCCAGGCAAATGGTAGAGGATCGCGATCCAGGCAAATGGCAGAGAATCATGGGCGAGGCAAGTGGCGGAAGGTCATGAGCCAGGTAAATGGCAGAGGACAATGAGCCAGGCAGGTGGTCATGAGGCAGACAAAAAGCAGAGAGTCATGATGCAATAAGTGGCGGAGAGTCACGATGCAGGCAAGTGTCGGAGAGTCATGTTGGGACTAATGGCCATACTGAGCACCGGGTGGGCAGCTCTGTCAGATGGTAGTTAACTGGAAGGACAACACAGTTGCCGGTCGTGTCAGAGTGTCAGTGTCAGTTCAGTTTTTACCGCTATCGAACGTCAAATATCCGTGCTTTTCTATGCCTCGACTTGTCCGTTGAGTGGCGTAGTCGCGTCTGTCCGCTTTTTTCAAAAACCGGATTATCTTTGGACGATTTATTTCTTAATTTTGGTGGGCGGGGACAGGTATGCCTGTTTACAACTACGTCAGCCACGTCATCCTAGGCTTTGTACTGCCAAAGCGCTTCTATAAGCCTAGGACGTGTCTTGGTGCGTGATTTGCGCTTCGCGAGCAGTGCTGACTTCGAAAGGCAGAAAGTCGAGTCCAATTTTGCGTCGTACAGAAGCAAGCTGATGGTTTTAAGGCAGAAACCAGTATGTTATCAACCACGTAGCGGAACAGTTAAAACCAAGTGTGTAATCAGAACGTTGCTGGCGTCGTGCGCAGATCAGCTCGAAGGTGACGTTGTTTTCAGCCGTCTTCGTGCTTTAGGTGCCGAAGTAGTTGTTTGCTCTTTGACGGTTTTGAAAGCACTATTTCCAGACACATGGTCGTTTTCGTGCGCCCGCCGTCCCGTCGCCTGCAATAGAAACTAAGTCAACCAACGCCGCTCGATAGGAAGAAGACAATGTCTGGCATTTATGTTTTTCACTGATCGATTCTGTAGAAGAATAAACGTCCTCAGGCAAATATGTGTCTATATCGGTGTTCCCTCAGACGCGGGAGGCCCTCTGACCGGGGCAGGGCCCAGGATCGACGCAGGGGCTCACACTGACACGGAGGCAAAAGCATTCCTCACCGGCTTACCGGTGGCTTCCAATAACTGACACAAGAACCCCAGCTTGACTTATCAGGATCCTGGCTGGATAAGGCGGAGGGCCCTCTCGTTAGGCACCGGGTCCCTGACTGAGGCTCCTTCACTAACATTTGTAACATCTCCCTTCATTGTCAGAGGGCCCCGACCAACGCAGCAGACCATTTGACATATGAGATCCGTCCCTTTTTCTGTCCAGCAAATGTGCCCCTGGTTGACTCAGGGAACCTTGTCGACACAGAATATCCTGTTCGGCGCTGTGGGTTCCTGACCAGCACCGGTGCCTCTTATTGTCTAACGGCCCCCGGCTCATACGAGATGTCTTCTGACTGGCATTCGTGGGCCCGAGCCTTACCTATTTTTGGGAGATGAGTCCTCAGACCGACACAGGACCGCCTTCTTGGTATCGGTGGTCTCTGATCGCCATAGAGGCCTTCATCGTCCCAGCGAGCGCATAACGACCTCTGACTGACGTTGGGAGGCCCTGTCTTGCGGGTCTGAGCCCACATCCATCTGGCCCTTGGGACCCGTCAGGCCCTTCAACCAAACCCCTAATCGTCGCTTTCAAGGCACTCTTTGGGCTCCCCGAGACTTAAGGGGAGGGGGGGGGGGGCAACTGCTCCCCGTGACCCCTGCCTGTGTACAGCAGCATGCCGCCGACGACGCGACCATTTCGATGCCCAGGTACTTTGCCAATGGCGGCGCTGTAACCACTTGGGCTGATGCACTGTAGCCACATCAACCACTTAAAAACAGCTATCATTAATCCGGAAGAGTGTGGGTTAGCCCAAACCGTTTGTATCAAGCTGTGTGCACTGTGCCGGGGCTGCTCTGTAGTGAGCGCTTAACGTACTCTTCCTGGTCCGCACACCCGTGCCGTGTGGCAGGCGGAGCAAGTGTACATTAATATGAACCGCGATGCATTGATGATGCCAACTGATGCAATGTGATGTTTCGCGGTAACGGCTGGCGCGGCGCGCTGGCCAACGACGCAATAACATAACACTTCGTTAAGACTGATGCATAATTACCTGTTAGCGGTCAGGGGCGTAGCCAGAGACTTGGGCAGAGGGAGGAGCGCACAGGATTGCCGAAGCGTTCCCTCTTGGTGGAAAGCCCTCCCCCGAAAAGCACTGGGTATGGCGCACTTGAGTTCGAGAGGGCATCATTTTGTTGAGAGGCTTCAGTTCGGCTTAACGGACCCCTGGCTGAAAAAGGTAGAAAGCCTGTTCGGTACTAGTGTCCCGACTGACATAGGGTCTTTCCATGGACTCATGGACTCTGCATGTTCCCATGTTTCCTCTCATTGTAAGCGGACTCCGACCAAGGTGGGAGGCCCTCCGCCATTGGTGTTCCGTCCATGTCCCTGTTAAATAAATGTTCCACTGTCTGACTCGGAGCTCCTTGCAGACACAGAGGCCCCTGTGAGGCACTGTGGACCATGATCAAGACATGTACCTCTCATTTTTTTTTCAGAGGTCCCGATCAATGCAAATATCGGGCACTAACCTTGTCCTTTCTTGGGAAATGGAACCACGAGTCTTAGACCGGCACGGAGCCCACTGTTCGGTATTGGTGGTGCCTGACCGACGTCTAGGCCTTCATCGACTAAGGGGGGCCCAATTGATAAAAATGGCTGTCTGACTGGCATTTGAGGGCCTGGTGCTACAGGTCGAGCTGCTAATACAACCTCCGGGCAGTCCTTTGGGCCCCCTCGAAGACTGTCCCTGGATGACCCGGGGTCGTAATAGTCGATCACGAGGGCCCTTCGGACACCTCGTGGGCCCCTCAAACACTACCACTGGCCGAATCGGGGCCAATTACTAACACGAGTCCCCCTGTTAGGCGTTTTGGGCAAATAACTAACACATGGGCCACCTCATTGACTCCGGGGCATCGGCCAATGCAAATCGCAGACCCGACCCTGCTATTGCTTGGGAAATGGCTCTCAGGCCAGAACGACACGGAACCGACTTTTTGGTACTGGTGGTGCTTAACCGATATAAAAGCCCTCGCCGACTCAGGGGAATTAAAGCAAAGGACCCTTTGACAGGCATTTGAGAGACCGGCCCTCTGAGCCGGGTCTCCAACATCGGATCAGCCTTTTGGGATCTTCGGGTCCTCAAATCAGGCCCTGCTTGTCTTTGCCGAGAAGCCTAAAGGGTCCCTCGAGACCTATGGGTGGTTGCGCGTGCCTCCTGTACCCTTTTCCTGTCTGCCTGCGCCACTGTAATCGGCATACACGGTTGCAATAGCTTGCATCAAATCACAAAATTTGGAATTAATGTTTCAAATTAGTAACATATAGTTGTTAAATTATGCAAAATGACAGTTATTGCGCACATCATACATTTCTGGTGTACAGACGAAGTCCCTTGGCGAAGTGCCCGCCCTTCCTGCCAGGGTGAAAGGCAGGCCTCTGTTCTATGGCCTTGGGCAGGCGACGCCACATAGCCTCAGTAGCTAGGTGCGTCGTAAAGCCCCAATTACACACACACTGACACACCCTTGACGAAGTCGCAGGGGTACGCGAAACAGGATGACCAGCACTTCTGTTCTATGGCATTGATTAGCACCCTGCTTGCGCGCGAGCGTGAAAGCAGGGGAGTGTCCGGTCGGGGCGCCGACGTGGATGTTGATTGGTGATGTGTACGGCTCACTCAGGTGAGCTCGTACCTAATTGTGCATATTACCAGGAAAATAGAAATCCATTTTTGGAAACCATTCAGTGAAATCGTTTATCCCTCCTGGTAAATGGGACAACGGCTTGGGCCTCGACCATTGATGGAAAGATGTGGTGAAAGGTTTGATCCCCTCTTGGAACATTTTTTCTGGATGTGGGATAGAGAACATTTCTAAGGTTAATTTGGTACAGCTGTGATAGCTTCCTTTGTGACTTAATGAATAAGTATACATACTCCAAGTGAAGGCTGTTTTGTATATTTTGTATTTCAGATTGTTTTCTCTGATGGACATTTTGACAAAAGAAGACTCATGGCCCATTTACCATTGGGATGGGGATCTGTGCATTTTGTGATACTTCCTTTAAACTCTCTCTAGCCCTTCCAAGTGTCATTATGTACTTCCCAACCACTGTTCAACTTTTGGCTTGAGGTAACAAGCTGGCCAGCCTGAAAAATATGGCAGGTCTTGATGGAATTTGGATAGATTATAGGTGATGTTTGATATATATTTATATATATATATACATTATTAAAAAGTGGTATTTAGAAGAACTTTTGGGCATGAATTTCTTAACAGAACCTGAATGGCCCAAATATGGTGAGGAATGCTTTAGGATGTCATGCTAAAATGTGTTGCGACCTTTTGAGTCATCCTCAGTCCTAAAAGAGGTAAGAATTGTACTGCCCAACACATCTTGCTGCTGTCACCATTGTTTGTAGAGCAGCAGATTAAAGTATAGCAATTTTATACTTGGTGTAAAAGGGGAAATATATGTTATTTCAGACAGGTACCAAATGTATATGCTGTAATGATTAAGTATGATGCATGTAGGTATCAAATAAGATTAAGCACTCAGCTGCCAGATATGTGAGCTGAGCAAACCATGCCACATTCTTCTACTCCCCACATGCAGGGATGCCAGAATTAGATAACATATTGATATAAACAGCCTTCTTTTTTGTTCAGGCTCGACATGAACTTAAGTGTATCCTGGTGGTGTTAAAAGATAACTCCATTTTTACTTGAGTGTAACAAAGATCAAAAAAGATACTGGATGAAGCAGCTTATCAGAATCTGGAAGGTGGCAGGTCAGGTACTTGTAGACCTCTTGTGAATTGATCTGCTGTAAGGGCACATGCTGGAAAAGGCTTTGTTAAAGCTGTTGAACATATCAAGAGTATCACTTAATATCTTTTGCATGGTAAAGGAGGGAAGCAGGATTCAGCTTTAACAAGTTTGAACTCAAAATTACCAACACCTATACTCACTTTGAGTTGCCATGTGTCCCACAAGCTTTGGGTCAATGACAACACACTATGTCACATGATAACACTCCATTTGTGATGTCACTGACATTGTTACTCCCCAGACACCAGAAATAGTGTTAAGTTTGCTTCAGCATGGACTAAGGAACATTCTGGTATTTTGTATTGATGTCCTTGGGCTTAGAATGCATGTTGAGCAGAAAGGTTTGCTTTTACCTGGGACTCTCCAGCATGATCAAGTCTGTGGTCCAGCCAATAATTTTGCATCCAGCCTGTTTCCTAGATCATTCTCAGAGGGCATTGTTTGTGTTGTACAGTGCTCTTCCAAGGATTTCCTGTGCTTTATTGATTTTCTTGTTGCTTGCCAACTGGCTGACATGCAGGTGTTCAGTCCAATCAGGTGGCTCCAATGGGCCAGCTTACCAAGATGATACCAGCTGAGAAATATGCCAGAAATAAGTGTTGCACTTTTTCAAGCTTGAAAATATGTTTTGTCTCATCAGCATTTGCCCATTGTGTCATATACTTGAAGACCACCCCTGAAAACTGTTGGACCCTCCATTAATCTCAGAGGGTCCAAGCCATGCACCTTCGTCCTGATCCAACAACACCAAATTCAGGAGCAGCTTAAGCCTCCAATTTGAGACTTAATTGCTTTTAGATCTGAGGCTTGTGGGATCAGCAGGCTGGCTTTTCACTGGTCTGTTCGTCCCTCCAGCTCGGAGGCATAGCATCAAACACTGCGACCGATGTGCGGCATGTGGAATCACGTCCTGGAAACCACGCATCTGTAGATTTTTCTATTGGCTATCAGCTGGTAACTGACCACGGCGTTCAAGCTGACGTGGGGACGGCCGTGCCACGGCATTGCATTGCACTTGAAAGTCGTTTGGCAATAATCATCTATCGTACATAATTGTTCTGCTGAGGTGGGGTCAGAGTCGTGGCGAGAAGCTGCGCTGGAAAATGGCTGACCAGAAGGCCATCCCTGGAAAACCTTCGGTCAAATTCATTCCTGAATAGGCAAATGTAACTGAATTCATTACTAACGATGTGACTCGAAGACCGTCATGGACAAAAATCATCATTTCGTATAATCATTTCCACCATTATGCATCTTTTCATCATCATTCATTTTCGACCAGAGTTGAGTTGGATTTTGATCAAACCACCGTTCACGAGAATCTCACTTTTCAGATTTTGATACCTATGGAAGCAACACACTGTGATGCTGCCAAGACACTCATAGTTCTTGGATCAGGTGAGACCATCCCCAAGCCTTTTCTACAGATTGGTGCTGTGTTGTTGGTTAGTCTTGTAACGTCTCGTGTTGCTAATACTCTGGATAGACGATAATTGTATTTGAATTGCATTGATGTTGAAGATTTAGAGACCCTCAAATATCAGTCCTGTTGACAAGTAATGGACACATTCACATTCCAGCATCGTAACATCAACAACTTATTGTGAGACTGCTGCATGACCTACAGCAGTCGATGCGCCCTACTCCCCCCCCCCCCCCCCCCCCGCCTTACCGTGAGGTTGCAACTTTGTGTCTTTTACATATATCTTAGAATCACGTTTCCAATCAAGGTGGTTCTAACTTCTGAAAAGTCCAGAATTCCACAGCATATTACTTAGCATAACAAGCATGGTTTGGCTGTGTCCCCTAACAAGTGGTTTATTTTGTGTACAATAACAGATCCGGAACCAACAGCTTGCCCACAACCCACGTGCTGGTGTGCTTCAGCCTGCGTTCGCCGCTACCGCATCCTTTCATGCCGTCGTAGCGAGCCGCTCTTAGTTGCAGACGCGACATGCGGCCGCTGCCGCCATGACGCGCCGCTGTGATAAACGTGGCCCGTCACTCAGCGCCAGGAGAGCGGCGTTGCTGGCGCGCCGACCATGGAGTCGCTGCGCCGCGCCGCGCCGCCCGAGCTGGCGCCGCTCTGCGAGGCGGCCGCGCTGCGCCAGCTGCGCGAGCTGCCGGCTGCTGGCGACGGGGCGCGCTGCTGGCTGGACCGCCGGCTGCCGGCCGCGCTGCGCCAGCGCCTGCTGGACCGCGCGCTGGCCGATGCCACGCTGCCTGAGCCGGCGCTGGCGCGCCTGCTGACAGCGCTGGCCGCGCCCGGCCTGACGCGCTTCGCGCTGGCCGAGCCGCTGCTGGCCCCGTGCGTGCGCGAGCGCTGCTACACGTTGCTGGCCGCGTCGGCTGGCTCGCTGCGCGAGCTGCGCTTCCCGTTCGACTCGCCCAGCCAGGCGGTCCGCGGCGAGGCGGAGGCGCTGGCCGGCCTGCTGGGCCGGCTGGGCGCGCTGTGCTGGCTCTCGCTGCCTGGCGCCGCTACGGACGCGCTGCTGGAGGCGGTGGGCGCCGGCTGCCCGCGCCTGGAGCGGCTGGACGTGGCCGGCGCGGCCGGCGTCTCCAGCCGCGGCCTGCTGCGCCTGCTGGTACCAGAGCCGCACCGGCACCGGCTGATGCGCCGCTGCCTGGCCAGTGAACTGATGCTGCCGGCCGAGCTGCGCCGCTGCCGGCCGGCCGCCTGCGCCGCCACGCTGCGCCAGGTGCGCTTGCGCGGCTCGCGCGCCTCCTGCTGCGGCCTGGTGCTGCTGCTCGTGCTCTGCCCGCGGCTGGAGCGGCTCGATCACGAGCTGACGCCGCTCGCCGCGCGGGCGCTGCGCGCCATCGAGCCGGACGCTGCGCTGGCGCTACGTGACGTCTGCCTGTCCGGCGAGGCGGCCACCGAGCCGTGCCTCGCTTCGCTTCTGGCGGCGTGTCCGGCGCTGGAGGCGGTCTCCTGCGGACAGCTGAGCGTCGTCCAGCCGCTGGTCGGCCTGGCGCGCTCTGCCGTCCGCTCTCTGACGCTGTGGAAGCTCTCGCTGAATGCCTTCGAGCTTGGCCGTCTCCTGACCGAGCTGGGTCAGCTCACCGAGCTCGAGATCTCGTTCTGCGAGTCGGTGCCGCTCGACCTGGACGGCCTGCTGGCGCGCTGCGGTCGCCTGGAGCGGCTGGAGCTGACCGAGTGCCGCGTGGCCGCCGACCGGCCCGCCGGGCCGGAGCCGGCGCCGGCCACGTTGCTACGCAGCCTGCGCCTGCAGACGGCCGCCCACCGGCAGCCGCGCGCGCTGCTCGCCGCCGCGCCCGTGCTGGCCGTGGTCCGCCGCTCGCCGCAGCTGCGCCGCATGCACCTGGGCGTGCTTGACCAGCTGCGGGACGCTGAGCTGGAGCCGCTCGTGCCGGACGGCTGCGAGGTGCTGGCGTTGTCCGGCGGTGGCGTGACGTCGGACGCGCTCTGGGCGCTGATTGGCCGCCGGCCGCAGCTGCGCGAGCTGACGCTCGTCGCGCAGGACTGGCAGCAGTACAACGAGCTGGACGAGGTGCGCGAGCGCGCGCGGCTGGAGAACCTGGCGCTGCGGGTGACGGTGACGGGCCGCGTCCGGCCTCGCCGCCGCTCCGAGGCCGACGCTGTCTGAAAGGTGGCCGGCGCTACGGTGGGCCGGCTCCGCACGCCAGGGAGCTGACTCCGGTGGTCGGAGCGGACCAGACGATTGTCAAGACAGGCCTGCGTGAGGGATGATTCTTTGGGCTAGTGGGGTGACGCCACTGGAAGTGGCTGACGTGGTCGGAAGCTGACAGTCACGGAAGAGATCTGACGACATGTGAGAGGTCTCGACCGAAGCCAGCGCAAAAGCCACCTTGCGCGCGGTAAGGTAACGTCACTGACGTGCGGTTGATGGATGGTCATTCTCCTTGACCATGCAGTTGATCATTCAGCATGCAGACATGAATTCAGCACATCTTTATCATCTTGTGTATTGCACTAGTGTAATCGCGATTTCCGCTCTTGTTCAGTTTGTCTGGCGTTATCATTGCCTGATACTTTGCTGCATCAAGGCATTGTACTGCTTGCAGTAGTGTAATGTATCTTACGACGATTTATCCACGCTATCAGCAATCGGACAAGGACGCCAGCTTGCAGAAAGTTTCTGCATCTTTCTCACTGAGGCTCCCGTGCCCGATTGAAATCAGTTCAGAGAAGCCCGTCCTGTCGACCGTGCTCTGACTTGGGCTCTGCCTCCCCTCCTGACAGCTCTCGGCCCCGCCCGCAGGAGGTCATGCCGCCGCGGCACGAGCCGGCCTCGCTGTACCAGCTGAGCCTGTCCGAGGCCGTGCTCTGGCTCTGGGCCGCCGCTGACGCCGCGTGGGCGGCGGCGCTGCGCCCCGGCGCTGCTGCTGCCGCCGCCGACGAGTTGGAGCTGGTGCTGCGCTCGCCGGCGCTGCTGGCGCTGCGCGACTGGCTCTGCTCGCGGCTGTCTGGCTGCGCGGCGCAGGCGCTGCTGGACGAGGCGCTGCGCGACGGCCTGCTACCGGCGCGCGTCCGTGCCACGGCCATGGCCGTGCTGCTGGCGCCGGGCGTGACGCGGCTGGCCAGCGACACGCTGCCGGAGCGGCAGCACGCGGCTCTGCTGGCGGCGCTGGCTGTCGGCGGCGGCGCGCTGCAGCAGCTCGACCTGCGCGGCGCTTGGCTGGCCGACGCGGAGCTGGCGCGGCTCGGAGAGCTGCTGCCCGGCCTGCCGCGGCTCGAGCAGCTGCTGGTGCCGCACGTGGCGTCCGACGCGCTGCTGCGCCAGCTGGCCGGCTGCTGCCCGCGCCTCCGGTTGCTGGACGTGTCGATGACGCAGCGCGTGACGGGCGCCGGCGCCGAGGCGCTGCTGGCCGGCGGCGCGCACCGCCGGCTGGCGGTCGTCCGGCTCGGCTGTCCGGGCCTGCGCGGCATGGACCCGGCCGCCGGCGTGGCGCTGCTCGCCGGCCTGCCGGCGCTCGTCTGCCTCGGCGAGAACGAGCACGGCGCCGAGTGCGTGCTGGCGGCGCGCTGTCGCGGCCGCCTCACCGCCTGCCGCCTCACCTACCTGCACGCCGCCGCCACCGACGCTGCCCAGTTCGACGAGCTGGCGGCCGCCTGCCCGCATCTGCGCGGCCTCTACCTGGACGGGGCGCACGACGCCGTGCTGCCGCTGCTGCGGCGTCTGGCGGCGCTGCAGAAACTCAAGCTGCGGCGGGCGCCGGCGGCGGCGCTGCTGGCGGCGCTGCCGGCGCTGGGCGCCCGGCTGTGCTGGCTGGAGCTGCTGCTGCCCCGCGGGCCGCTCGATCTGGCGGAGCTGGCGCGCCTGACACCGCGCCTGCAGCGCCTGGAGCTGCTGCAAGCGGAGCTGACCTGCCGGCCGACCGAGGGCCGGCCGCCGGACGCCTGGCCGCAGCTGCAGGAGGCGCGGCTCCTGATGACCACCGCTCCAGCCGCCGCCTGGGAGCTCCTGCTTAGCGCCGACCGGCTGCAGATACTCACCGTCGACGGCGCCGACCAGCTGTCGGACGCGCAGCTGGTGCGGCTGCTGGCGGCCGGCCGCTGCCGGCAGCTGCGGCAACTGTGGCTCGGCTGGGCGCCGCAGCTGCACCTGCGCGGCGTGCGCGCCCTGCTGGACGACTGTCCGCAGCTGCGCAGTCTGGGCAATGCGGACGGCGTGGCGGTGGGCGCGGACGTCTGGCAGCAGCTGGAGATCGAGGCGCGGCTGACCAACTCCGACATCGTCTTCACGTCATCGTGACCCGCGCCGCTCGCCTCCCCCGGCGCTCTAGCGCCCTCCGTGCCGACGCGCCGCCGTCTTGGCTCGCTCCGCCGCATAGCAGCGCGTGGGCTGCGTCGTCGGCGACCAGCTGCCTGCCTTCCGCGGTGCGGTCGGCCCAGCGACAGGGATCAACGTCGCAATGAAGTGGCCACTGCCGCGGCTGTCTCACCGGGGATTTCGTCGATCGCATCATTGCTGACGGACAGTGGCGAATCCTGCTGTGTCCCCGCTGTTGAGGCTTCTCTCCGGCCGCGACGTTTACATCGGGTCTTCGGCACAGCGTACATCGGCATCGGACGCGACGTCCGAGGCGCACGCTTCCTTTCGCTACAACGCATTTTGAATTTCTTCCGTGAACTTTCCCCTCCTTCGTGTCGCGGGGCGCGACCCTGGCGTTTGTTTGTCTGTTCACCCTTTCCACTTCCCTTGTCCCAACTCCAGCTCCCCTCCCGATGCATCTCCAACCCGCACTTGCCCTCCCGCCCTCGCCGCCGCCGCCGCCGCCTCTCGCCCTCCGTCACGCGCCCGCTGCTTGCAGGCGGACACACGGCCGAGATGGTGGCGCTGGTGTCGGCGCTGGACCCGGCCCGGTTCCGGCCGCGTCTCTACGTGGCCGCCGCCGGCGACCCGCTGAGCGGCGAGCGGGCGCTGCGCGCGGACGGCGGCCCGCCGGCGGAGGCGACCGTGCGCACGGTGCCGCGCAGCCGCCGCGTCGGCCAGGGCTGGCTGAGCAGCGTGCTGACGTCACTGGTCGCCCTGGTCGCCGCCGTCCGGCTGGTGTTCGTCGAGAGGCCGCGCGTGGTGAGAAACGGGGCTGGTTGAGAGGTGGGCGGAGACTGGGAGTGTTGCGTTGCTCGGGGCCGAGGGCTCGCAGCACTATCTGATTTGTCGGCGTGCTGGGCCTTACCATTCCGTTCCGAATGACTCAGTTAGTCAGGGTGGCCGGCCTCCGGTTCACCTACCCGTAACAGGGTGAGTCCCAGTCGCGTTATGCGCTCGCAATTGGTTCCTGAATGGCATGCCATGCGGCTGGTGGCAGCGCCTGCACTAAAGGCCAGAGAGCAGGGCATACCGCGCGGAGCGTTACGGCATGTCACGCTTTCGCCGCAAAATTCTGCTGTTGCCCCAGCATCTCGCGATCGGATTGGGGGGTCAAGGCCCGCGCAGCAAGCACTGCTTAGTGTGAGTGCTAATTGCAGAAGTTTATCCAATCAAAATGAATTGGCTAGACCCGAAAAAGAGTTAATGGCCTATCTGAAAGAAGGACGGCAGTGTTGTTCTCGTTCGGCCAGTGTCCTCAACGCTAGGGACGTGTGATGGGCAAGGGTCCAACGTTGTGCTTGTGTGTATTATCAGAGACCGCTCATGGTTGCCAGACGCCTGCACGCGCTATCCGTGGTGTTCTGCGCGTGAGGGTCTGCGCGTATCCGTGGTATTCCGCGCGGTCTGTCTGTCTGTCTGCGCTCCGCCTCGGCGGACGACCCGTGACCAGGTGCTGTCCCGCTCCCAGGTGCTGGTGAACGGTCCGGGCACGTGTGTCCCCGTCTGCCTGGCTGCTCTGCTCATGAAGGTGAGAACCGGCGACACCAGAGCCTGCGCTGGCGCCTGACTCAAGCCGTTGTCCAGGCAGGCCGAGCGACGTGATTTAGTCTAGTTTTCAAGCGATTTTTTGCGGGAGGTGCGTAGGCCGCGTTGGTTCACGAGCGAGATGTCAGTATCGGTACATTGTCATGAGGCGGAGCTCAGTGCTCATGATTGGTTTTTTATAGTTATTTTTCCTGATATCACGGCTGTAGTCTGGCTGAAAACCGTACTCCCATTGTGGCGCAACGGTGTGCACCTGCTGTTTTGGTTTGTGAGTTGTGAAGTGCCGCGATTCTGCTGCCTGTGGGGTCCTGGGATAACGCGCGTGTAGCCCGGCCGAATCCACGCGCTGACGAGTCTGTCATATATACCTGTGAAATATCATTGGTACGCAAGGTGGTCACTAAGTCGCCACGATTCCCGGTAAGCTCGCCGCCACATCACACTAGTTGCCCTCGGGCGGCAGGGGACGCGTAAGCCCACCGCGCTCATTGAGGCCCCGTCTCCGTTTCAGGTGGTGCTCCTGGCGTCCGGTCTACACAGTGTTCGTGGAGAGCGTGTGCCGCGTGCGCTCTCTGTCCCTCAGCGGACAGATCCTGTACCGCCTGGCCGATGACGTCATCGTCCAGTGGCCCGAAGCTGCGTGACCGCTACCCGCGCGCCCTCTACATGGGCCGGCTTGTGTGACGTCACCGTTCGGACGCGGCCGTGGCGCGCCGTTTTGGCCTTCTGCTGCATGCAGACTTCACCAATTATGCTTCGCGGAATGCGGTATTGCCGGTAGCAAGGAATGGGCTGTGTGGGATGTGACCCTGTGATATTGCGCTCATGTGACATCAGGGACTGTTGTCCGCAATGCTTTGCCGCCTATAGGGACGTAGTTTCACGAAGCGCGTTGGGGGGGGAGGGGGGGGGGGGCTGGACAATAAAAAATGGCCCAACCTCCTCCAAAATATGCCCACAAACAGGTTTCTCCACAGATTTGGTCCACTTTCCTCCCAAAGATGGGGCAGGGGCTGAAGCCCCCCCCCCCCCCTCGAACTAAAAAGCAAGCTACACCCCTGGCTGCCTATGCCCTGGTGTCCTGAATTGATGTCTGCTGTCGGTGGCTGGCTGGCCAGATGATTATCATTTTGGATGCTGTTTGGGAATTAGTTACTCTGCTTTGTCCATCGATCGAGTGCCTGGGTACCGGTCTTAGCCTTTTTCTGGTGGCTGCATAACAGTAATTGAGTGGTACGTGTCCAACAGTTCCATCGTGCTATTCGCTGTGACCGTCGCTCAGATGATTCATGACAGTGGTTTTGGCTGTGTGAAAAACTGCTAAGCGTTTGGAGCGCTTTGCAGGAGTCGCCCAGAGGTCTGGAAGATATAGGCATGGATACATCGTAAGCGGTCTGCAGGGAAGGCGTTTGTATCACGAGATAGCGCAATTAGTGGTTCGGCATGAGTCCCCTTCCCATCTTGCCGTGGTCATGTGCTCCGCGTCAAGGCTCAGGTTGTTGGTGGGAGCGCCAGAATAAAAGATGACGGCGCCAGCTTGGGTTGCGCTGTTTTATTCGTAACTCATTCACACCAGCGTGCGGCGATTAATTAGCTATCTAGTGTTTTCTTGTTATTGCTATGTGTGTTAATAAACTGTATGTGTCTCATTGCTTTTGTTTCATTGGTAACGACAACGGCAGAAACCCAAAACTGAGAATGTGTGAGGTGAATAACAATCCGATAAGATGTCACCAACTATGGAGGAAACACGCATGATAGAAAGTGGAAAGTGGGGCCCAACTGCTGGCCACACCAAATCTACGAGCGCTGCACCGCTTTTATGGGCCGATTTGCTCCCCCTGGAGCCCGGCGTCCACCAATGGTAAGCTCCCTTAGGTTTTTACCTGGCTCATCTGGAAGAGCAGGATGAGAGTGCGGGATCCAACGGGTCGGGATTAAGTGGGCTCAACAGTTCCATCGCTGACTCGCGTGTGTCAACATGGGTGTGACCATTGGCCTGCGGGGCGTGTGTGGGGGGGGGGGGATGTCCCACTAATGTTCGCCGAATTATATTTTGTCCACTCTGACTTTCCAGTACAATGCTAAGTTTAAAAAAATTTACATTCAGGTCGTCGTTTTTAGCTCGTTCTGTCTCCCGCATCCCGCTTGCACCCATACAAAGTTAAATTTGTTGCCTTTTTCAGAGACGTGGTTACACGCGAGACGGGGTTAAGTGCTTGTCAATGAGATTCAAACCATTGTCATGCGCTCTTGTTTCATTTTGAGTCATTGTTTAGAAAATCAATGTAACTGATCTAACACAAGCTGTGAATGGTGCATTGGAAAGCTTATGACATTAAAACTACGCGCACTTTTGCATGATGCGGAAAGGCTTTCATGATTTGCCTGCCGCGATTGCTCCATACGAAATGTGAAAAACGTCAGAACACGCCGCTGCCTGCTGTTTCGCGCCACGTTTGCCAACGGCGTGGGGTTGTATGTGGGGCTGTTCCTGTATTTATTGCTGAAACATGCTTGAATTAGCTTGATTAAGGTAAGCGTGAATGTTTTCAGTAAACGTTTTGTGACACTGTTTATGGATTTCGATTGTATTTTCATTAGCAATCGAGAAATGGATTGGTCTTCTCGTTTGCGTCGCTGGCGGCGCGACGCGATCAGTCGAGAAGGTGCGAATCTTCCGTTTTTTAATGATACCCGGTATTTTTTATCTTGCAACTCTGCTTTCGGCCCCCGGTTTTTATCTCGCAACTTTGCTTTGAGCCTTCTGTATTATCTCAAGTTTGTTTGCTTCCAAAGTTTGCGGAGCTGAGGCTAATCCCAAGCGATCATCGCGTTGTGTTTGGGCTCTGGCTGGCAAATATTCTCTGTCCCCCATATTGAAGATGACACCAGTGTTCAGGTTGGTTGCGAACTACATTTGCTTAGTGAGTGACCAATGAAAGTAAGGAGACAGACATTAAAGTGTCAGTTGCATTGCACACTCATCATCATCATTTACTGTTGTGCATCAAATGAGTTGCTGCGGGGGGGGGTTCAGTAGTATAAAATTGTACAACATATTCCTAAATGCTCCAGTAAGTATGTTTTCCCCGGGTTTGACCCACTTTTTTCTTTAGGTTGGGCTGGACCCCCCCCCCCCCCATCATAATAGGAAGCTGCCCCTGCAAACTGTGGTTAAGTAACCTGTCAGTGCCTGATGGCTCAAATTGATCCTGTATAGAAATGGAAGCAGTGTTACATGCCTCTTGATATCTAGATTTATTGGTTAATGCATATGGTGCTTATTTGCTCATTAAAAAAAAATGTAATGGGATTGGTATCCAGTGCATTATAATAGCATCACATATTGAGCTGTGTCATTACATGTTCACAGGCCATTGCACAGCATCTATTTCACAGGCTAATGTGAACTAAAGCTGCTGGGCAGTGCATATCTTAATCAAAGGCACAAGATGTTTGCATTTGGCTTGTACTCCACTGATGTCCATAGGAGGACAGCAAGCTAGTATTGTCTGTGCTTATGGAATGTGAGAATACACCTGTTTTTTAGTCCTCTCTGTATAGTGTTTTTGGATTGTTTTAACTTGCTAACAGTTGTGTAAGTAATAAAATTATAATTTTTAAGGTTATTTTACAGAGTTCTGTTTTATGAACTCTGAGTAACAGATTGGATTTTCAGAATACAAACTGACAGTCACAAGCACTTTGAATATGTAGCAATTCACAGCTTTTGTTATATTCAGTTAGTTGTGCTAAATGCATAAAAACTTCAAGGACCAGACCTTGATTGGGGCAAAGTCGCCTTCCTATTTATACAGGCATTTCAAGTTCACAGTGATGGCTGGGAGATGAGGAGGGAGGGCAAATAAATGGCTAGATCAGGTCTTGAGAGGTAGAAGTTTTGTCATTTAATGTCATTTAAGTGGCTTGTATTTCAGTTCACTCCATTTCAGTGTTGTGCAGTTTCATCCTCAAAGACTTTCAGACTTTTCATGAGCCTTAGGACAATGGTAAAAAGTAGTACATTGTGCATGTTTTGCAAGCATAACCATTATAGTTTACACACCATAAAGCCCAAGTCATTACCATCATCATGCATGTGTGCATTATGTATTGAAACTTATTAAGCATCAAAAAGCGGATAATTTAGGGGTGCCGGTAGTGTAGTTGTTGACAGGTCTGTGTTAACCACTGTGTATGTGGGAAACCAGAGATACAGGGTTTGATTCCCTGTGGTGCCCACCCTTCCTGCCAGGGTGAGAGGCAGGCGACACCATATAGCCTCAGCAGCTGAGTGCATTGTAAAGCCCCAATGACACACACACACACACACAAAAATGGGATTATTTGCACTGTGTGTACATAGATTAAGTATGCAATGTGGAGAAATACTGATAATCCTTAAAAAACACAAAATAAGATGGTCAGCTGGTTGGCTGGCCATAAACACAGACTCACTTAAATGTGATGGAAAGAAAATTTTTTGCCATGTTTTCAGTGCTCAGCCTTGATTCAGGGGTCTTATTTTGCATTGTACCCTGTGATCAAGGTTAGCATGACCAGAACATTTGCATGAATGCATGAATGAATGTTGCTGTTGCATATGCCATTTTATATGTGTTGTAGTTGTCAGAATATCCTGAACTGAACAAGGTGAACTGAATAATGTAGTATGATCAGTGAGTCTGCTGCCCCACCAAGTTATACTCAACTTACAACATTTTTGCCTGATCAGCCTGGCTGGCTCAGCCGGCATGTCTTCTCACATGGTCACCATATATGAAATCATCACACATATTAAAGCAATAATGAGTGTTACCCATGAAAAGTTGTGCTGCATAATATCGTGAGAGTTGAAAACAAGCTGTTCATTGGATTATGATTGTCTGAAGCTTGGCAGTGTGAACAAAAATATAACCCCTCTGATCATTAAAGGACAGTCATCTGATCACCAAAGGATGCATCAAATTTGTTAGCTGGCGAAGGCCATGTGTCCCGGATCGAATTTGTGCCCAGATCTGGCCTGGCTGGCGTCGCTGTGACACGCGACCACACCTTGACAGAGGAAAGAACGGACAGTCGTATTTCGTATGTAGAATCGTAAAAGCGGTTAAATGTGGGGTAGTGTGTGCAGCTGGCTATGGGCTCCCAAGCGCATGCCACAGGTTCGCGTGTTTCAGGACGTTTTTGAGGAGTGATGTCTGTTCTCGGCCACCGGAGCAGATTAAGACGGGACGCCTCTGCGTGCCGTTCGCCGGTATGCCGGCTGCAACCCGTTAATAGGCGCTCGGGTGGCTGGTGGAAGACCTTCTGGGGATCAGATCGGCGCCTCCCCCATCCGAGCGTGTGTCAAGTCACTTGACGATGTCCTGCCCATGGATGCGTCAGCGATCGGCCACGACGCGATCACTGTCACCTTTGTTGAAGCCGACTCCGAATGGCGTGCGCCGTAGTCGTAATTGAAAGACTGGACCTGAACATGCGCGTAGAATTGTAGTTGTGACCAGTGTCTGCCCAGACAGTCCGTTTTTTTTTTTTGCTTTTTTTTGTTGATAATTTGGCTGCTTACCAGAAGCATAAATCGGTTAAGGCAAGAGCCTTCCCACCACTACATGTGACACTCGTGGGACCAAGCGGAGCCTGGTACTACATGGTGCTACTCTCATGGGTGTTACGGCGGAATCCAGTACGCAGCTGATGACAGTATTGCAGGTGTTCTGGATTCGTTGAGGCAAAATTATTCACAAGGGATCGGGCACTTGTTGACAAAAGTAGTTGCAATCCACATCACCGCGTGGCCGAAGTCTTTGTTTTGCCCGGATTAAGCATGTTAATATCCTGCCTTATTTCTTAAAGACGATCCCTGTTGTGTATGCCGCTAGTAACAACAAACTATTCTCAGATCTGCGGCGTCCCTTTCCCGACCCCTACTCTGTTAGCCCACGTTAACATCCCTTTGTCCCGACTATCATCATCACCCGATTGTTCCTTAGGTGTCCGTTGTTTATGTCGCGATTCGTCATACATAATGACCGGCACAAAAGACGACGTGCGTTCCGAGTGATGTGTATGAAGTTTAAATGAGATAGCAATTGTGCTCCTAGCAGCAGCGTGGAACAGAAGCACGTCTTTGGAAGCCACCGCAACTGCTGTAAGCACGAGCGGTACCGCAGGCGGAGCGCCTCCTTTATGAACTATGAGGGAATTTTTCATCGTGGGCGGTCCGGCCAGGCCGTCACTCTGTATAATCCTGGGAACACTCGCGACACAGACACACGAGCGTGTCCTGCAAAGGCTGCCTGGAGGCTCATGCAGCTGTTAACAAATCCGCGATTTTATATTGTGTGTGCATCTGTAGCATACGTGAATTGTTAGGCATTTGCAATGCGAGTTGCTGGACCGGGCGGATTTTGCCCGCCACATGGGGTTATCACCGCCCCCATTCGTCTGTCCTGGAAAGCGTGCATTCTTTAAGGTTGAGAAAGGCTAAAAATAAAAAGCACTGGTGTGAACCGGGCCCGCCTTTCCGCTCCCAGCGGCGCAGTGACTTGGGATGAACCGATTCATACGGAAGTGAAAACGGACGATTACATTCGCAGCAGAGTGGGCCGATGGTGACGGTCGTGATGGCCGACGTTGACGGCCACACGGTCTCTCGCTGTGAGCAATAACCTACCCGTTTGGGATGTTTTTAGTAGTGACTAGGTTGTATCCGCCAGAGAAGATGAAGATGTAAGGCCAACAGCATGGTGTAGATGTATGCTCCCGTTACATCTAAATCGTCTCCGAACTATCCGACCTACACAGGCGTCAGCTGATCAGCCGGAACACGTTCTTCGTGTTTTGTTTGTTTTTTAATGACCGATCTGTGATATAAGATGCTGCAACCTACTCATTTACTGTCATTGTGACGTGCGTCATCCTCCCAAAATATGTGCGTTTTTTACAGTACTTTGGTCACAATCGCGAAACTGCGAATCGTTAGGCATAGTCGGTTTAATTCATTAAAATTGCGAAAGAATGTGTAAAAAATATGCTCCACGAAGGGGAGCTTCCCGGCGCATTGTTTTAAACCATCGGTCGTGCTTCATGAGGCTCAACGACGCGCTCGCTGCTGGGGCTACATGGCGCCGTCTACCGGAAGGGAGGGCGCCTCGGGGAACCGGACCCCGTACCTCTGGCTCCCGAGACGCTCAGGTTAACCACTACACTGTCGGTGTTCTAGAGCTATTGTTAAGGGTTGTCAAAGGCGTCTAGCTTCATTTGGATGATTCTGGCATCCTCTTGGTGATTACAATATATAGTGTTGAGTGCTGACACGAATCACCTACCTGTTAATTACCCTTACTTAAAGGGCGCAAAATGACCAGTGCAGTCGATGCGCCCGAAAACACCAATAAACAAAACAAAATTACCCTTACTTATCACATCGCCGTTACAATATCGCGCGAAGCGTCTCACTGTTGTGCATTGGGGAATAAATTGCGCGACAAGGATGGCTTGTAGTGCTCCGAAAATGTCAATGTAAACGGTCATCGTTGCGCTTGTAAACGGAAATGTCACGTTTAGCCTCAGTTGTGCTTAGTTTTTCTAACTTACTTGGCACGTTTCCATTTGATTCCCCGCCTCGCAAGCACATCATGCTTGGACCATTTATCTGTCGCGGTACTTACGAAGGTTATGTGTAAGCCTTTCCCCACGAATATTTTTTTTCGAAAACGTTGAATACTACTTTCAGGGCGTGCTACTAGAAGGCGGAATCAACTGAAGACCATATGGCGGACATCATGGACCTGCCCAACGGCAATGGCGCCGGGGACGAGAACCACGACAGCGGACATAGCGACGCCCAACGGTGACACGATGAACTCAAAGTTGTCAGACAGCCCGCCGTCGCCGTCAGCATCGCGTACGACCATCACCGAGAGTATGGAGCAGCTAGGGCCGCTGGTGACGGGACCCGGCTCCAAGAAGGACAAGGGCCTCATGTCCAACTTGCTCGGCATCGGCTTGCCGAAGCTGTCGCGTGATCAGCAGGACGCGGTCAACAAGGCCAAGAAGTTCGCCATGGAGCAGAGCATCAAGATGGTGCTGATGAAGCAGACAATCGCGCACCAGCAGCTGCAGGCCAAGTCGCTGCAGCGGCACCAGGCGCTGGTGCTGATGTGCCGCGTCTACGTCGGCTCCATCAGCTTCGAGCTGCGCGAGGACACGGTGCGCCAGGCGTTCGTGCCGTTCGGCCCGATCAAGTCGATCGACCTCTCGTGGGACCCGGTCACGCAGAAGCACAAGGGCTTCGCGTTTGTCGAGTACGAGATGCCGGAGGCGGCGCAGCTGGCGCTGGACCAGATGAACGGCGTCATCATCGGCGGCCGCAACATCAAGGTGGGCCGTCCCAGCAACATGCCGCAGGCGCAGGCCGTCATCGATCAGATCCAGGAGGAGGCCAAGAGCTACAACCGCATCTACGTGGCGTCCGTGCACCAGGACCTGACCGACCAGGACATCCGCAGCGTGTTCGAGGCATTCGGTCGCATCGTGACGTGTAGCCTGGCCGACATCGGCGGCGGCGGCCGTCACAAGGGCTACGGCTTCATCGAGTACGACACGCCGCAGGCGGCCATGGACGCCATCGCCTCGATGAACCTGTTCGACCTGGGCGGCCAGTACCTGCGCGTCGGACGCTGCAACACGCCGCCGAACGCGCTCGAGATCCTGATGGGGGCGCTGCCGCCGACCACCGGCGCGCAGATCATGCCGACCGCCTCGTCGCTGGCCGTCGCCTCGGCCTCGGCGCGCATCCAGTCGATGGAGGCGGCGCAGCACCAGGCGTCCATGCTCAGCCGCGGCTTCAGCACGCCGCTCAACGCGCTGCCGATCGGCGTGGCAGGCGCCGCGCCGCCGGCGCCGCCGCCGCCGCCCCTGATGGGCACGCCGGTTATGCCGCCGCCGCTGATGGGCACGCCCGTGCTGCCGCCGCCGCCGGTGATCACGGCGCCGCTGCAGCTGGGCGGGGGCGGCGGCGGCGGCGGTGGGGGCGGGCCGGCGGCCGCGCTGCCGCCGCCGGCCGTGCTGACGGCGCCGCTGCAGCTGGGCGGCTCGGTGGCGACGGTGCCGCCGCCCGGCGTCGTGGTGCCGCGGCTGGGCGCCGGCGGCGCCATCCAGGTACCGCCGCCGGTGCTGCCGGCGGCGCGCGACGACGAGAGCCGCCGCCACCAGGAGGAGCTGCAGAAGAAGCTGATGGACGACTCGGAGCCGCAGACGCTGCAGCAGCAGGAGGACATGTCGATCAAGGGCCACTCCGGCCGCCACCTGGTGATGCAGAGACTGATGCGGCCGCACGAGAGCCGCGTGGTCGTGCTGCGCAACATGGTCGGCCCCGAGGACGTGGACGACATGCTGCAGGACGAGATCAGCGACGAGTGCAACCGCTTCGGTCAGGTGCAGCGCGTCGTCATCTACCACGAGGCGCAAGGCGACCACGACGGCGCCGAAGTGGTGGTCAAGATTTTCGTCGAGTTCGCCGAGGCGCAGGAGGCGGAAGCGGCGCGCTCGGCGCTGAACGGACGCTACTTCGGCGGCCGCCTGGTCAAGGCCGAGCCGTACGACATGAGCCTGTACGAGCACGAAGATCTCTCCGGGTAGCCGGCCCCGGCCGAGGTGCGTGAATGTCGAGTGTGAGCGAGAGGGACCGTTCTTGTATAAGGGCGCGCGCGCGCTCGAAGACGGCGCGAACGGGGCGGCGCCGGCGCTCTCTGCTGCCGGCGGCTAACGTGTCTGGCGGAGGAGGTTTCAGGCGGCGGCGGCCGGTCTGCGCGACTGCCTGACGCTGCGATGTCTCCAGGGCGGATGGCACGACCTGCCTCGTCGGAGTCGCCCTGGAGGCGATCACATCGCCGCGCCGCGTCGAACGGACGCGACCGGGCGTCCGCCGGCCAGGTGAGCAGCATCGCCCGGCGCTCGACCGGCGGCGAGCGCCGTCAGCGGTGCCACCGCCTGCCCCCGCCCCTCCCCGCTTCCGCTCCTCCCTGGGGCTCGTCGCCTCTCCGGTGCTCCTCACGGGGTCGGCCCCCGCCCGCACTCTCTCTCTCCCCCCGTTTGTGTCCGTTCGCGGTGCGCCGTGAGGGTCGTGTCATAGCGGCGCCTGGCGCTGTCATGCGATGTTGTGAGCTCCGGTGTCGGGCCGCCGGCCGGTGCTCCCCTGTGTCGTCGCTGGCCGGCGTCCTTGCCGCCCAACCGACTGTGACGCCCGCCTAACGCGCCCCGCCCTGTCTTTTTACTGTTCGCAGAACTCTGTCCCGCACACGTACAGAGAGTGGCTGTGGTCAGCCGGCGCTCGCCGGAGGGGCCGCCGCGCCGGCGCGCCTCCGCCGCCCCCGTGTGTCCCGCCCCGCCCTGTCCCGCCGTGTCCGCCCGCCGACGCCCCGCCCCCCTCCGGCCCCTCAGGCGTCGGCGGCGCGCGCACGCGTATCATGTCAGGCGTGGGCCCGGCGGCAGCGAGTATAATCGCTCCTCTGTTTCAGTCCTGTCTCGGTATGATCGTTTCATGTGGCTCCCGGGCCGGGCTGCGGACGTCGGCGGACGACGGCGGCGGCGGCGCGGCCGATAGGCGGCGCTAGCGGCGAGCGCCTGCGCCGAACACGCGCGCACGTCGACACGAGACCTCCTCCAGCCTCAGGGCCTCGCCGTGCGAGGTACGCAGTGCGCAGGCGAAGTGGGAGACAACGCCCGTTGATCGACTCGGCTGAGTGATTTGATCAGCGCCGTTCAGATGAGTCCCTCGCATTCGTGAGGCGCAGTGGTCGCCTGGCCAGACAGTATTGTCTGCGATTGAAGGGGATTTCCGCGTGCAGTTGCAGACGTAATGTGAAGTAACGTGCTAACCAGCCATTGCCTTTTGCAGGCACGGTGTGAGAAGCGGGCCCATCATCTTCATCAAGCCGCCGGCAGCAGAGAGCAACGCCGGGAACGTCCAGGGTGCATGTGATCGCAGTGTACAAGTTCAGTGGTGAAGTGGTCCAGTGTGAATCCGCGCGGTGCGTTGAGCACGTTTTATCACCCAGCGCTGGACGCCCCCTCCCCCTCCCCCCTCACGTGTTTTTAACTGGGTTGGACGGACGCCGACGCCATCTATGAATTGCCGCCCCGGTCCGTCTCCGCGCGTCCCCGACCACGTCTGCCTCCGATTTGCGCGCGCCCGTTGAACCGAGTCAACGCACCCAATCCGCGCTGTGTTATTTTTTGTGTGTGCCAGTCGCCGCGCGCGCGCGCGCACCTGCATTCCGCTCCGCCCATGGCGCGTGCGGACCTGTGACCGCGGCCGCACGGCGCCAGCGGTCAGTCGGCGATTCTGGTGCGCCTCAGGCGCCGCCGGTCCCGCGTCGGCCGGCGCAGACGTCGGCTGCGCGAGCCGGTGGCGGCGGCGCCGCGCGTCTGCGCACGGCGGCGTGCGCGAGACGCGGCGCCGGTGCTCGTGTGGCGCGCATCCGTGGCTGGGAAGGCGCGCCCGGCGGAGGCGGCCTGCTGGCAATCGCTTGAGAGCTCGAGCCGTAATTGAAATACATCTTGTGTAGTTTGCTGGGTGCGTGTGTGTGCTGTGGAGGCGGTCTGAAGGGAGTCAGCCACTGGGTGTGAGGGATGCTGCGGGCCTGCGCGCGAAGGTTCGCGTGTGCTGCCGATGACAGCCTACTGGGTTCTGAGTATGGCCTGTCATCGGTATCGCCGAGGTGTCTGTCATTGGCACGCTGAACGACGATCCATTCGAGACTTTCGCCACGTCGGTCGGGACGGGCTTCACTGCTTTCATTTGAACACCCGGCGCTCGTAAGAAGTGAGCTTAACTCGGAGGTCACTGTTCATAAGGATAATTAGAATAAGCTGATATAGCGACATTTTAGAAGCAAAATGGTTGTGAATAAAGACTTTCAATAGCCTTTAGTCACCACTGACGGCGACAGTCGCTGGTATGTGCCTGGCCCCCGCAGCTCGCGTTCGTCCCCCCCCCCCCCCGCGCGCCGCTTGCGCCTGGACCGCCCCGAAGCCCGGGGCGTAGGCGCTCGCATGTCGTCGAGGTCAGCGGCCCCGCCAGCCGGGTTCAGTTGCCAAGGCGCCCGGCCAAAGCGCGCCGACCTTGCCCTGATTTGCCCTGCAGCTCGAGCTCCGGCGCGGTCCGACTGCGCCCGGCCGGTCGCTCAGTCGAGCAGAGTTGTTCGCGAGCATGGCTGGCAACGCCAGGAAAACGTACGGTTAGGGGCGATGGCTCACATTGAGCGCGGTGGCGCCCATGACAGACCAGATAGGCTACTGAAGTTCAAATGTTTGACGCAACGAGCGGTTTCAACCTTCATGGTCAGGCGATGGCGGAAACCCATAGGCAATGCAATGGATCGTTCGGAGAAAACGCTGCCGCGACTGTGTGAGCTACGAGCCACGGGTGCCTCAGAGGAGGCTGTCCAATGTTGATGTTCGTAACTGGGGAGAAGCAATGGGTTTACCTTCAATGAGAGGTTTCAATGTCACAACCCACAACCAGCTTATGGATAATTTGTTCAAAATGTTTGGTTTCCCTTGGTAGCGCACGACAAATGAATGAATGATTTGAGAATGTATAATTTGAGGTTTTCATGCGTTTCTCGAACCCTCCGCATCAAGTTACAGTGACTAGCAACATCGAATAAATCGTAGCTAACAGAAGCCCAATTGTGGTTTTAGTTTCAGTTAAGTTTAAGTTTCCAGTGTACTCAAGGTGGTAACAGTCGCAACACGACAAGCCCCGGCCAAATCTCGCGCCCCTCCCGCCCCACCCACAACGTTCGCAACACCAGGAGCTCCTACCCCACCCCCCAGTGCCGCCGAGCCCTGGCCTCTCAGACAGCTCGAGCCCCTCGGCACGGCACGGGCCGCGGTCGGCCATGCCGTCCTCGGCCCACGGCGGCACCCCGGCCCTATCTAGGGGAGGGGCGGGCGGTCGAGTCCCGAGGTCGTCGCTCTCGACGCCAGGCATTGATCCGCAGTCGCCCCGGCGAGGTCAGTGGTGACGTGGGCCGCCGCCGACGCCATGGGAGTCAAGGTCGGCCAACAGCCCGTGGGCAGCGCCAACGGCGGCCGCCGCTCACCGGGGTCCCTCCCCAGACCTGACGGTCCTTCTGGGCTCTCCCCTCCTCCCAGGGAAGCGTGTTGATCTCAATGAGAGGTGTCATGAGCTTGACGCGCTTTGGGGATAGAAGAATGGCGAAAGATGCCCGTAATGCCTGCCTACCTGCGTTCCCCTTTCGCACTTATCGCGCCTCCTGTAGCCCTTCTCCATGAGCCCACCGGGGGGACCTGCCGGTGGTGACATGTGTGCCGGCCACGTGTGAGTAAGAACACGACTCGCGAGCGTCCGCGTCGCTGTGAATACTCGCGTGCAAGTATGTGAAGTCAACTCAACTCCTCCACTTGCTTCTTACGGTCATCTTACTAAGCGTAACATAAATACGACGCCACGCGACCAGTGACCTTGAGCGTCTGCCACTACCACCAATTACGCAGACGAGGTAACAACGTTTCTGCATTTATCTTGCAGGTTGCAGCGATGACCCCTGGACACCCAGCGCGGTCTGCGGGCGGCTCGAGCGCCGCCTACGGCGTTCTCGTCTAGTGTGCGCGTGCATCGACCTGCCTAACACCTGACCTCGGAGCTCAGCAGGCTCCCAGCGGAGCGAGACAGCGAATGTTCGCACAAACTGTATTTACGGCGACATTGGTTACGACATTGTGCCCTTGACATCATGCGCTCCGTACGGGCCCGTACTGCACATCCGAGATCTCCTCTGCGGTCCGCCAGCCGGAGCGGGCGGCCCGGGCGCGGCCGCCGCCCCCTCGCACCTCCGACCGACGACAGGGCCCACCAGGCCCCACAGAGGACCAACCAGCCGAAATAACCTCGCACGCCGGCACACCATGACGCGAAAGTAACCATATAATGTAGACATCAACGGCTAACGACGGTTGCATTCACCCAAACTGCACATTGCCCCGAGGCTATTCTACATCACAGGCAGACACGCGCCGCGCGCGCGCGCGCGCACACACTCACACGCACAAAAACACTCGCAAGACGGCTATGTTCACGCGCCAGGTGGTTGGTGCCGCGCATGCGACGCCAACCGGTCGTGCCTGACCCCCGGCGGCGTCTATGTACACGACAGGCCACGCACCACACGCAACCATTCCCAGCGACTGGTCATGCACTAAGAACACCACCGCGCAACACTGCAACGGCGCTGCATCCCGGCTTGCAAGCTCCCCAGTGAATCATAGCGCAAGTGGGTCACATGTGACCTCGAGTCACCACCGAGAGCGCGCCGGTAGCCGGCTGTCGACTGTGTATCACTCTGTGCGCACTTGAAGAGACAGCGGAGCAGAGGCCGACCTTCAATGTGCAGTGAACCCAGCTGCGCGCCACATCTCAACGTTGCTCACGACGTGTAAATTTATTTATACCTGCTCTCGGGGGCGTTTCTCAGAAACGATAGCGCGCGCGCGTCAGGCAATCCCGACCGTTTGTCTTTCACCGTGTATATGCGTGTATGTGCAGTCATTTTGTACTAGAAGACTGGCGCGACCGGCCCTATTTACAAGCCGACGAATGAGGCGCCCGAGTGACGCGATGATACAGAGGACAGAGAGCATACAATGGAGCCAGCAGCGCTTATACAGCCTCCAGCGACCGGCACGGGCCAACCTTCTTCGTCAGGTTGAGCGGCTGAGGCTCCTGATCACATCGGCGCTCGGGCGCCGTGCCCACCGCCAGCGCCGGCGCCGGTGCCGGTGCCGGTGCCGGTGCCGATGGCGGTGCCGGTGCCGGTGCTGGTGCTAGTGCTGGTGCTGGTGCTGGCGGCGGCGGCGGCGTCGAGGCGCTGCCGGCCACGGGGCTGGCGGCAGCCGGCGGCGGCGGCGGCGGCGGCGGCGACGGCGGCGTGGCAGCGCTCGCCATGCCGAGCAGGCGCGCCACCACCTCGCGCTGTCGGATCTGCTCAGAGCTCCAGGCGCGCTGCGGCGGCGCGCCCAGGATCCGACTGAGCGTGGGTGTGCGCGACACCTTACCCTCCTCTTCGGCGGCCGGCTCGCAGCTGCTCTCGCGGCGCATCCAGCGGAACTTCTTGTGCGGCACCAGTTGCTCGCGGCCCTCGGTGGCGGCCAGGCCGGGCGCGGCCAGTGCCTGCTTCAACAGCGGCATGCACTCCTCGCCGGCGGCGCGCTCGTCCAGTAGCGTCGGCGGCGACGCGCACGGGCTGGCCGACGGCGAGCGCGCGTCGTCGGGGGCGCGCCGCTTGGCGGCCGCCGGCAGGAGAGCGGCCGCCAGCCGCGGCAGCGGGCCGGCGTCCGGCGACGGCGAGCGGCCGGCGCGGCCGCTGCCCTCCTCACTCCCCACGTAGCCGGAGCTGACGCTGCACGGCGAGCTGGCGGCGCCGCGTGGCGCCTCGGCCGCCCACGCCGGCGAGGTCGTCGTCTCCTCGGGCGCGCGCAGCGAGCGCACCATGTCAGCGTGCAGCGAGTTAAGCGTCTTCAGGTCGTGCACCTTGCCGGCCAGCTGCGCGAACAGGTCAGTCGCCTGCGGATGGTTGCGCACCAGCGCGCTGCGCAGCGCTGCGTCCAACTTTGCCCGGATCCGGCCTATCAGCTCCACGTTGCGCAGGCCGGGCCGCTCGGTGGTGAGCACGACGCATGCGCAGAACAGGCCAATCTCGGCGTCGTCCAGGCGGAGCGCGTTGAGCTGCGCGGCAAAGTCGAACATGGAGTCGAGCAGGAAGCGCGGCTGCGAGCCGGCCGGGTAGGCGTCGCGGTGCACCAGCTGGCCGTTCAGGCACGCGGCCGCGTTCGTCTGAAAGCAGGACCGGCGTCAGCGCGCGCGCCGGTGGCGCCCCCGGCCACGTCACCCACGGCCGCGGCGCCGACCGCGACCTTGGACGCCGCAGAGGTGACATTCAGCGGACGGCGCAAAAGGCCGGACCTGCAAACCCCTCCCCTCCCGGACCACGAGGCCGGAACAGCGCCTCTCCCCCACCCACCGCGCCTGGATCGGTTCTCCGCCGCCCGCGCCGCCCGCCCTGGGGCATCCCATGGCATGACGCAACGGGTGGTGAATCGATGAGCCCACGGCGTTTCCCCGGTCCGCGGAGAACTGCGCAACAGCCGGGAGCAACGTCCCGCCCCTGGTCACGGGGTCGCCGCCCCATTGACCCCGGGGCGTTTCGCCAATTTCGTTCGGCACCGCCGGTCGGATCGGCTCACGAGATACGCCGCCTCACCACAGAGGAAGGCATGTCAGTCATCCGGCCACGCCCGCCACTGAGCACAACGGCCGACATTTGCCCGCCACTCCCGCAAATACCGCCAAAATCTGCAGCTTGGCTCGCAAAGTTAGCCTAATGGAAGGCGTCTCTCCTAATTATGCATGGGTGGTGCGTTAGCCGCATAAACGTCCCAAACCTTTCAAAGAATCAGGGCAAACAACACGCACTCGGAAAACGAAGCCATACACCTAAGCATCTCCTGCAATTTTAACGCTTCTCCATCATCATAACCACACACGGAGCCATACCGGACCGGCGCGCGGCGCCACCCCCATCACCACCGCCCGGCCAGACCACGCCGGGACGGCCCAAATCTGCCGCCGCGCCACCCCCGACACCGGCCGTCCGGCGTCGGCGGGGGCGCGGACGAACCGGGCCCGGACCGCACGAGATCTGCCGCCGCGCCACCCCCGACACCGGCCGTCCGGCGTCGGGGGCGGCGCGGACGAACCGGGCCCGGACCGCACGAGATCTGCCGCCGCGCCACCCCCGACACCGGCCGTCCGGTGTCGGGGGAGGCGCGGACGAACCGGGCCCGGACCGCACGAGATCTGACGCCGCGTCGGCTGCGCTCACCTCCGAGTCGAAGGTGCAGGCGAGCCACACCAGCAGCACCTCGAACACGCTCGACTTGAGCAGCGTGACACGGTCCTCCTCGGGCAGGCGCAGGAAGCCGGGCAGGCGCTTGGCGAACTCGACGACGGCCTTGATGTGCGGCCCGAACAGCTGCGAGTCGCGCAGCTGGCCGCACGCGTCCGGCTCGCGCGGGCTGAGCGGGCACGCCTGCAACAGCCGAGACGCCGGTCAGGTCAGGCAGGCCAGATTGCAGATCCGGTGAAAACGGCCTTCGTGAGCGCGTCTGTATCAGCGGAAAGCCGGTCAGGCCAGGTCAGGTCAGGTTAGGTCAGGTCAGGTCAGGTCAGATCAGACCAGGCCAGGTTCAAGTCAAATTGCAAATCTGGTGTACACAGGCGTTGGTGAGCGCGTCTGCAGCAGCGGACAGACGGTCAGGTCCGGTCAGGTCAGGTCAGGTCAGGCCAGTGGACTTGTCTGCGACGGCAGACACGTACCGTGCCGGGTCAGGGGTCTGTCGTTCATGGGCTGAGCGGAGAGACCTGAAGCGGCGGAAAACGAGATCACGTCATGCCAGGTCAACTGCATATGCAATGAATGGCAACCTCTGCCGGCTGCGTGCAGGAGGGTTTCTGGTTAAGATCAGGCGTGGGGTGTCGGTCAACCCTGGGGAGCAGGCTTAAACAGGTGACGCAAGGGGAAAGGCAGGGAGAGAAGTGAGGGGCCACGTCAGGTAACATGGCGTCATCTCCGCCGGGCAACGCCCCACTGTCGACCCTTCGCGAAGCGTCGGCACTGACACGGGCCCCTTCTGCGCTCCGACCAATTCCAGGGGCGTATCGACCCAGTTCGGTCCCCACTAGCAAAGTTCCCACCGGGGTTCCTGGACTGGCGGCATGGTGACCGGCTGCGTGGTGATTTGGAGCGGGGCCGACATAACCCCTGCTTACATAGGAAATGCTTGCCAGATTGGAACGAACCGTGCCATTAATAGCAATCTCGGTTATTCTCTTGAAAAGTGTTTTAAATTATCAGAATTTGTGCTGCAAGTGCGTTTGTGCTCCACTTCGCAACCAGGCTACGCAACTGACTGCAATAACTTCAGCATCTTGTACTATATTACTGTCGCCCGCCTACGGAGCCGGCTTGTTCAATACCAGCGGCCGCAGTGCCTTCTGGAGACCGACAACACCGCGCCTCCGCTCTGGCGTGGGACGTGTGACGTCAATAGTGACGTCATCCGGCGCTAGGTTACGTCGGGCGCGGCTCGCGGCGTTAATAGATGGGAGGCGGGCAGGTGACGGAGGAGCGAATTCTCGGGATTTGAAAACTAGAGCACAGAGCAGAAAGCAGACGATTCGAAGCATCGCTATACTCGTGCAGCCCATGAGGAATAACCGTTGTTGAATTTTCCACCATAAAGGCCTGGTAATTACGTGGGACGGATCCCAAGCGTGGGAGAAATTACAAGAAACCAAACGTGTATGCACTCGCCTCATCACCATATTTTTCACGACTGGGCTCTCCAGCAGCACTGACAGCACTTTCCACGCCGCGAGGACCGCCATCCAGCGGACGCTCGCGAGAGGACTATCTTATCACCTTTCCGGCACCGCCAGCCCGAGTCTGACTGACAGCAGATAACCGACCAAGGCTGGCGGCACATCAAGGCCGGGCCCCACTGTCGCGCCGCGTCACCTCCTGCGTTACGCCACGCCAGCGGCGATCCCAGAAGACGGCGGTGTGGATCCGGCGGACGGCTGTGAGGATCCCAGTGGACCTGTGTGGACCCCAGCGGACCTGTGTGGATCCCAGTGGACCTGTGTGGATCCCAGTGGACCTGTGTGGATCCCAGTGGACCTGTGTGGATCGCAGTGGACCTGTGTGGATCCCAGCGGACCTGTGTGGATCCCAGTGGACCTGTGTGGATCCCAGTGGACCTGTATGGATCGCAGTGGACAGCTGGGTAGATCGCAGTAGACAGCTGGGTAGATCGCAGTGGACGGCTGCGTGGATCGCAGTGGGCAGCTGGGTGGATCGCAGTCGGCAGCTGAGCAGACCCGAGCCGCATTCTGCCGCGGCCACCGGCCTTCCACGAAGGGCATCAAGGTTTGAGCCACGGAGCGCGCTGTTTGAGTTGACGTGAACTTAGCGACCACAACCAAGTTGACACCGGGATTTCCGCGTCATGGCGGTCCCACGAGACAGATTGCCCTTGACTGTCTGGTCCAGAAAGTTTTGCGCTCCCGCGAGACCGATGAGCGGCTTATAGTGTCGCCGCCTCTTATCAGAAGACGCGGAAATGGTGCAGAGAGTGCACGATAAAGAAGACGAATGACCAAGCCACACAACTGTGAGGCGAAATAGGATTAGTCGCTTGACTCTCGGAAGCCCGACGGCCGAGCTGTCACTCAGCTGCCAAATCCCTCCTCTATAAACAGTGGACTCCGCAGGAGGTGACGTCCAAACGACCTCGCCATGCCCCCCCCCCTCCACCACCCTCCCCGCCGGCTTGCTATCAGCAAAAAAACTCGTCCACAGGTGTGGGCAAGGTTAGCACGGCGAGCATCTGGGAGCCGGGGGCAATCAGCAGCGACCTTGACTCATTTCCGACAAATGTCACGGCACGACGGGCTGTCCGTGGGCAGCGCAGGCTGCCGGCGAGCCGGACCGAGGGGGCGGCGGGGGGGGGGGGGGCAGCACTACTGTGGCGGAAAAACACCCACGGTTCGTCGGTCTTTACGTGGATGGAGCGTTAGGCAGGGAGGGTTAGAACGCGAGCGCGGTAAGGCACGCAGGTGCGGATGCCTCGCTTTGCCGCGCTCCGCGCGCGACGGTTCAGTCGGCGGCTGACACCGATCACAGTGAGACCTCGGGCACAGCCGACGTCGGGACTGCCCATGCGGCGGACAATAGGCAGACATCGAGCTCGGCCGCCTCTCCAGCCCAAGCGCGGCGCGGCGCCGCCGAAACACCGCTGCCCCGCCGCCGCCGACGCCCGCCGGCGGAGCCCCCGCCCAAGGTGACGCTTGACGTCACGCGTCCGCCCGCCGCCGGGGGGCGGGGACGCCGCGGCCCGACGGGCATCCGGAAGTGCGTGACGTCACCGGAGGGCTTCAGGGTCAGCGACGGAGACGCGAGGGCGCGGGGAGGGGGACTTTGATCGGCTAGCGGCGGCGACACCGTCACGTGCATGGCGCGCTGCTTCGTCGTTCTCGGAAGCAGGCGTCAGAGCCACAAATTCTCGGACTTGTTGTCAGTTCACCGGTTCTTCCAACGACTGTCAGGTCGCCGCTCCCTTACATTAGTTACCCCCGGATATTCTCCATCTGAAGTGTCTCAAGACTCCGGTTAGGAACTTCGAGGTCTGAGGGGTTACGCGCAGCGGCGGAGCACAAGGAAACCGATCTGGCTGTCCTTCGGCACCACTTCTGAGTGTTCCACTGACCAACATTGATAACGGCGAACCCCTGCGCCACTTCAAACGACGCGGAGCGCGACCGTGAACATCAGATACGCGCACACGTTCCGCTGCCGCCGCCGACACCTTTGAGAATGGCCCCGTGCCGCTGAGTGGCTTGAGATTGGCAGCGTAAAATCTCCACTCTTTAACGGAGCGCCGTCTAAAATCGTGTAAAGATCTGGGTCGTAACCTGGACGGTGGTGATCGGAAAACGGCAACGGCTCACTTTGGGATTTGAATTACTAACCACCAGCTTCGCCAAGGTATCTCACGGTGAGTACGACAGCGCATTCAATCACCTAGTCATCAGCCTACAGCCAAACAAACCAGCCCCGGCCACCGCAACTCATCCCGTTCACCAATTAAGCGCCGCCATCCATCACCATGCCTGACGAGCACGTCTCCATCCTCCTGACCCCTCCCCGCTGGGCGGCGGTACTCACGTATCCGGCGGCGGTCTGGCTGAGCGCGTCGGTGGCCTGACCGACGGCGGCCGCCTGGCGGGCGCGCTGCAGCAGCGGCGCCACCCGCGGCGCCGTGAACTGGCACGTGGCGAGATGGGCCTGCACCACGGCCTCGGCCAGCACGCTCTCGTCCTCCAGCTCCGACAGTGCAGCCTGCTGCCGGTACTGCTGGCTCACGGACTGCATGGCCGCCAGGATCTTGGCCTTCTCGCGCTTCGGCACACGTCCGAACCGCACCGCTGGAAAGGAAACGGCGCGCGCGTCAGCCGGGTGCAGGTGACGTCACGACCGTCGATGGGAGGAGCCGTCTGGGGGGGGGGGGGGGCGCCCTCGGGTGTAGATGGTGGCGGAACGCTTTCAGCCAGGCGACACGAGGGGGGGGGGGCAGGTGCGGCCAGGTGGCAACGTTTCAGACAGGCAAGGCAGCCGACAATGCCCGACCCAAGAGTGTGCTGATTTGCATATTTGACCGCGAAGAGGGCAGCGAACTTCACCGCGCCGCAATTCGTTTCGCTTCGCAACGGCTCACTTTAAGGCGAGCATTCCATTTGCATCATGTAAGCATAACACGGGCTGAGGCCGTAATACGGAAAGACGGCCGCATCTCATGCATGACATTAGCCCAACGGAGCACCTGTGGCAGAGTAACGAGAGCCGATCACGTGCTCCGCCAGCGGCGCCGCGAACCACCCGCCAACCCCGGCTGACCCCGACAAAGCGGTCACGCAGACCACGGCTTCGGTAAACGCGGCAGCCGCCGCGGAGGAAGTGGCCGTCGAACGCAGGACCGGAGCGGGGGCGCACTTCAACACAGGGACCGGAACTTCCGCCGGAAGAGGCCACGAGTCACCGACCTCCTCACCCACGCCAGGATCGTTAGTATGAGGGGTCGACGCCCCGCGTCAGCCACACCCGACATATCGACACTCGACAAATCGAGCTGGGTTTGCTGGATCAGCAACATCCTACGAGCGGCGCGTTTGAAAATAAAGAATGTGCACCGCCAGGGTTGAACACTGGCACAACCTCGAAAAGCACCCAGCGAAGACGGCCGCAACCGACACGACCAGCACGACCCGAAGCCGGTCGGCCCTACCCCCGCCTGCAGGCCGCTGCCGACCCGTCACGATCTCAACCCTGCCGCCAACTCACGCGTGCGCCCGCCTCCAGCGCGCCTCTCCAGAATCCCCTTCAGGATCGGCGACTGTCCCGGCCACGTCCATGTCTGAGCACCACCGGCCCGGAGCACGACCGCCGTGCTCTCGGCGTGCCGCCCGGGGGGCGACTCACCGGCCGTTCCGGGCGCGGCGCGCCACCGCCGGCGGCTGCGCGCCACCGCCGACCTTGAAAACCGAGCCGGCGTCGATCGCGGGGAGGGGCGGTGGGGGGCAGGGGGAGGGGGCCGCTGACCCACTTCCCGGGTGCGACGACCGCCAGGTGGGCGCCCCACTCCCTCCCCCCCCCCCCCGGACGGGGAAGAGAGGGAGGGGAGTGGTAGGAGGATAATGGGCTGTACATGAGGACGCGAGTGTTCACTAGGAGGGTCAGGTTGATGGAAGGTCAACTTGACGGAAAATGCCGAGGATTTAGGTTCTTGCTGACTACGGCGCACATTTCGGGGTGCCGCTTCTTGGATCCCCATCAGGCGACAAGGACATCGAGCACGAAACCCCGGCAAAAGCTCCAGCCTGTTTGATGCTGTGAACGGACGCAACGGAAAACTTGCTTCTCACGAGCTACCTCACCGCCTTATTACCTCAGTAAGGAGTTTCGGGACGCTCATGCCTGAGTCAACCTACGAAGTCTAGACGCGATCTCGCGATGTTTTCCGTCGCGGTTTGAAGGTGCGGTTATGACGTGTGAAGACAGGACTAGGTTACATTTCTTCATAGTGACTCACATCATTCCGAATACTCCAGCCTCAGAAGACACCGTCGTTGTCTAGGTAGCGGACATTGGCCCACTACGAGCCATGCAAGCCCGTCATATTTCGACAAAGCACGCATGCCCTTCGCGTATTTGACATCAAAACTGGCTAACCAAAGGGACGAGTTTGGGTTCCGCGTCGCCCATCCTCGTGCAGGTTGAGAGTCGCACGCACAACCACACAATTATGGCTGAAAGCTCAGCAAATATCTGACAAAGAAGCAACAGCCATAACGTGGAGCAAACATGCTTCTAACAAGCCCGTTGCATGCGCCGCCGTCACCGGCGTGCCACCACCCCCGCTGCCTGCTCCCCTCGCCCTCTTCCCGAGCCCAGCGGCGGCCCAGGGTTGTTGACACGCCTCTGTCCCGCCCGCTGGCCCCTGTCGAACCGCTGGCCAATTAAGTCCCGTTGCCGCCGCTTATTAATAGCGACGGAAGCTCCGGTGTGAACTTCCTGCGCCAAACTTCGGTCCGTGCCGGCCGGGCGCCGCCGCTGAGCGCGTCACGGCAGGGGTCGGTGACCTCGTGACGGGCGCCCCGGCCGGCAGCCGGGGCACCTCGGTCCGCGGCCGCCCGTAAACAGCGGCCGGCTGCGCGAGAGATACGCACACGAGCGGACGTGGTCTTGGGTGGGACTGCTCCAGGTTGTTTATGTTTACCGTAATCAGTGTCTCAGCAGCAGCACTGGGAGGGTCGTTCGCGGGCGAACGGGGCATGGTGACTTTAAGGAAACGTGTATACGGGGCCATTGTACCAAACGGATGGATATGCCGCGCTAGCGCTCGACTAAGCTGTCTGTGAGGCTGGAGATCAAACATCTTATCGGTGGCATCTCATAATGCGGGGAATGCACCGGCATTCAAGCTATTTCATTTGGTTCATGACAGGGTAAGGAACGACGCTATGCATGCTATGAGGACTTAGTCCTGTCGCCGGCGGCCTACAGTTCACGTCTGAAGTGTCTGACAGAGTAAAAATGCGGGGAAAATTTCTTTCCACTTATCAATGCTTGATGCGACTTCAATGCCTGTAGTAGGAGCATAAATGCGACCACGACGGGCATCTCAAACAACTCGTGCGGAAAATTGCACGCCTTTGAATGGAGCACGAATGCGAAAATCGGATATCTCGCACAACTCAAGCGGAAAACTACACAACACGCCAGGAAGCAGGGGACCACCAGCACAAACCGGTTCTACACCAACCGAACCACCCCACTCTCCTCTCCACTCACCCTTGGCCGTGTATCCCATGCCTGCCACCAAGCCTCCGCTCGGCTCGTCCCTGCTCCCAGCACCTCTCCGACGGCGCGGGTCCCGCTCTCAAGCTCGGCTCGGTCCCGCAGCGCGGCTCGACCCGTTCTGTCGCGCCGCCCCCTCGCCGCCCGCACCCCGTTCGCCAGCCAACTGGAGCGCTCGCCTCCTGCTGACCCCGTAACCCGAGGTCGTTCACCCGGCGCGCGCGCGCCGCGGTGGCCAGCGGTGGGGGGGGGGGGGGCGTTCTGATAATCGACGGCGCCGGTTGGTCATCTCCCGCTTGTCATGTCCGGCGCACGCCGGCAGACAGTGAATAACCGCCCGGGGCTAACCGGCTTTCAAATCCAGGAGCGTTTAAATGGACGGGGAACGGCTGAGCAGCGCACATTTGAGAACTACGGCGCTCGAGCCTGAATCTATGGAAGTTATGGCTTTGCTGCCACTCTATCGCCGTTGTATCTTGCATTAGACCGCCTGTGCGAGACGTTGCTGCTATATGGCTAGATAAAGAACGACGTAATCGGTAGTACATTCCAGGTGCAGCTGCGCGTAACTGGGCACTGCAAACCGCACACTGACAGCGGATTCGCACGCGTCTTCAGCAGCACGGCAATGGAACGCTAAGATCCCCTTAGACAGCCGATTCTAACGTTATCGGCCTGCTGCGGCCGCGCCATCTCCACCGCCCACTACTCTCCCTCTCCTCGTCTCCTCCGCCGCCTCTCAGGTCAGCGCCCGGCCTGCACAGCACGCCGGTCAGCGAGCGGGGTGCACGACCGGCGAGCAGCGGCGGCGCGCGCGGCGGCGCGCGCATCTGGAGCAGCGCGCGCCGCCGCCAGCCGTACCGTTAGCGCGCGTCACACGCAGCTGTTCGCCGTAGCGGCGCGGTGACGCGCGCGCGCGCGCCGCTCCCGGGAAACGCGGAGAGGGGCGACGGCGGGTCGGTGACCCCGGCGGTGAACGACCGCCAGCGGCTGCCGACGCCCCCGCGAGGCTCGAACCCAGCACCGGCCCAGCCCTGGTGACCCGGCGGGAGACGGCGCCTCCGGCCGACGCCGCGCAACGGCGTGCGGACAGGCTGTCTGTCTGTCTGTCTGTCTGTCTGTCTCTCGGTCGGCCGGTCGTAAACGGTCAGCTGACGCGAGGCATCTGACCCGACAGGCGGGCCGTGAGGCAACCGGTGCTTAGACTATGTAAGTACATGGACAGTGTTTGCTTGCTACCTGGGTCGGTTAGTCCCACGGGCGTTAAGGTCAAAGTAATGCAACTGCAAGGATGGTTCAGACGTCGAAGACACGTAAGGCCTTTCAGTCAAACCAGAGATAAATCTCAGTGATTGCATTTGCAACATAAACCCTCCGCACTAATTCGCAGGGAAAGGATAAAGGATCCTAACTTAAAATGAATTGTGCAAAGAAAAGCTGACCTGGAATTTTTAAGCCAGGCCCCGATCTAGGGCTTTTCCAGGTCGGCGGACCCTTCACAGAGCTACTCACCATCTCGACTCATTCCAACAGTCATGCACTTCTTCAGGCGGCAGTACTGACACCGATTGCGGTTAATCCTGAGAATGGAGCAGTTCTGGTTCTTGGTGCAGGGCTTGTACTGGATCTTCTGCTGGATGGAGCGCCGAAAAAAGCCCTGTAACCGTGACCAGGCAGCTGGTTAAGGCGGTGCTAACGGGCGCATGGGCGCGCCTACCGGCAGAAGGGGGCGTGACGTTCGACTAAGCACAGCCACGCCAACACACGTGCAATCCATTATGCCCGTTTGAGACCGAGACAAAGCCAACCACCCTCTCTGGGGCGCCCTGTCCGGCCAACCCCCAACCTAAAAAGCCAAACGCGCAGCGGCCGCCTCCCACCGACTTCGCGTAGCCGGCGGCGGTGCGGCGAGCACCGGCGCGGCGGCGCGCGCCAGCCGAGGACTTGCGCCGCGGCCGCCGCGTCACGCTCGGCCGCGCGGCGTGGAGCGTTCCTCGCCGCCTCCGCCCGTGGGTTGCACGGTTTACCGCGGCCGCTGGCGGCGGCGGGGTCATCGACTGGGCCCCGGCCGGCCGGCGACCCTCCCATGACTCAGGCCACTCGGCGCCGATCAGCGTTTCTCGGCGGCGGCGGCCGGCGCTGTTTTTCCTCGGAAGCGGCTAACGGATCGGCGGGCAACAAAGCCGGGGGAGTCCATAAACGTCCGAGATGGCCGCGCGGCGTCCTCGCGCCGGCGCCGAGGTGCTGCCACCGCCGCCTGTGAAGTTCACACCGCTAGTCCGGGGAGGGGGCTGCTGTTGGGAAGTCTGCTTCGGTGCGACCGACGCGGGGTTAAGGCCAGAAAATGGTGCGCCTAGTCGTTCCTTCTTTCGCAATTTCTCCAGCGGTAAACTTTTTCGGCGTTCGATGGCTATTTTATACCAATTTTGGACAAAATTGAAAGCATGACTGTGGGACCCGCTGTTCGCACGATCATACCGATATTCCCCTGTAACACTACGCACCATCAGCCTGCCCACCGCGCCAGCCAAACGAAACGCCACGAGACCCGACAACGACGGCATCCTCTCCAGCCCCTCCCCTCTCCCTGGCCGGCGGGTGCGACACCCAGCCCGGGTTCATAGATCACTTGGCGTCGGCGGTCGACGCCTGACACCGTCATGAACCCTGCCCCTCCTGGCCTTGGTCGCCGGCCGGGGGTGAACGACTGGCCGGTCGGCGGCCTTGGTCATCGGGTCGATGTCAGGCCGCGCCCCGTCGCTTATAGCCCGGGACGACGTGGCGCTGACCTCGGCGACCCCCCCCCCCCCCCTCCCCTTCGCCTCCGCCTCGGCCGACGGCGGCGGCAGCGGCGGCGGCGGCGGCACCAAGGCCAGCTGAGAGGTCGATCGCTTCAGGGATACGCACGAGGCCACGCTGCGCCGGTATAGATCGCATGGCGGCGGACGCGGCCGCGCGCGGGACGGCGCGTACCATCGACCGGGGGTGAGCGGGGCTGGGTGAGCGGGGCTTGGAGGAGTGCCGGGCGAGCAGACCGAGCGCCTCGGGGCGTGGGAACTGAAATCGAACGGCACGCGTCGACGAAAGCCATCAAACGCCTTGAGGTTAGACGATAGGTCGGTTTCTGAGGCGTCACGGATGTGAGGCTGTATGCGGTCTGATGTGTCACTCACCTTGCAGCCCTCGCACGAGTGGACGCCGTAGTGAAAGCCCGATGCCTTGTCCCCGCACACTTGACAGAGCACGGTGGTGCCATCGAAATCTGCAGCACAAGACGGAGCGCACGTCGTCAGAACGGTCTCGACTGCCCGAGTACGCCGCAGTTGTAATTTATGACACGCTCGAAGGCAGCCCAGCCGGCAGTCGAGGGCCTGCGTAGTTCAGACCCCAATAGTTGAAGACCGTCGTAAACTAACGGTCCCGTCGTAAAACTCATACATTCGATCAGTCCTTGTCGTAACTCATTAGCAGAGCCATTATCGCTCATGAATTCCGTATACTATGTCGACTATTCGTGATGGCTGAGTCATCAGATGGGTCAGGAGCGTGATTGTGGCAGGAATGTGTTGAAGAGGAGAAGCATGCACGGAAGCGAACACGCTGCACATGTGGACCACGCTCGCTGAAGTAAGCGCTCAGCGCCAGGTAGTCCCACGAATACGACAAGGTACACGACACGGTGGTACGACACGGCATCAACATGACTGTAGTAGCCATATCAATGCACCGATGAATATGCCGCATAAATTGACGGCTGCAGAAGACATACGGATGCACGGCTCCAGTGGAAACATGGATACCCGGTTGCAGTACCCATGAGCGTCCCACTGCACTTGCTCCAGCGGGCGTGCGTACGACTACTGCAGTTACGCGGTAAATGTACGTGACAGTCATACGAATGCATCGCTGCGGTGGTCCTTCTAGCTGCCGACTGTAGCGGACACTTGAATGCACGCCTGCCACGTCACAGGCATGTAGTACACGCGTGCACGAGCGCATGAGTCACACGCACGCAGCGGTGCGGGACCCGCCCGGGCACAGCCAGCTCGTCGGACCGGTCTGAGTTCAGGGACAGCGTACGGTCCGACGGCCGAATGGCGACGCTTCCTGCGCACGCGGCGGCAGCTATGCCAGAGCGCAGGCGAAAGGGTTACTTAACTTCAGACTGGCTATGTGGTGCACCGAGGAAAAACGTAAAACAACGCACAAGTGCATCACTAAATGAATTAAATGTCAAAACGCATCAAACGTGAAAGTGCACAAATATAGTGAAACACAACACAAATATAATGAAATGGTGCGGCTCGCAATGCATCGCTACAAACTGGGGATGCATTGTGCATGACTACCTCGTGAATTCTTTGCAGTATGCAGTTTACTACCATCTTCTTCAGAGCGGCCGGTACAAGCACAAGAGCTGACCAGCCGCCCTGGTGCAACCCAAGCAAACGAAGATACCTTCGACAATGTGACCCGCCCTTCTCACCATCGATCCATTCCAGCAGGAGCGTCCTACGCGACCATCACCTCAGACATCCCGAAACCCTTCAGCAATCTTTCACCAACCCCAAACATTTCCAGCACAACGCGGCGTCCTCTCTCCGTGTCAGAGGCAAGGAGAGGGGAGGGGCGCAGGTCGAGCCGCTCCCACGGCCGGGCCGGCGCCAGCTGATCGGCCGCTATTTCCGCCCGCAGGTCGCTCACCCGGCGGCCTTTTTGCGCGTGCGGCCGCCGCCGGCACGTGGCGCCGGGAGGGGGAGCGACGGGGAGGGGGCTGCGGGGGTGGAGAGGGGGGGGGGGGGCGCACAGCACGTGGCGGCGGGCGCAGGCGGGCTCGTCGGCGGGAGCGTCGTCGGTGCGGCCGAGACGTTGCGCGGCGACGGCAGGGACCGGGTGTAACGTCACGTAATGTGACACGAGGGCTTCCGGCGGCGCACGAGTGTGCCCGGAAATCGCATGTTCGCACCATCGCACCGACCCCAGACGGAAGCCACGGCAGGAACAACATTACATGGCTTCCTTCTCCACCACTAACAAACTGGCGTCCGACAGTACTCTTAGCTACTCGCGACTAATCGCAGCGACGCTCCAAACGATTCAGGCGTGCTAGCGTTACTGTCCCCAGGCGAAGAACGCTCATAGAGGTTGGTGTGACAATACTCCCAGAACAAGCGTGCACCATATGATTAAACGTTAAAATAACAGCAGTTTTACGGATATTGATATTGCAGCTACCTCTTTCCTCCAGTCACAGCGCGTCTACCTTCCGTGGCCTACCGAAGCGTCCCGAAAACGCTCGCACCAGTACACCACTCACAGTCACAAACAGAAAGGACGATGGCGGGACGGAACGCCGACAATGAACCAGCGACGGCTAGGTAATCGTCCGCCCTCTCCAGGACCGCAAGTCAAACACATCGCCGTCCGCCCGAAGCTGCCGTCATGGCAGACGTCGGCCCCCCGGCACGTACCTAGCGTGGGAGGCGGCCGGCTGTGGTCGGGGGTGGTGCTGGACACGCAGCCCGCCTCGTGCGGCGCCCTCTCGCACATGGCGCCGACGCCGACGCTAGCTCGCGCGCGCCCGCCACCGACGCCGGCCGCAGGCGGCCGCTAATAGTGAAAGTCGGGTCCGGACTGCGCGCGGGGCGGCCGCCACGACGCGCGCGGCGCGGCCGGCGGCGGCGACGGAGGCCCGCCATTGGTCCAGCCCGGCGCCCGTCCATTGAACCGGAGGACCTTGATCTTGCGACGGGCGCCCGCCGGCGCCGCCACAGGTGCCCTCCCGTCGGGCGACAGGTGTCCGCGCGACGGAGGAGCCTCGCGAAGGATCGATGTCTGCACGGCACAGGACCCGTGTCCGTAGAGCGGCTGGCCGGTTTACGCACGGCGGATGACCTGCGCTCGCACGAGGAGGACTTCGAAGGAGGAGCGGCGTACGCACAGCGCGAGACTCGTTTCCGCACGGCAAATGACCTCTGTCCGCTCGGGGAGGACTTCCGCGGAGGAGCGGTGTCCGCACCACAGAAAAAGAACGCCCTCGCAAGGACAAATGCCCCCCCCCCCCCCGTTTCAGGACATGTTCGAACTGTTAGCTGCATCAGGGACATGCGGATTCCTGGCAGCGAACATGTACCCAGGACGGACGATACATGTCCCACGGTGGAGACTGCGGAGACGCCAGGAAGCAGACCAAAGGCGCCTAGCCATCTTAAACATAGGGTGGGCTAAGCCTGGCCAGTGGGCAGCCCATTGTGGCCTCACTACAGCCCATCCTGATCCATGTAGGTCCCATCCTAATCCATGTAGGTCCCAGTTCGAACTCTAGTGGGCCATTCTAACCCGTAGAAGGTCCACTATTGACTCTGAAGGCACATTTTGTTCTGCGCGGGGATTCTTATCTGTAGAGGGCCCATTATCGACTGCGAGGAGCCTGTTCGGGTCTGTTGAGGGCTCACTATCTAATCTTAGGGGCCCATTTTGGCATTTTTAGTTTGCCCCCCCCCCTCCTACCCCCGACTTCAACAAAGTTCCGCGCACCTGTTCCTATGTCACTCGGCCTAAGCCATAACGGTTACACAGCGGCGCGCGTGGTCGATCGAAAAGACAATTTGAAGATTTGTGAGCTGTTGGTGCGGGATTAATGTCACCAGAGCACGACAGGATTCGGCTGAGAAATCCATTCAGATTAGATCCGAGAAGATTGCGCATACGCTCATAAAGCAGGCCAGTAATGGGCGAGTAGCTACTCTGCTTGTCGAGCCTGTTGTTTCAGGTACTCACCAGCCAGCGTGTTATGCGCCGATCATATAAAGCATGTAAATGAAAATGTAAGGGCATGAAGGCAAGTAGTTGTTCTTGAGCTAATGGTATATCAATGGTTAGCGCGAAACCATCCATTCGCAATGGCAAATGATCACACAGGATCGCAGGTCAACAGCGCACTGATGACCTTTCTTCTGTTGTACGACTGCTATGAAAATAACGTCCAGCGTCATAGGTAGCCTTTCTCGTTAAATTATCTTGCATTCCGCTCACAAGACACAAAACTATTTTTGCCGGGGTAAATACGTTGGTACAGGCACCAGCCACCAGAATTGGAACGATCAGGTTGCATTTCCATAAGCATCGTGATATAAGTTCTGGCGAGCTGTATTTCCGTACGGTGGTCTCCGATTTCCGCTTGTTTGCTGATGCAGAGCGTAACTTCAAAAACGCTGGGGCAATAGTGGGATTCGGTCTTTCATTCCTTGCATGCAACGCTATGGACGTGACGTTGATTTCCTGAAAAGTTGTGTCTCCCACCGCCGTCTCCCAGCCTCATGACTCCGTTCCCCTCCCCCCTCCCCCAGCCTGGAGCACAGCCAACAGCTGCAGACCAGCGGGAGGTTGCCTCGCCGCGGCCGGCACGCGCGCGTACCCCCGGCGGCGGCCCAGTGCTCCGCACGCACGCGCGGGGCGCGCCGCAGGACAAGGAAGGAAACACCGCCGGCGCAGCGCGCGTTTCCAGTTCATTCCCAATGGCCAGCGGTGCGGACCGTTAGCCACCGCCCGGCGCTGTGAAGGGCGTCCCAAGAGCGCGATGAAACCAAAAGTTGAACAACCCGGAGGGCCGCTTCCTCGTGCCGCGCCGCGCCTAATGGGGCCAATGTCTTCTTCGGCTTCGGATAGCGGACCGGCGGCGGCGGCCGGTCCGCGCATGCGCACAGCCGCCGCGCGGCCATCGACCGGGCGCGTGGCGCTCGGAATACGCGCCAGATGGCTCTGCAGAGTCAGCCTGCGCCGTCGGGCGGAGACGAGGGTCGGAGAGCGGCGGGGGGCGACGGCTCCAGCGCCGCGCCCGGCTCGAGGAGTCGGGACACTGGGCGCGACTTGACGATCGCAGGGGACGGCCAAGACGGCCGCCGGTTCAGCATCAGAGTTATGAAGATGTGGTGGCTCAATGTTTAATGTCCTGTGATATGTCAGAAGCCTTATTTTGACTGTGCTCGGACGGGGCTCCCACTAAGGAGCACTCCAGACCTGTCATGGCTGGCGCGTGTAGCTTACCCCGGTCATATGGGGCGTCACGAGGATGCATGAGGAAGCGAGAATGAGGCAAAAGCGGCGGGCGTCAGTCAGAGACCGTAGCAAATTTTACAATCAGTGGCTGCACGAAGCCACCTGAGATAGAAGTGCTGTGATAACCATTAACGGGGGGAAGAGGCCGTCAATTTGCTATCGGGAGCAAAGAGAGCCAGCATGCTACTGAACGTCGCAGGCGATCATACCCACATACATCAGGCACGTCTCTAACTTATCAGCTCAGTTTTACTCGGCGAGTGTGAGAGAGATAAGAATGACAAAAGGCGCAGTCAAGAGCGCGCGTGAGGCGTTGTTGTTGAGGCAGGTTGAAAAAAATTCAAAGAATTTTAGCCATCGGTAGAAGCTTTTTCTACGACAAGACACTAAGAAGCTTTAAATAGGAGAAGTCGAAACCATTTAATAACCTTACTAACTTCGTCTTGGAACTACATGCTAATGCTATTGCGACAAATGGAGAGACAAGTGCTCTTAGCACAGAGTGGCCTTGATGCCCTTCCTCTGGTTCTTCAAGACGACAATGGCTCAAAATCATAAAGCTTCGCCTGCGAAGCAAGTACGCTGTACGTGCCAAGACTCGAGTGCAACAAATCCGACTGCAGAAGGCCGTGGCTGGTACTGTGCTACCACCTATCGAATCTGGTTATAAGTACAAGTTCAAAACTAGTGGCGAACTAGCGGTTGGGTATATGACCACTAGATGTCTCCGTGATCGGCAAATCTGGTTGAACTACGGCACTGCCAGTTTCAGCCAACTTTGGACGGTTCGGCATGTCGAGGTGCTCATTTGACGAAAACCGGCTTCCCAAAAATTAGGAACGCTACATTTCTTACTAGTATCTGATATCTATGCGCACGTAAGGAAAATCGAACTTTAAGGTAGTTCGGAATTATTAGTGATGCCACCCAACATATGACACGCCTTTTCAATAGATGTTTTATAACAGTTTATATAAAACAGCGGTATAACGGCATGCATAATACAACTACACTTCTATATTACTTCCAAAGATCCCGCGATGATGCCTTGAAACACTCGACCAACTCTAACCAGCCGTGAATATCACAACCTCTACTACTACTCCACCAACGCAATATCTCGCCCTTCGCAATCGTAGACGCCCCAGACCCGGTCTGCTCGGCTGGGGGGGGGGGGGGGGGAGCGGAAGCCGCACGCGAGCCGCGGTGTCGCCAACGACGGCGGCCCACATCTAGGTCAGCGATGGGCGAGTTCAGCGACCGGCGCCGCACGCTGAGGTCAGGCGGCGCAAACACTTTCACTTTCACGGACGCGGCGCTTGTGACGCCGGCGGGCTACTTCCAGGACAGCGGCGGGGGAGAGGGCGGCAGGGCTCGACACGCCCCGGTCAGGTCCGGCTGGTGGCGGGCGGCGACGCACTGGGCCGGCGGTAAGACGGGTAACAACGGGTTCGAACCGCGAGCTCCGGTGCCGGGCCGGGGAGGATGATGATAGTGTTTGGGGGCTTTGTGACGATCGCCTTCTCAACGGCATGCAACTCTTTGAATGAGTGGTTGTGATGTAGGCTGACGCAAGCAAGCTAGCGTCTTCGTGCCATTTGAATGGAAAGGATACGTGGAATAGCCTCCCCGCACCCGGACGGTTAGTGGATTAACCGTGGTGTCGGTACAGACGACGTACACCTGAACTTAGAGGTAATGCAGTTAAGATAATATTCTATCCCGCACTGAAGCTGGAAGTAACTGATGGAAGCGAGTATACATCATGCACATACATGACGTCAAGCTGGCCACGTAGCTCAGACGTGAGCTCGCGCGAGTTCCAGTTAATTTTGGTGCCAAATATCGATGCACGACTTTCAAGACACTCGCATTGGTAAAGAAGTAAAGTGTGGAAAAGTTTTTCCACAAAGCTCAGGCTAACAGTTCAGCTCTGCTCTCGTTGGGTGTCAGCAATAACCACCTCCCACGCTGGGCATCATCGGCATGCACCCTGTACCCTGCACACATAGTCGTCGTTAACATGGCAGGACCTATCCGGATAGTCTGCGGTCCTTTCTCCGGTGACTTTCACGCATCTATGCCCCGCGCAGCGCGCAAGAAGAACGAAGTAGAGCAGTCCACCCATTAATAAGCTCTTGATCCCATTTCGCAAGCGGCGTGCCTCGCTTTCATTTTGCACCTCCCAAAAGAGAAAAGCCCACGCTAGCGCGGCGCTGCGGACCCTCGGTTTCCCCGACCCGAAGAGCAGCGACCTCTGCTATTGCCTGAGGCTGCTGTCGGCGCAGCCGCCATCGGCTACCCAAGGCTACGGCTGACGTCAAGCCGACGATGGGAGCGACCCGCGCGCCGCCTGCCGGCCGCTGACCTAATTACGAGGCTGCCGAGCCGAGTTCATTCACCTGACCCTGAAAACTAGGCCATGCGGCAGAGGCGTTGCCAGCGGTCGGCACACGGGCGACGGGTCAGGGGCCACCGCGGGGTGCAGGGGATTTCTCATTAGCTCCCCTCACGAGCCGCCAAATTTTTGCCTGACAGCTGATCGATCTCATGACAAATGGGGGTCTATCCAGGGGCGCTGTCATGCGTTTCGTTTCAATGGCCCACATACGCGGAATGCTTTCCTTGCCTGAGATTGTCTGCGCACAAACCATATTGTCGGCACAGGTGTCAAGCTTTCGAACAGTCTTATGCCGCCCCCGAAATTGCATGGCCTATGTCGCTATGCAACAAGGTACAGGCGATAGCCACAAAAGTGCCAGCACTTGCAGCCAACAAGGTTGTCTGCACACCGCATGACCAGGCCCGCTCCAATCCCAGGTCATAACCACGGTGCACAGACGCAGGCCTTGCACCGGATCCAACAGGCGTCGGCGCACGTCGACGACGCGGAAAAATATCTGCCAGCGCTCCTGGTCCCCGTCCAAGCGCGCGCCTGCCAAGTTGTGTCGCGACCTTGACGTCGCGAGGCGCCGGTAAAAGTAGGCTCCGCAGTACAGCACGGTTTCGCGTAACCGGCCGGCTTAGGTCGTGCGACCGCCCCGTCGGCGCCGCCGCAAGACAGCGGCGAAAAGTGAAACCGGGTTCACTGACCGCCCGCTCGGGGAGCCACCGCCGGGACCCAACGAAAGCAAACGCTTTGGAGAAAGTCGCCGAAAGTGAAACTCGCTTCGCCTCGGCCGCGCACGGCGGCACGGGTTGCATGGCAACCGAGTGTGAACTGCCTGAGAGGCTCGGGACGCGCTCCTGTTCGGAAGAAATCGGCTGGAGATGCCGCTCCGGGCTCCAGGCTGTTACGGGCAGTTTTGCCAGACGCATGACGTCAGACAACACTCGAGCCTCACCTGACCGTCGGGATAAAGGGTTCAACGGCAGACAACGCCCATTTGGTCTAGACCGTGCTCAGAACGAGTCGCCTTAAAACAGGGTCAGAAACAGAGCATAAGAGCCAACACGACAGGAACGGTGTTCGGACGACCGCAAAAACTAAACATATCCACTCGTAACCCCGATGCAGGGGCGAGGCTTTGCAAAATAAGTGGAAGAGGTGCACGGGAAAGGGGCTAAACTTAGCCCCAGAATACGCCAAAAAGGTGTTTCACGAGACTTCGGCCCGCTTTCTTCTCAAAGTTAGAGGGGCGTAATAACACCGTCAGCTGAAGAGGAGCCTACACCCCTGGCCCGTCGGACGTACCTGCCACGATGCCAGGGCTGAGCGCGCCCACCTCTGACCGGGCCAGGTCGAGCAGCATCCTGCACTCGCCCGCTGACTAGAGCGGTATCACAGCGGAGACGAGAGAGCGCCGGCGCGCGGAGCGAGCGGACGCGGTACACTGGCGTGGCAGCCGGCCGGTCGGCGCCCCTGCCCGCTCCCCCCGCCCCCCGCCGACCGCCCACGGCCCCGACGGTGGCGGCGCGCGGCCGAGGTCGTCGACCTCGCGTCCGGATCGATGGGCGGCCGGCCGTCGGCGGCCGCGAGCGACCGGCGACGAGCGGCCTGTTGTGCGACCTGGCGAGCGGTCAGAGGTCCGGGTCTGCCGGCTTCCCGGACAGGCGCCCATGAGCTCCCCGCCGTCCGGTGGAGACGGACGGGGACAGCACCCAGGTGTGCTCTGCCAGAGACGGGACAGACTGGTTGTCTGCGGCAAGACCAACGCCGCCTGGGATGGCAGTCGCACACAGGCTCGATACATGTCAATCGAGAAAGCATAGAGTTACTTTAAGACCGACGTTCTGTGCAGCCGTGTTTTGTATAAGCGTCCACTGCGGCGTCTGGGTCAGCACCTTCCTTCCACTGTAGAGATCAGCTGACTTATGAGCGGTGCGCTAAATGTGCATATTACCAGGCATGCAAAGTCGGTGCGACTCAACGTTCAGACACGCACGCGGTGGCTGTATTCATAAGACTCAGACTGCTGGACAATGCGCGCGCAGGAGGGCGCACACAGTGCATGCCAGCAGTGTATCAGTACTACAGGTAAGACATTCCTTGAAAACCGCTGGCAAATAGTACCAGTATCGATGAGTCAGAGCCCGCTTAGAGCCGGAACGGTCTGTTGATGCATACACTAACATGCAGAATGGAAATGGAGTCCCCTAAATTACCGGTGAAGTGTCCTGATCCTTCTCCGAATCCAATAGCTAAAGAAACTCACCTAGAGACCGTTCAAATCCATGGTACTTGCTTGCACTGCAGGGTAATAATGGAATTTGTTCCACGAAAAAGTTACGGCATCGTCTTCTAACGATTACACAAACTGAAAACAAGGTAGATTTTCAGCTCCAGCAACATCTATTTTCTTTTCACCAAAGTGCATACATGTTGCAACGAAAACCCAGGTTCTAAGCCCAGTCATTGCCAAACAGATGAATCGCCGTTCACTTGATGTTCTCTTCTAGTCGGGACTCTGCGACGCCATACAGCGTGCTTCAGCACTGGTATGTCTGAACGCACCTTCCGTGGTAGGTGCTCATCCGCAGCAGGCACTCTGTGGCGCTCGCTTTCCAAAAACCCCATATCAAAACCAGTACCAATACTTAATGTTGACTGCAGCATAGAGCACGTCCTCGGAAAACGTCACCAACGTATGGTCAGGAAATGCCGCGACTTTCCACAGATTTGACTCAAAGATGCGTTCCAGCTTGCCTGGTCCTTGAACACCGAAACGAGGCATGTTGCCCGGTATTATATATCGCATATATCGCGTCGGCCACCGGGTCCGGCCGGATCGCGATCAGCTGGTGCGCCGGCGCTCGGGCGTTTTTACGGCCGCCGTCTGTGTCGGTTCTTTTGCGAGGGCAGCGACCCCGTCTCCGCCAGCAATTTCGGTCACGTGGTGGCGCCGCACCGCGCGGCAAAAAGCCAGAACCAAACTCAGCGGCGGGGTTTTTGCTACGCCAGTATCTGGCACAAGTCTGCATTGATCAGCTTTGTGACGTGTGCTGGCGTTTCTTACGACGTTATTGGAAGAAACGCGGTGTGGCAGGAGTAAGTAAGCCCGGCCGCTAATGAGCTGGGATAATATGCCCCTGCTCGCCTGACAGCGTGGCTGGTATCATGCACAGCGTTGACACAAAGCTGATGGAACAGACGTCACCGTCCAGGAAAATGGCGGTGAGGGCCCAAGCCGGTCTTGAGCGTCTAAAAGCTACTAAAAATGGCGGGAATGCATGTCACAGAAACCGGGGGAGTCTGAACGTCACCAAGGACGCAAGATCAGAACCAATGTTGGACCCACATCTTCAATGAATCACCGCAAACTCTCGAGGAAAGTGGGTCCGCCGATCCTAAGGGGATGAACCCTAGATCCATCCGGCCTTACGTTTGCACAAACACTGAATTATTTTCACTCATTGCAAACGACACCAATGCAGACAATTCAAACGGCTTGGGTGCCAAGAAAATGAATGCAAGGCATGAAGTCACTATAGCCTTATACGACGTTCTGCGGCATTCGATGCCCCGATGGACACCGGCCGTCTTATCTGAGCCGCTGCGAGCTACCAAGAGCGACACTCCCCTGACCTGGGCTGCGCCTCGGCTGGAAGGCCAGGCGCAGCCCAGGTCAAGCCCAGGGGCGCAGCAGGGCCGCGCCCCTGGGCTTGGTGGGGACTGCACCGGCGGCGGAGGCGAACGCTGGCGCTGCCGTTCGACGGCTTGCGCGTCTGTGTCGCGCGCTGAGCAGTCGTGCTAAGTGGCGCGATCTTCGAGGAGAGCGATGGGTAGACCTGATCCGCCAGTCCCGTGAAGGCAAGCCGTGTCCTTACCCCCCCCCCCCCCCCCCCTCTGGCGGTGACGGAAGGTTCCGTATCCTTTGGCAGTTTAGGGTGTCTGCAGGACACCTAAAGCGTCAAAACGGCCCGCGAGTCGGCCCCTGCCCCTGCCCCTGCCCCGGCCCCTGAGTCGTCGCGGTAGGACTGCGAGCACAGTACGTTTTCCGAATGCACAACAGGGCCCGGGTTGACGATCGTAGGGCCCATTGTCTGGAAGCACACCCCTCGACCTGGTCAGATCCGCTACTGGATGAAATCCCGTCTACACCCGTGTAAAGCGTTTACAGCCCAGAAATCCATCCATCCAAAACGTTCGGATCAAACCTTTAAAATAAAACTGAAAAGCGATGTCTTTTCATGTCATAGTCTTACGTCGCGGCCTAAATAGCGCAATGGCAATGCCGTTTAGGAACAGGCTCCGCCACAGACAGGAAAACGGAGCGGACAAGTTCACAACTTTACTGATTAGAACATTGCGTCCGTGACGTTGCATGACAAGGAACACATAAAAACCTTGCCATCCAACTAGGAAAGGTGGCAACGAGGACAAAGGGCAGGGCAGGCTCCCTAACGAACCGAGAACAACCGGCATTGGCCTCACAGTGATATATTAAAGAACAGGGCTTGAAATAGAATGGCATCCCATCTCATCAGAGGAACTATCGCCACAACACCTTCGCCCAGCATTTGATGCGCGGCGGAGCTTGTGTTTTCGCGCCAGCGGCACTGGCGCAGATTTTCCGAACACCGGCGAGGTTTGCACGCTTGCAGATGAACTTGGAGGTGCCTTTACCCCTCATGACTAGAGAAATATGGGAGCATTACCCACAGACACCAAAAACAGTAAAGCGAAACGAGCCCCACGGTCAAGTTTCACTTTCTTGAATCAGCATCAGCGACTAGCGCATCACACATGAGACACGAAAATTCACAACACAACACCCCCTCCCTCCCTCCCTCCGTAAGGAAATGTGTCTGTGCGTCCAACCTCACTGCCTGACTGTCCGCTGCACGGTTCGGGACCACCCGCTACTGGGCCTCATCCGCCCCACGCGCCACAACTCAGAGCAATGCCTTTCCGTCCCCTCTGTCTACCCAGCGTCGGCACGTGTGCGACCCGTATGCCCCATGCCCCGAGCGCGCTGACGGAGTCGGGAGCAGTACCGGCCGTTTGTCGTCCGTCCCATATAGCGCGCGCGCGCGCGGCGAGGCGGGAGTACTCGCGTCACGCGTGCCGATTGTGGACCGTTCACCCGGCGGCCGAAAGTTGGCCGCGCGCCACCAGGAGCCGCCTCCGCCGACCCTGGCCGCGAAGTGGGTCACGCCCGCGCAGAGGCTAGAGTTCGTTGCACTGTGACGTCATGCCGTCGGATCGGGAGCGGCCTTTCACGAGCGCGCGCCGCGCGGCCTTGCAGCAGAAGGTCTCCGCCATGGAAGTGGGTCAGGCGTGCCCGCGCAGAGGCTAGGACGTTGGCCCGGTACCGTATCACCTTCGACGAAACAGGCCAGCGCGGCGGAGGCGGAGGCGGCGCCGCGGTCGCCAACGAAATGGAAAACGGCACGGCTGTGTGGGTGACCGAGTTAACGGGATGTGGTGTGCAAAGACGCCTTGTGGCCTCTGAAAGTGACTGAAAGGAGTGTTCCACAAGTGTGTGAGTGCCGTACGCTTGTCACGACCTTTGTGTGGGAGCGGGATCAGCTGAGTCAACTGAGGCTCCTGAGGCATCAACCGAGCCAACTGAGGAGTCAGCTGAGCCAAATGAAGCGTAAAATGAGGTGTGAACTCCAAGGGCATTGAGTTCCAGTTAAGTTGTGCCGGGGACCAGCAGGCACAGCGATTGATATTCACTAGGGGTGTGGCTCTCAAGACAAGATGCGGGGGGGGGGGGGGGTGAGCTGACCAAAATGGCCAAACCTGCACAAAGAATATGCAAGCGTGCCATTCCCCCGGATTGACCCACTTTCTTAACAAATTTGCAGAGGAGGGGGGGGGGGGGCTCAAGCTCCGAACTGAACAGGAAACTGCGCCCTTGCGTTCCACATTAGCCCTCGCTCGGGGCAGCCTGCGTCCATCAATTGGCCATCGAGTGACAGGACAGGCTTGCTGCCGCCGCGGCGGTTTCTATCGGGCTCGGTGACTGGCGCGTACCGCGGGTGGGGGGCAGTTTCTAATGGACGCGCATCGCGGGAGGCAGAACCGTAGCGCTGCGGCGCGTGGCGCAAGTACAATAACAGGCCGCCGCTGTCACAGGTGAGCTGAATTTTGGGGCGCCAGAGATGGAGTGAAAGTGCTCGTCGACTACGGTTTCTAGTCTGATCTGGGTCCCATGGCGGTACGACACGCGAGTGTTTCACTTCGGGGCGCTCCCTGACGGAAGAAACTATGGTCGTAGTGAATGGTGCGCTGGCACGGCGCGGTTATCACGGCGAGAGTGTGGTCGGCGAAACCAATGCGGTGGGCATCATCCCACTCAAATCAAGTTGACGAAAAGATGAAGCTTTCGTGAACCAGTGCTGTTGCACAATGTGCATAACAGAGCCCAAGCAGCAGAATTAGCCACTGGCATGCGTAGTTGGTCCCAAATGCGCTCGGTGGTAATGTCTCTCGTATTGCAATTTTTAGCCAGCCAGGAATTCATTCTGAGTGCACCTCACTTCTTGATCGCGCCAGCCCATCCTATCCAGATTTACGCTGGCAAACTGAGCTCTCAAACGTGCATCCTCAATACACCCAGAACACCGGTGCGGCACGGTTCTCGAAAGCCCCGGGAAAAACGGCACAGAGCCACGAGGCGACCCGCAACGAGCACTCCCTTTTTACAAACGGAATGTATGAAACAGACACAGGAGCCGGACCTCGGCACTTTTGCTTGCTTGATCGGGGACCTCGGCTGGGCGCAGGCAACGCCGCAAGAGGCCGAAATCGTGCTGACTCTCACGGTTTTTACTAAAGCCACAGGCGGTTCATGAAACTTTAATCCAATTTGGACGCGCGGCTCCATTTTTAGGCCCACATCCATAGGTTACGGCAGGACGTGAGTGACAAGCGCTTTCAAAAGTCAGCACTGTCAACGCACCGAAGCAGATCGGTGTCATCTGACCACATCAGGGTGTGCCAGGAAAAGGCGTGCACACGCTGGAAAGGTGACAATGAGGACATGGTCCCGTTAACACCCGGCTCCACCTGAGGAACGAACAATCGGGCGAGACGTGGAGGGTTACACGGACAGTTAGGCGTGCAGGCTTGAGCGTGCGGGACTCTTGAAGGCTGCAAATACTGCAAATGGCCTCAGATTAATGCTGATTGGAAACTCAAGAGTGGCAAGCAGTTCAACACCTGACTTTAAGCAGGTTTTTACAGGGGGTGACGTCGACGTGCAGGCCAGAAACGGATAATGTCAAATGTAACGTAATTTCACTGCATGTCCAGGCGACATTAGCCACTCGCTAGCTTCGACACAAAGCAGCGTGACCAAACACCCATCGAACAACTCAAGACCATGGCACTTTTAAGCGCGTCGCGAAAAAATGCGAAGCCGCGACCCACCTGTCTGCTTCCCTGGATCCGCCTCTGCACAGCGCTGGTCGTGACCCGAGGTCAGCGGCGCTGCCTGCGGGCACCGGCCGTCCCGCAGCGCCTCCCTCACGGCCGCCTGCAAGGCTGGCTCGAGCCGGGCGCGCACGAAGACGCCAGGCCCGGCCGTCACCAGGTCCACCACCGTCATCGCTCGGTTCGAGGGCTCTCCGCGGGCCCCACGGCCGCGTCACCGGGCGCCTGCCGCCGTCAGCGTCCACGGTCTGTCGTCAGCGGCCCGTCGTCAGCGTCCACGGCCAGTCCTCAGCGGTGGCACGTCGTCAGCGTCCGCGGTCTGTCGTCAGAGGCCCGCCGTATGCGTCCACAGCCTGTCGTCAGCGGCGGCACATCGTCAACGTCCGCTAGACGGCACGTCAGCGTCTGCACCGGAGGACGAGCCGGCACTGTCGCCGCGCTGCCGCGTCCGGTTCTGTGCGGCCCGGTCCGGCCCGGCGCCGCTGGAAAGCCGCCGAAATGGACCGGTGACCCAGTGAAGCCGGCCGGGTCACGCGCCCTGCCGCACTTTTACTCAGCGTCCGCCCCGCTCTCGCTTTCCCCGGCCGGCGGAGACGCGTCGCCGGGCGGCCGCCGGCGGCGAAGGTCGGGGGGCTGGCGTCCGTCCACCTGGCAGGGTGGCGACGCACGCCCGGTGCGACAGCGCGGGCCAGCGGCCAGAGGGCGGGGTGGCGCGTTCCATGGCGGGTCCCCACGGCATGGAGGTGACTGTGGAACTCAAGTGGCGGCTCAGGAGCCGCCTTCGGGCCAGCAGGGCTGCTGGCTACCTGGCAGCACAGGGCGGCGTCTTAAGTCGTTGCCTGTGACTCCATCCTGCTTCCCGCTCACATGCGCGCGCTCCGTTATCCAAAACGGCAGCTGTTCGGACCCCGACGTCCCCCAGCCACAGCCCATCGGGCCAGCTCCGCCTCCGCTACCGGCACATTTGCGCCGGAGCCCTCGAGAGGATGCCCTGGGATGTCGGGCGCACCTGGCCCAACTCGTGGCGTCATTCAAACAGGCCACACGCACTGACAACACCCGTTGGAAAACCTCACCAAGGCTGCCGGTTTGAGTCGCGGACTGTCCAGGAACTCGTCTCTGTGTCTCCCACGCCACCCTCCGACGTTGCCTAATCATTTCCAGCATTCGCCGCTCGCGGACTCCCGCCAGCCGCGCGGCCCTCAATAAACGCCCGTCCTTCAAGCGCTCGTATTGGGTCGACGGTGCCGCGAGCTAGTCTCGCGGCCGGCGCCGTGACCCGCGCTTTATCGGTCACGTCATGACGCTAGCACCGATGACGTCAGCACATCTCGGTACGATAGCACATTGCGGCCGGCGCCGGCCCGGTTGGCACGACCACCCGCCTGGCGGGCGGCGTCCTCGTCCCGCTATAGGTGGAGCCGGCAGCATACACGAAGGGCTCAAGTTCCGGCGCTCGGTCAACCAGAGAGATCAGCCGAACATTGCGATCGCTCGTAAAAAACCGCACGAACAGTTGCGGCGAGCGAAGCGAACGCCGTTTTTACTATTTTAAGTGGCGGATGGGGATGGGGTGGGCGTGTGGGATTACAACGTCCCAACTGGGTCCAGCACACCGCATCTGAGGAAAATTCAGAAACAATCCGAAAAGATTCAGTCGATCAACTGTCGTAGAAGAAGGGTATTCGGCTGGCTGAAGTGAGTTAGTAATATTAGCAATTACTGCACACAGAATACAAGGCGAGGCTGCGGCGGGACAAACTCGAGTGATAACATGAGGAATCTCGGTGCGTTACAGTGGATAATAATGCGTCAAACGAACTGGTAGCGGGTAGAACTTGTGCCATCGATTGAGGGGAGCGTCATGAAACACTACCAACTAAAGCCAGCAAGGGAATGTTCAGTTCACGGCACATAAGCTAGCTCTACATTAACTATTTTTCTGTTTTGACTGTTTGAGTCACGGGACATTTAAATGGCTGCAGTTGAGCCCAGTATGTTGCGAGCATGCCACACTTTCATGCGCGTAGAATCTGCCTGTTTTTTGGCAAAGACACAGCCTCTCCTAACTTCATCAACGCTTTACGTCAGCAGTCTAAGCAGTAACCACACGCCGTCCGTAGGTGATCGGGTTTATGGCAGCGTCCAACTGTAATAAAACCATCACTGAGACCATCACACTCAGTTTGCAGCAGACACGCCTGCAGGTGTTAGAGCGCGCCGATAGATGGCAGCAGTGGGCATGAACCACATCGAGACTTCGCCGCTAGCAGCCGCCTGGCGGACGGTTCCGTACTTCAGCAGCGGTTCGGTGACTCAGCAGCGGCGCTCAATTGTCGTCCCACCTGCGCGCCTGGTCCAGCATGTCGAGTACCAGCCGCACGTTCGTGTTGACCTTGGCCACCTCGCTGCGGAGGAAGCCAACGTCGCAGCGCAGCTCAAGCGTGGCGCGCCGCACCTCCTCCAGCTCGGCCTGCACGTCCTGCCGCTCCTGCTGCCGCTCCCCCTCCTCCCGCTCCTCCTCGGCCCCGGCCGGCTCGCAATGCCGCAGCGGCTGCCGCTCAGCCTCCAGCCGGCGGCGCGAGAGGACCAGGCTGGCGGCGGCGGCCAGCAGTCGCGGCCGCGCCTCGGCCCAGCGCGTCAGCCGCGCCACCTCCGTCTGGCCGGCCGGCAGGCGCAGCAGGCGGCGCAGTAGCGAGCGGCTTCGCCGCCGGCCAGCCAGCGCCACCTCCAGGCGCCGGCCGGGCAGCCGCGTCAGCAGACCCACGTCTGAGCGCGGCAGGAGGCGCCAAAGTCGGCCGCCATCTTCCGCATGCTGCTCGAACAGGTGCACGTACTCGAGGTGCTTGGTGTGCAGACGCACGCTGGCGCGCCGCTCGATGTGGCGCGTGTCGTTGACGGCCAGGCCGATCATGGCGTTCATCGTGATGATGAGCACGCCGAAGATGAAGAGCACGTAGGCGACGTAGCCGAAGCCGGAGCCGCGCAGCTGCGCCGGCGCGTAGTTTAGCTCGCCTATCGACATGACGAGCGTCGCGAGGTAGGTCTCGGCCGCGCTGCCGAACTCCTCCTGGCCGTGGAACAGCACCAGGAAGCAACTGGCGAACGCCAGCATGATGAGCGCGTACACCATCATGAACAGCGTCATGGTGCGCACGAGCGTCACGAGCGTCATCACGTGGATCGAGGCGAACTCGGCCAGGCCGAGCAGGTACAGCAGCTCGGTCCACGAGACGAGCAGCGTCGCCGCACTCAACTGGCGGAAGAACGGCGGGCTGCGGTAGGCCGCGGCCAGGCAGGTGACCGCCGACACGCAGCAGAACCAGACGACCAGGTTCTCGGAGGCGCGCAGGTAGGCGAGCGGCCGCATGACGAAGAGACGCCGCAGTTCGCGCAGCAACAGGCTCAGCACCGTCAGACTGGTGAGCACCAGCATGGCCGTCTCCAGCGGCTGGTTCTCCTGGGAGCGAGCGAGAGGCGGCGTCGGCGCCGCCACGCCGTCACTGGCGAGGCGGCTGGCGGCCACGAAGCCCGGGCTCTGAAGCACCACCACAACGAACACGTTGAAGCAGGCGACAAACATCGCGAACATGGTCGTGTACAATACGTAATACGGCCACACGATGTTCCACTTGAGGTTGAGGAAGGTCTGGCAGAGCGGGTGCAAGAACAGCCGCTTGCGCACGCGGTGGTCGCCGACGCTGTCCAGCAGATGCGTCTCCGCGAAGCCCTTCTCGTCCCAAGACGGCAGATGGAGCAGGCGCGGGTCGAACACGCTGTAGTCGAACACGACGCGCCGGTCCGCCGGTCCGCCGGGCTCCGACAGCCCCAGGTAGTGATCAAACACGGCCTCCAGGCACTCGGGGCAGCGCCGCGCAATGTCCGCCAGCGGCGTGCGACCGGCCCTGTCGCGCGCCTCCACGCTCGCGCCCGCCTCGAGCAGCAGGCGCACGCGCGACGCGCAGCCGGCGGCGGCGGCACGGTGCAGCGGCGAGCGGCCGGCGTGGTCGCGCGCCTCCAGCTGCGCGCCGGGCGCCGCCAGCAGCGCGCGCAGCACCAGATCGCTGGCGCAGTGGCCGGCGGCCGTATGCAACGCCGTGCAGCCGGCCGTGTCGGCGGCGTTCACGTCGGCGCCGTGCTCGAGCAGCATGCGCACGAGCGGCTCCGAGCCGTCGCGCACGGCCTGCTGCAGCACGTGCTCCTCACCGAGCAGCGGCAGCGGCCGCGGCGCCGTCAACGCGCGCGCCGGCCGCAGCTGCGCCTCCTCCTCGTCGTCGAGCGCGACCGGCGCCAGCGCCGCCACGCGGCGGTTAGGGTCGGCGCCGCGGCGCAGCAGCTTCAGCGTCAGCAGGCTGCGTCGGCTGCGCACGGCGCTCGCCAGCTCGTCATAGCTGACATCCAGCGTGCTATTGGGACGGCGCGCGTCGGAGCTGGCGCGGCAGAGCGCGGCATGCGGCGCCGGCGGCTCACCGGCCATGACGGGTGCCCGCCGCGGCTGACCCCGGGACGGGGATCAAGGCCGGGATCGACGCTGGGACCCGGCCGCCGTGTCCACTCCGCACACCCACGCACGATGCCGCTGCACGAGCACGGGTCAAGACGCGCCGCTGGAACGCCGCCGGGCGAACGTTTTCGCTAACGCACTGATGCCCCGCACGAGCTCTCGAGCCGCGGGACCGTAAGCGCGGACGGCCGTGACGTCTCGGCCTGATAAGATACGGGGTCTTGGGACAGGGGTCCACACAGGATATCAAGCTTAACGCTGGTTTGCCATTCCCAACCGAGTTCAGATCAAGCCCCTCGTCCACGCATGGTGTTGAGTGATCCTTTTGTAAAATTTATGTTTTACATTGGGATTGAAAGCACCATTTTCATATCTCAGCACGTGCTGGGACAAAACAGGAGCTGAAAAATCGGCTGATGTTGGTGAAGCTGGAGCCGAATTTTTCACCGACGAACAGACGGCAGACAACAGGCAGACGTTCTCGTGCTTCAACGACGCTCACTCCCACAGTTTGTGTTCCGCAATGCCCAAACACATACGCAACGTTCAATGAGCCCGCACTGCTGAAAGAAAGTACCGAAGGCACTCAGCACTGGGGCTTTCTGCGGTATGGGTACTTCCCTCGCGAAGGTCCGGCCCCGCATCGAAGCTCAAGTGCGATTCAAACCCCTTATCTACGTCTTCTCCGTATACCGCTAATCTCCGAACAGCATATGCAGCTTATCAGGCCGCGTTAGCGTCAAGGTTTAACGGGCGGCCGCGAACAACTACTACCTTCCCGCCAACCGGGTACAAGCCATTGTCTTACGGCAGCCATTCGCGAGCTCTCGTCGACCCCTCAGCCCCCCGATGCACCGGTCGAATGCCCGTGTACAAACCAAGCGATTGCAGGTACGAGGCTCTAAGCCATCAGCAACTCGGACCTAATACGTAAGACAATGTCAAGCATCAATAGGTCTCTCTCATGACCAGCTAACACATCATGACCGGAAACGTCGCCGGCCACAGCGCTGCGGAAGCGTCCAGTACCTTTGGTGCTGGACGTTTATGAATAACGAATAAAAAATATGAATAAGTGATGAATGAGGAACGGAACGGTCAAGCCCCTGGGTACTTTCGTGAAACGCGAGCTGTCAGGCCAGGCCAGGGGAAAATAAAAACGAGTCCGGTTGCAGAAGCAAGCGGACAGCTTCCTCCACAAAACGCGAAACATTACTTCCCTATTTACACGTCTCACTGCTTGTGCTTCTCTTTTATCAGAATTAGCTCAAGGGCCATTTCTTTCGTGATTATCAAGGCAAAAGCGCGCGTAAGGACGTCAAGTTTCTTTAAACGTCACATAATCCAGATACTAAGTGATAGAGAAATGCAAACGGGTTGGTAAACGGTGAATCTAACTGATCAGTAACGAACAGCCGGTGGATGTGGGCACAGGCCCATGAGCGGCGGAGCCATCGAGTTAAGGAAATGCTACCAGCGGAGGCCTCTAGCCCGAATGATTACACCGCCTTCACCCCGACTCACACCGTACACAAGACCGCAGCTTCCGAGCGATCCCGTTCGGAGTTTACCGCAAAAAACGAGGGATCGGAGAAAACACTGTATTGTACAAAAACAACGCGGAGCAGCGGTCCCACATCGCCAGGCGCCATCCAGACGGCCACAGCGACGAAGCCGAGCGCACGCGGCGGAGCGGCACTGCGCAGCCAGTGCAGCCCGACAGTAACGTCTAGTGGCAGGGCGGAGGCGCCCGATGACAACGCCCGGTGCAGTCAGCTGATAGCACCGAAACACCGGCGGGTCACTAGGCGTGGCCAGTGGTAGAATCGCCCGATGTTCTTGGCAGCGTCCACAAGCTGCGTGAACTCTTACACCTCGGTCATCAAGAACCGCATGGTACTTAACGACAGGTGAGATGCAGCAGGGCGGTACTCGGATTACGCTCATCAAACACGGCAGGATAATTCCAGTTTCTCCTCCGCCCCACCCACGGCTAACAGAGACAGCGCAGGGCCCGCCGACTCGGCCTACAAGCGGAAGCCAGCGAGCGCGGAGGGGCAGCGGCTAGCTCCGCCGAGCAGCTCCCCTCCCCACTCTGGGAATGTTCCGCTCTGTCTTGCCGTTCCGCCCGAGATCGGCGGATCCGGATCCGCGGTGGGTTCCGGCTCCCAATCAGTGATGGATCCGGATGGTGGAGCGGCCAGCCATGACGATGACGCCCTCGTCCTGCAAGTCCTTCACGGCGTCCTCGAACATCTCGCGCGTGATCATCTGTGACGACGGGGGCGGCGTCACGTCAGCGTCACGCACCGCAGACCGACCGCACGGCTGACGGCAGCAGGGGGCGCTCAGGGCGCACGGGGCCACGTGGAGCTCAGCTGGATGGACAGGCGGATTGTAGGGCCATGGGACGACGGCGCCTCAGTAGGCCACGTGCGTGGTGCGAGCAAGACGCCGCAGCGACACGTCGGGGTTACGGTACTGGCTAATTCGCCAGATTTTAAAATAGTGGTCCACGCGGATACCGGACAGCCCAGGGTTCTTCAGACAGGCCGGTGAGAACGACGGAATCGTGGTCACATCCGGTACTGCTCACACAGCCAGCAGCGCACTGAATAATCAAAGATGTCGAAGCCCGCAATACGTGACGGAAAAACTGACGACACGCGTCTGACATTCTCACCTGATCCTCCACAAACCGAAGACTCGCCCGCGCGTCCTTAGCGAACGCGGCGACCACGCCCCGGCCCTCCCCCCCCCCCCCCCCCGACCCGTTCCCAGCCACGCTCGTCCCGCCGCCCCACTCACGATGTCCGACTGCTCGCGCAGCTCCTGGTACAGCTTGCTGTAGGCGACGGTGGACGCCGAGCCACGCTCCTTGACCACCTTCTTGAGCGCGGCGGCCACCTCCTGGCGCCGCCGCCTGCCAGCCGCCGACAGCCCAGTGGTCAGGATCGAGATGTCGATGCGGCCCGAGGTGGGATCGGTGGCCGCCTGCTTGAGCGCCTCGCGGTGCAGCCGCCACGCCTCTTCCACGTCGCGCAGCTCGACGACGGGCGAGAGGCGCATCTTGGCGTGCGCCTCGGCCAGCCGGATGAGGCTCTCGAGCTGGCGCGGGTAGGCCGTGATCTGGCCGCGGCCGCTGCCCACCTGGCGGCCGGTCAGGTCATCTCTTCAGGTCAGGCCGCGGTCAAAGGTCACGTCAATACGCGGCGAAGAGCCGTTCGTCGGCTCGACGCGCCGGTGAGAGTTAAGTCCGCTCCAGTATGGTCGGCTCACGTCGTTACTGGACCAGACGGGGCGAGGATATACGACAGTCAGGTGAGGTCAAGGCCATGAGGGTACAGCAGCGGGTCGGACGGGTCGGTCACATGATCAAGTGGGCTGATTTGACGCCTGGACACTTAAGTTTCCACGCATTGTGGCAGTTCCACAAGTCACGCACTGCGATTTAAGATAGTGGTTCGGCATACTTTGAGCGCAACTGTGAGTCTTACCCAGCCATCACTACCGTACGTGCAGAGCAGCGGAACTCTCAAGCGAACATATTAAAGCTAAGTCCAGGCAAAGACAAGCCATCAAATACCATATTTACACAAACCCCGCAGTCCACACCCACCGGCAAATTTAAGTAAAGGGCAACGAATTTTCACGTCATCCAAGATTCCGATTCCATCACCGGCGCAGCCCCAGGAGGAACAGGCGGGTCGCAGCGCCAGGAGGGTGAGCTCACCTTCCGCATGTCCACGTAGGCCGATATCAGACGCTGGGAGGCCGCGTCCGACAGCGTCGGGTGGAAGTTGGCCTTCGCATAGGCGATGTAGTCTCTCAGCAGGCCCATGTCCTGACGAGAAGCGACGGTTCGTTCGGTGAGCGTACGGTGCGGCGATTGTCCAGCCGAGCCGGCGGCGCCAACATCGCAAACCCTCCGCAACAAATTTGATTCACAGGTACGACTCTACGTAAAGGTCTGAGAATAAGAGGCATAATCCCCCCCCCCCCTTGGGCGACACGGGCCTTCGTTAGGCCCCTTCAAACCACAGCCTCCTCCCCAAACGTTGCGCACTTGTAGCATCGTAACCATAATTGGCACGCCGCAGAGGCACCCGCCCGCACTCCCAACGTTTCAGGGATAGGCGCACCGCCGCGGTCCCTCCGCGTCTCGCGCCCAGAGCAGCGCAGGCTGGCAGGCTGTTACCATGTGCTCGTCCTCTGGAGTCTCGGCGTCGGTGTAATACAGTGACACCAGGTGGCGGGCCAGGCGGCGGTCGAACGCCTCGTCTTGCGGGTCGAGCATCAGGAATATCAGGTCGAACCTGGGCACAGCAGGAGGCTGCCGGTCTGCACAAACACCAACTGAGGTCCGCGATAACGCGCCGCCGGGAACGCGCCATTTCAGACGCCATAGCCCGAAAGCACGAGACAAAAAAGGAAAACGGAAAACGAATAACCGCGCATCGCGACCTAACGTCAGTAAAGATGTTCATCCAGATGAAACAGATGGACGGATTTCCAGATTACGGAAGTCATGGAAGCGCTTCAAATGTGCCTGCGAAGCAGCGGCCACTCCCACCACGCCAGCCGTACCCCAGTTCCCGTACACTTGACCGACAATGCCGACTCCACCCCCTCCTCCACCTCTCCTCTCTCCTACTCTCGCGAGGTGCCGCGTCCGGAGTGGACGCGTGATCATCCGGAGAGGAGCATGTCCTCGTCCGGAGAAGTGTGTCCTCACCTGGAGAGGTGCATGCTCTCACCTGAAGAGGAGCATGGTCTCACCTGGAAGGAGCATGCCGTCACCTGGAGAGGAGCGTGTCCCCACCTGGAGAGGAGTGTGACCCTCACCTGCAGAGGAGCATTCCCTCACCTGGAGAGGAGCGTGTGCGGCAGCTCGATGTTCTCGATGATGGTCTTGTTCTTGTTCCACTGCGACTCGCAGGGGTTGGCGGCGGCCAGCAGCGAGGTGCGCGCATTCAGCTGGCAGATAATGCCGGCCTTGGCGATACTCAGCGTCTGCTGCTCCATCACCTCGTGCAGCACGCTGCGCGTGGCCTCGTTCATTTTATCGAACTCGTCGATGCAGCAGATGCCGTTGTCGGCCAGTACAAGGGCACCCCTGACGGCGGAAGGGCAAACTAGGGATGCACTTCTGACACTACAGATGCCATTGTCAGTGAGCACAATGCAACCATGGCGACGTAGCAACGAAATGCTGACAAATACTACCAAAGACGACTCCGGCAGGTCCAATTACCACTAGAACAGCGAGATATCTGAGCTGGGTTATTGACCATTCTAAGAGACTAGACTGGCGCTAAAGAACACATTTTGTTCTCGGTAGGACTCTCAAGCCACACACAGAGACCTATCACACCACCGGGGACCTGCATCCCCACCCGGCGCAGTCGCCGAGGACTCACGTCTGGAGCGTCAGCTGCTTGGTCTCCGGGTCCTTGGTGACGTAGGCAGTTAGGCCGACAGCCGACGAGCCCTTGCCGGACGTGTACTGGCTGCGCGGCACGAGGTTGAAGACGTACTGCAGCAGCTGCGACTTGGACGTGCCGGGGTCGCCGCACAGCAAGATGTTGATGTCGGCCCTGGGGGAATGGACGCGGTGCTTGAGGACATCGCTCGGCGAGGTAGTTGAACCGACCATACAAGAAGAAAAAGGAAGGAAATGGAAACCAAAATAGAAGACAAGGAAGATCACAACAATTGCCTTTTGTTTCGCATGGCGGTTCACCTGAGGATGTTCAGGCCTTACAGGTCATCTCCAGCTATTGTCCCCATTCCAATGGCACCGTGTGATGCAATGGCAGCGAGCATGGCGCCGATGGGCGCGCCCATGCTGCCGGGCGGCGGCCGACTGACCTGAACTTGCCGCGGCCCGAGTCGCTGAAGTCCTTCGAAGTGCCGCTGAAGAGCTGCAGCAGGATGCCCTTCTTGATGTCCTCGTTCTCGTAGATGGAGGGCGCGATGGCACGTGCCAGCCGCTCGTAGATGTCCTCCTTCTGGGAGAGCATCTTGAGCACTTCCACCCGCTCCGGCGGGATGTGCATGGTCATGCTGGTGACGAGGGAGAAGAGGTCAGCGACGAGTGGCCATGCCGTTTGCTGGGTGAATCGTCGCACATTTCGACAACGGGCTACGCAGACGCCTACGCACACTTGGGCGAACAGCAGGTGCGACCAAGTGAGCTGCGACCAGTGCTGGCGTCAAAGACTAGGCTGGTTGCAAAGACCAGTAGCTTTTAAGACCAGTATGGACAGTGTCCGCGGGCCAACTCCCTAAACTAATCCTTGGCGACATACTCGCTGCGCGGACACAGGAAGCGACGGCTGGGGCAGCGCGAAGTGGCAGCCCCTTCCCCTCTCCAACGCTCACCCGTCGCTATCACTGGAGCGAAGGCGCTTCGTGTCCAGCCGGCGGAAGTGGATGACGTCGATGTGCGTCTTGTACACCGACTTCACGTTGCGCATGCGCGGGTTCACACGCAGAGGAGCGGCGCGGTAGATGCCTGCGGACGGGGGATGATCATCAGGCTCGGACGATACACCGCTGGTCGGAAAGGGTATGAGCAGACAGTGAAGGTCTGCCCCCCCCCCCCCCTCCATTCACCCGGTGTAGCTTCCCATAGCCCCATTGACCGTGGCCCTCATCAGCATCCCCCCCCCCCCCCTCCTCAGTATCATACTGACCAACGTGACCAGCCCCGACCAGAACTCTAAAAAAATGACCTGAATGTCGAAGGTGACCCGGTGCACCACCCTTCCACACTCCTCATGGCCAGCCAGCACTGACCAGTGATGGTGACCTGGTCCACCAGCCCTCCCAGCTCCCCATGATCAGACAGCACTGACAAGTGATGGTGACCCGGTTCACCACCCCTCCCTGCTCCCCACGACTAGCCAGCACTGACCAGTGACGGTGACGCGGTCGCCGGCCTGCACCGTGTCGACCAGGTCGTTGTGCGCGTACGCCAGCACCGTGTGCGGCGTCTGGCCCGGCGGCATGTCGTCCGGCGACTCCTGCAGCGTCACCATCTGCTTGTCCGAGAACTGCGACCGGTTGTGGATGAGCGTGTACGAGTGCTTGGTGTTGCAGTGCGTGCAGAGCACGGGCTCCGCGATGCGGCCGCGATCTGTCGGCAGGGGGCGCTGGTCACCGGACGGCGACGGCGGCCTGAGGCCCACGCCACGGCGGACAGGCGGGGCAGACGCCATCAGCGGACCCGAGGAGGGTCGCTGAATACGTGGGCCCCCCGCCAGTCGTGTGGAAGCTCCATCGCACAGTCACGGCTCGGCGGGCGAGCCGTGCTCCCGAAGAAGCGCGACGTTGTCGGCGACCTGCCACGTGACGGTTCTCTCTCAGTGCCGGCACCAGGCAATCGCGTGGGAAATGCGGGCTGACAGCATTGACGCGTTGACGAGGACATATCGTGACTGTGCTGACATGTGTCGTCAACTCGACTTTGAGGCGTTACCATCCACAAAGCATCGCAGAATAGCCCACACACGAACGCCGAAATGAGCCATAAGCTACACAAAACACACGACACCCTTCCGGAATGCCTCCCGGGGCGCTCATGCCGACGCGGCCATACCAATCTCAACGGCCGTGGTGCTGGAGCAGACGGTGCACCGGAAGAAGGCCTCGCGCATCTCCGGGATGATGTTGGAGGTGCGGGTCACCATGCCGCTGATGGTGATCAGCTGATCGATGTCTGCCGGCGGCGCGCGCACGTCAGCTTAACGGCAATGTGCGCTCTCAAGCTTGGAAGGGATTCTCTTCCCCTCTGTGTGAAACTTGAAACAATCAATCAGAAACGTTCCTTTAGAAGTCACCTGAACACCTTAAATAATTATGTACAAACCAAAATGCAGCGAGGATAAGCTGCACAGCAACAAACTAGTCAAATGAAACAAAACCTCATTTCCTAATGGGTGAAATGACAAACATGAAGCACACAAACCGTTGAAGTCGCCATATCAATCTGAAGCCCATTTAAACAAAACGGTACAGCTATAAATAAACGTGCAGGTATACCCCGTTTGCAAATCTACCTGCTCCTATGTTGAGTGCCTTGACCGAGCTTGTGACGGAGTAAGCCTCGACCCCCCCCCCCCCCCCCCTCCCCTGAATCGAGAATCATTTCACCTTCCCTAAGCCCCGACCCGTGTCTCACGACCTACCTTCTGGGTTGAGGGCGCGCATGTTGCGCGTCTTGACGGCGTTGAACGGCCGAACCTGGATCTGGTGCTGCAGCGTCGTGTCCGGATACCGCTCAAAGAACATCTCGTTCACGGCCATGTCGAATGTCGGGATCACCTGGCGGCGCGACCTACGTGTCACGGGTCACGCGCCTCGGGGGCGCCGTGACCTTCACGGACGGCGGTCTCCACGACGGCATGCCACGTGCGAGCCACTTGCACCTCCGCGGCAGTTTCACGTAATCGGGGATTAGGAGACTTGCCGTCCACCACACATGCGCGCTCGCAGGCTTGTTCAAATACTTGGTTAAGACGGGAAGAAACGCAGGCGGCAACGCCATACAACAGCTGCGAAACGACGTGATCACACATAATAAACACATCTGTTTACGACGGCTCTTAAATCACTTCTTGCCGTTGGACAATCCACTATGTTAGAGCTGAAGACTTCCCTCAAGACCGGCGGCTGTGCTCACCTCCTGCGGGTAGCAGACCAGCTGGCGGTACAAGTCGGCGTCAAACTGCTGCACGTGCGAGGCGTTGATGTTCAGGAACGGCTCCTCCATCAGGTGGATCTGGTGGTAGACGGGTAAGCATGTGAACTTCGACACAACATAGCGTGGGTGATGCGCGCAAGGCATGCACTTACAAACCTGCTGCGCTGAGAGCTCACCACTTCCAATGTACTCATTACACAGCAGACTTACAGCTGCACTCAGGAACTTCGAAGTCATCAGAAACTAGCTTTTCGAGTGATGCAACGTGATTAAGTTTATGAAATGAATGCCTCAAAATGTGACGGCGAATGGGTCCACAACCCGAAAGTATTTGCCTGCTGATAACTACCAACTGTTTCCATCAGTTTCTACCACCAGTTCCATCCGTCCTGCCCTCTCATCAGTATTATCTGTCCACTTAATGCTATCCTCTTACGATTACATTAAATCGTATGAATAAGTTTATACCTGCCCCAATACGCGAAGCGAGTGGCCAAACTGTAAAAATCATCATCTAACGAGCCGTCATCTCAACTAATTGACTGGCACACTGCCAAATCGCCTCCCTTCTCACCTCCCGCAGCTTCTGCATGTAGAGTGGCTCCGCCTCGTCCATGTCCTCGACGCGCTCGTCCTCGGCCGCCTCCGGCTCCACAAAGAGCAACAGGAAGCGCTTGAACTTCTCCTTGCAGGTGTTGACCACCACGTCGGTACCCCAGATGACCAGCTGCGGCCCCTGCGGCGTCGGCGTTGGCGCCGGGTCGTCGGCCGGCGCCTCCGACGGCGGCCGGTCCGGCTCGGCGTCCTGGCCGACGCCAGGATCAGCGTCAGAACATGGCGGGGATGGGCGGAGCGACCCCGGGCCACGCCACGCCAGCGGGGACGGGCGGAGCGACCCCGGGCCACGCCACACCAGCGGGGACGGGCGGAGCGACCCCGGGCCACGCCACACCAGCGGGGACGGGCGGAGCGACCCCGGGCCACGCCACACCAGAGGGGACGGGCGAAGTGACCCTGGGCCACGCCACACCAGAGGGGACGGGCGAAGTGACCCCGGGCCACGCCACACCAGAGGGGACGGGCGAAGTGACCCTGGGCCACGCCACACCAGCGGGGACGGGCGAAGTGACCCCGGGCCACGCCACACCAGCGGGGACGGGCGAAGTGACCCCGGGCCACGCCACACCAGAGGGGACGGGCGAAGTGACCCCGGGCCACGCCACACCAGAGGGGACGGGCGAAGTGACCCCGGGCCACGCCACACCAGAGGGGACGGGCGAAGTGACCCTGGGCCACGCCACACCAGAGGGGACGGGCGAAGTGACCCCGGGCCACGCCACACCGGAGGGGACGGGCGGAGTGACCCTGGGCCACGCCACACCAGAGGGGACGGGCGGAGTGACCCTGGGCCACGCCACACCAGAGGGGACGGGCGAAGTGACCCCGGGCCACGCCACACCAGAGGGGACGGGCGGAGTGACCCTGGGCCACGCCACACCAGAGGGGACGGGCGGAGTGACCCTGGGCCACGCCACACCAGAGGGGACGGGCGGAGTGACCCTGGGCCACGCCACACCAGCGGGGACGGGCGGAGTGACCCTGGGCCACGCCACACCAGCGGGGGCGGGCGGAGCGACCCCGGGCCCCGCAACGCCGCACTTGGCGATGTGCGCGGAATGGGGCGATTGCGTGCAGCAAAGATAGCATGTTTTGCAAGTCTCACTGTTTGTGGTTTGAACGTGACACACCACAAAATCTAAGAACTGGTGTCATGGTACGCTCTCGGGTCACTGCCAAAGTTCTACATCACAAGACAAACAATGGGGCATGAGATTGCACATGCAACATCGTGGACCATCCTCATTCTATTCTGGACAGATCACTTCGCCATTCATTATCAGCTTTACATCATTAGGTAAATCATTACGCAACTTAACGGAGGGATTCCACGAAGCCAGATTCACTGCCCCCCCCCCCCCCCCCCCCCGCCTGCGGTACGTACCGACGCCTCGCCGAGGTTAACCTGACGCATGATGCGGTCGGTGCGCAGGTCGGAGCGGTGGCGCACGGGCGTGCCGCGCGCGCTCGAGCGCGGTGTGCGCAGCGAACCCAGCGAGCTAGGCGTGCCATAGTTGAGCGGCGAGCCGAGGTCGATCTCGCTCACCACGCTGCCGGGCCCGCCAAAGCGCAGGAGCGCGGGCGAGCCGGCGGCCGCGTCCGAGGCCACGCTCGGCGGCACCACGTCCGACGGCGCCACACTCGGCGGCGCCGGAGACTCGGCCGGCGGCGCGCGCGCCTCGGCGCGCGAGGAGCGCGTGGAGCGAGGCGAGGCGCGGCTCGGCGTGGACGCCAGCGAGCTGGCGGCGCCGCGGCGGGTCGGCGTGCGTGCGGGAGACTGGCATTGTCAGGTGGGCGTTAGTTCGGTGAGGTGGCACGAGTTAAAGGTGATCTGAAACAACACAGAATTTGGTTGTAACACAGCCAGTATTTGTAGTTATCCACATGATATGCAAGGTGTGAGACTTGGAAGGGATTTTAGCAGCCCAGACATAATTTTTAAAGTGAAAATGTTAGCATTAGGTTCTTTCACGCAAGAACAATGAATATTAAGCCATGGTACTGGGCATTAAATCAAGAAGTGAAACACAGTAATGGCATATACAAATCCCTCAAGACATTTGACACAAATATATTTATTTCATGAAATGTTGCAACCCAAAAATGGGTGCTGATGAGCATATAGGTCCAGGCCATATGGCTACATGCTCCAGGACATATCTAGATTACTTTCTTATTTAACTCAGTCATTTTTGAATGTGCATATTTCTATCAATACTATAACCATTCTGGTATTCACTACTCAACACATCCTGAGCAAGAGTAGGTATGTGTGTACAGCATAAAAAACTGCATGCTGGTATGATTCAAACATAAATACCAGTTACTAGTCAGTTTGGTTCATTACATATACAATGTAATTGTGCAGGATAGTTCACATGAGTACCTGAATAATTTAACTTATCTTGCAAGGTTTGATCATGCCCAACTGCAGAATTGTTAAGCGGGACAGGAGACAGCACAGTGAAGCAAAATTGCAATTTGTACAGAAGGGCACAGGAACAGTTTATACCATGCTCTTTTGATTCTTTTAACTAAATTCATCACAAGCCATTTCCAAGCACTCAAGGCATGTCATTTGTTTAATAACACAAAAGTGAACAATTTATCTGATCTGGCTTAAGGAGTTCGACACATCAGGCAAATACTACATGAAAATCACACGTAGGTAACAGAGGTGGAAAAGGGCACATCCATCCACTGCACCTGATGCCTATGTCCATGGACCTGAGTATGCCAAACCTGATGTACTGCATACCTATGCCAAACTCAGGGCTGGTCAAATTGCACTAAATCACCAGTTCAGTTTTTTGTCACTGAAATACCAGAAATGTTGAGTTCCCACATTGCTACTATTGGCATCATGAGCATTTCCTAGGCCTGGCTCGGGCTAGGCCAACTGCACTGAATTTTCAACTTTCCTCTTCACTTAAAAACATTTTTAACAGCATTAAATCTTGTGATGCTCTTAACACAACAAACCCTGGAATTATTGGCTCCCTCTGTACTGAAGTTGGGGATGGTTGTGCAATAAACTCATGGCCAATACATTTATGGTGTGCATAGGTTAAAATCATTGAGGAAATGTCAACACCAGGCATACCTAGAGCAGAATGTATTAGCTGCAATCTATCCGAGACCAGTTTGGAAAGCTGCAACCATTTTGCACAGGCATAACCACAATATCTCCGCTTCGACTGTTGGCTTCAATGATAGCCTGATCATAATAGAATATTGTTATCATAATACCACAGCGCCATAACAAACTTTCAGCATCGATAGCATGAGAAGTGTACCGATTAGTGACGCAAAACGAGCGCCACGGAGCCGGAACTGAACCAGGCTAAAACATGGCTGGTCTTTAGAAGTCACACCACTCACACATTATACACCTTACCCAGCCCTGCACAATTACTGCTAACTTACCAGTAATGGACTGTGAACGCCCCTCACACTAAGCGGCAACGCACCCCAAACAATGCTAGGGCAACGCGGGCCACCCCACTCCGCAGCCTCGCAAATGACAATAACCGCGGGAAAACTTGGCGCGGTTTTATCCAGAGGTTTTATTAATCATTAGTGTGTTCTTTAAATGCTATGTTTTAAAGTTCAGGTTTAAATGGGGGGCATTATTTTCATCGAAATTGCATTTTCATAATGATAAAATAACAAAAAGCAGATCCAAAATACATTTCTTGTATTTTTTATTCCTGACAAGTGAGGACAGTCAAATCCTGCGGAGGGATTTGACTGTCCAAACGCGGAGGATAAATCGTGACTGCAAATCTTTGATGCAGACTGCGACGACATGCCGTGGAATGTGCCAGAAAAGAAACAGATGTGGCGAAATATAAATTGTCTTGCTAAAACTGCGGTTTTTCCTATTCACCATAGATAAAGGTTTGCATTTCCCCGACGAATTTGGCAGGCCTGGACTGAACTTTCCTGCGACCTGACCTGAAACGTCAGGGCAATGTCAAAGGGAGGTACAAGGGTCCCGCCCCTCTCCATGAGCAAAAAGGGTTTTTAATGAGGTACTGGACGATTGTAGGAATCCGGTCCGAATCCTCAGAGGTTCGGGAGACGTTTTGACATTTTCGCGCTCAGGATGTTCAGGTACGTACACGTGCCTGGAGGTTATTAAGCGCGAATAACCCCAAAGCAGGCAGGAACAACATGGCACTCAACATTGTTCTTTAGGCAGGTGACCGATCAAACACAAATCAACAAACCAACAAAGTCCCGATACAACTGGTGAGCAAAATGTGCTAAGATCGAAAGGTCCCGATTTGGCCCACTTTTCCTCTCCGAGGAGGGGGGCCGAAAAGAAGGCTTCGCCCTGCATTGTGACAGGCACTGAGCCAAACTTACTATTGGCCCCATCTGGCATGGGAGTCATTTCCGGGGCCACCCAACCTTTGCGTAGGTCGGGCAGAAAGTACTCGTACGACACTTACGGCTAGCCAGAGCCGAAGTTGATCCTTTTTTATCCATAAGGAAAGCATTTATACAAGCTATGACGCCATCAAGATAAATAAGCTTCACAGATTAAGATGCAGCCATAAACACATACCCGCATGACCCCAGCACACGGTATCACGTCAATCACACATCGGGTGGCGCACAAATTATAACTATATAGCCTATGTAGAATACGACGTAGAGTGCATCGGAATCGACCCGGAACCGAGCCATTCGTCCTTCGGTCGGAGCTGGGACAGATTAAACCTGTGCCGTGCTGCCCGCGGTCTGAGCCAGTATAAACACCAGGCACTGTGAATCGAAACTCGGAGTCAAAGTTCATTTCGGTTCTGGAAACGGAGTCAACCAAAGGTCTGCGATGGAGGCGCAAGCCATCCTGCCCCATTCCGGTCACAATGGATTTATTTCTGACGACGGTGTTTGGCGATTCATCGAAGCAGTGCCTTCCACGAATGACGAACATAATGTTCAATGTTGGATTTAAAGACCCTGAGAACCCGTCTTCCTCTACTTACTGCATTAAAACAATGGTGACAAGCAAGCTCTTTATTGTCCATGCAAAGGTTGTACTTTTGATATGGCGCACCAAGGGACACATCAGATTAGATTCAGCACACCACTCACAACAGACACCGTTCAACAGCGGGTTTTTAGAGCGAGACGTTGCAGCAGGCGCTAACAAGCTATGCCAACAGCCTTTGCCAGCGGCGACACGAATCAAACCAGCACTCGGGAGCAAAACAGGGTGCATATCAGGCACGCCGACTCGATCTCGTTCGTAACTGGCCATCCAGACCGCACAAACTGCAATCACCATCGGCCGAGGTAACTGCAGGGTCCGAGGAAGGCTAGCCACGTGTCGGCGACCGGCGAGGTGTACCCCTTCGCTACACTACGTCCGAGTACGCTCGGCGAGCGCTGACGAGCGGTTAACGAGGACGGCGTTAATACACACAGCAACTGAGCGGAAAGGTGATCACTCATCGGTCTGAGATTCGGTATCCATGACGGCTGATACGCGTCAGTCTGTCAACAGGTCCAGTAACCTCGCTAACGCCAGGGCACGCTGGTTGGGACGCACGAGTGCACTACGTTTCAGGCTCCATCGATGTCAGATGTGAAGCGAACAAAAGGCACGCACATTTAAGTCGTCAACTGGACACACCTTTAAACATTATCAAAACATGGCGAGATGTGAAAGCAGCGAAACACCACATGCAGATCTATGTCTACTTCACACTTCACCATGCTAAGAAGTCGAAGGCCAAAAAGTGTGCCACTGGAAGCTCTCACATAAGCTTAAGCCCGTCCACTAGTAGCAGAACGACTCTTACAATGACCGAAATATGCCGCGTCCACCGCCACAAGGACGCTGCGGTGCAGAAAAGGCAGTACCAAAATAGACCCATAGAGCAATACCCTGTTGGTAGAAAGAACAGAGATACGATGCACGTCGTTCCGCATTTTCCAGCGACAGTAATTATAAACCCCGAATTAAATCGTCATATTAATGTAGCGCTGCCCTCTTCAACCTTGCAATACATAGCGAACACCACATGGCTACCTGTGTAAGGCTCTTGTAGTACTCGGGGTTCCACCGCAAATAGCTAACAGGCTTAAACCACTCACAGGCGAAAACAATCCATGCCAACCAAATCAAAACCCAGGACACCGCAACGGTTTTCCTAGACTGGCAGCGAAGTCGGTAAACCTACGCGGCCTCGTACAAGGGTTTCAGATGAAATCCGCCCATTCGGCACACGTCTAAATCTATCAACTTTGAAAGGAACCGCACACAAGCTTCCGACCGGGATCAGTCGCAACATGTCGGCCGGCTCTAAGCACGCGCTGATCTTTTAGAGATTCCATACGAATGTTTTAAAGAGCACATTCTTCCCGCCGTCTCCACGATCTTTTGAATTCAAAGCACCGGTGAGCCGACGCAATCTTGACAGGGGCGCTGATCTCTCTACTGAGTGACCGTTGCGGCTCCTGTTAAAGCGAGCAAGGACGCCCGGCCGAAGAGGCTGGCCGGCGCGAGGCCTCCCCGCCGCCGTCCCTACAGCACCGCGGACATGCCCCGCGCTGGCCGGCGCGAGGCCTCCCCGCCGCCGTCCCTACAGCACCGCGGACATGCCCCGCGCTGGCCGGCGCGAGGCCTCCCCGCCGCCGTCCCCACAGCACCGCGGACATGCCCCGCGCTGGCCGGCGCGAGGCCTCCCCGCCGCCGTCCCCACAGCACCGCGGACATGCCCCGCGCTGGCCAGCGCGAGGCCTCCCCGCCGCCGTCCCTACAGCACCGCGGACATGCCCCGCGCTGGCCGGCGCGAGGCCTCCCCGCCGCCGTCCCTACAGCACCGCGGACATGCCCCACGCTGGCCGTTGGGAGCCACGCGGGCACGTCAGCCTCGAGCTACCCAGCACAGCACGGAGCAGACCACAGCGTGCGCACCGTGGTCACAGTGGCCAAGCCACCCGCGCAGCACGGCACGGCACGGCACGGCACGGCACGGCACGGCACGGCACGGCACGGCGCGGCGCGGCGCGGCGCGGCGCGGCACGGCACGGCGCAGCCCAGCACGGCACAGCATCGCATAGCAAGGCACAATACAACTCACGAGACGTCACCACAGACAGAGGTCAGCACGTACAGAGACGAACGGAGCCACGCACCACCGGCGACCCTCACCGCCGGAGCGGAGTCGATGCCTTGGTCGAGCGACGGCGCGACCCCACCATCCAGCTGCGAGGGGGGGGGGGGGAGGGGAGGGCCGCGGGTTCGGGGGTGCCGTCATCCGACAGCCAACGCACTGACGGCAGCCAGGCGGCACGCTCCACTCAGCCATACGGCACGCTCCACCATTTCAGAGGACGAATGGAGGGGGAAATGGGGGGGGGGAGAACGAGAGGGGGGGGGGGGGAGAGAAACGGGGGGGGGAGGGGGGCCGACGCGCAGCCGACGGACCCGCCACTTCATGCCTGAGGCGTGCCGCCAACGCCCGCGCACCAGCCCATAACTTCGCACCGACCGAGCCGGACAGGGTACCCCACCGGGCTGGGGCGCGGCCGCGAGCGCAGGGCGTGCCGTGGTGTGGAGCTGATAAGTCGGCGGTGTCGGGACGGAGACCGGCTCGTAGCGGCCAGGGCAGGCGGTTGGTGCGCGCCACCAGGGTGTGGCAGTCGAAAAGAACACGTGAAAAGCAGACTGGGAACAGATGGCCGCAACCAGCAGGTAAAAGTGGTCAAGTCGCTGTCATTTAGTGGGGTGTTCACAGCACACTTCATATCAATGACAATATGGTCAGTGGTATGCTATGATATTCCGGGAAGCCTGCTCACCAAGAGACATTCTGCATTAGGCTTCGAAACTGGGAATGGGGGGTGAAAACAGGCGAGGTGGGGTAAACTGGTCATTCTTGTTACAGATGCCTAACACTTCTAGAAAGCATTAGGACAGAATACAGCGGAGCAATATTTCATAAACATCATGGTCGAGCAGCAAACAAATAACGCAGACCCGAATCCCAGCTCCCTCGCCCACGAGCACATGCCTGCGACCTCCCGGGATCCAAATGCGTCAACAGCCCACCCTCCTGGCGACGCGCTGAGGCAGAAATTCCCCAAGTTGCCGGTAGGTGGCGATGGCATCGCCGCTGTTCAGTAAGCTGGGGTCGACGCCTGCTGCGTGGTCTGCGTGGCGCTGCGTGTTGTGCCGTGCCTCCACGCGTTGTACATGATGAACGCGTCAATGCCGTACAGCACCATTGCCACGAAGCCAAAGAACTGCCGGCAGGCATACAAATGTTGGCACATGACTAGACTGTTGGCATTGGTGTTGATGGTGGTGGTTTGGTGCTGAGGGCTCGCCGGCATCGCGGCCACTTAACAGCCAACCGAAGTCCAACGCCATCCACGCGATCATTCGGCGCACGCTGACTGGCAAAAGCGAACATGCCATTGCTGACATGACAGCGCTGAGCTAGTGCTAAAACGCCATATAAACAATAGTTGTGTGTCAATTGATCGTGGAGAGAAGGGAGGGGGGGGGGGGGGGAGGGCTAAAAATCAAGGAAAACTGTGCAGCGCATTTATCTTCTGTTCCCCCAGTACCTACCCCAGCTGCGATGTAGGCGCCCCCGTTGCTGAATTTGCTGCCTAACACCACGCACGCAATGGCGGCGGCAAAGAAGAAGAAGGACCAGAGAGCAGCATACACCATCTCCTGCGGTGACCGCGGGAAGCGTTAGTTCATCAGTCAGTCACTCGGCGGCTCAAGGTCGGCGACAGTGTACCCGGACGCCAGAGGATGCCGGCAGATTTCCTGTCCACCCCCGGCCCCAGTCCAGCTACCATCGCGCCCGTCGCGAAACGAACGATGCCGGAAGGCCGTCCCAGTTCCACCAGGAGAGGATAGGACCTTGACAGCTGCACGCAGCCGGCAATCATCGCGCATGCAGCCGCTGTCATCGTCGGCGCATTCGGTTCGATGCGCTGGCGCCGCCACCCAGCGAATGTCCCCTACCACAACACAGCCTCCGACGGCCGAGCGCGACGCCCACCTCCCCTTCCGAGCGACGTTACGCATTCACCACTGACTGTGACGCTCCTGTCGGCCGCCCGCCAGACGCCGTCACGATGTGCAGCGCCACCCCCGTTCTCCCGGCAGCGGCTGGAGGCCACTCACCACGAAGTTGAGGCGCAGCGTTCCGGCCATCTTGTCGCGCAGGTGGACCACGTAAAGCACCATCATCACCAGCGCCACCACGATGCCCACCGAGGAGAGGAAGTAGAAGAAGCCAGCCTGGCTAATGTACGGGTTGGGCGCACACGAGACGCAGATGAGACCGATCAAGCAGACCAGCTGCGGCAGAGGGCACGGCACAGGCTCAGGGGATAGCAAACAGGACCGCACGGGCGGGAGGCGGCGGCGGCGGAGGCGCCAGTCACCGGACGCGCTCGTTCTCATAAGCATCGCGTGCGAATCGGACGTTAACACCCGTGCGCTACAACCGTTCGCGACATTCCCGCGGGAACAGTGAGACGCGGCCATCCGTGCGGCTAAGTCCACATAACTCCACGTGAAATCAACCGACCGGCATATGACGCAGACAAAACATTACCCAGCCTCTCAGCACGCTGCACACGTGGCCAGTAGGCCGCGAGGATCATCTCAAGCAGACAGCATAAGAGCCCGATGCTCACGGCTAAGCTTACGACACCAGGCCAGCCCCTGAGAATCCCCTCCCCACTTACCACCTCCCCGATCTTGAGGAGCACCTCCCTAGAGCGGAACATGGACTTGTCGAAGAACACCGTCCTGGTGGTGGTGGTGGTGGTGGTTGCGTACGTGTTCGGCATGCCACCCTCCATCGTTCAGCGCCTGTCGACAGCGTCGGACGACGTCACGAGCGCGGCCGCCACCGCCAGTCGAACAGGCCCATTGTCAATGTGGCGCGCAGGACGCGCCAAGGCCGAACGTGCTCGTTTAGCAACTGGCTCAAGCCTGGCAGCTGGAGCAGCATGACAGCCGGAGTTGGCAGCCATCACACTAACAACGTGACTGTTGTCTTCTTTCCCGCGCTCACTGCACTGACTTCATAAAAACAAGGTTTGGCTTACTACTTACCAGCCAATAGCAACGCACCATATGACTCGCACACTTACTTCCAATGCTGGTTAAAAGGTGAAGCAAGATGACACGTAGTAACACGTAGTAGTTTCACGTAGTAATTGCACAACACTTGACACACCATGGTGTTTCGTGAAGTTTTCATGATGACAAATCATGACGTTTTCTTAAGTATAAAGGTGTCCAGTGAGGAAGATTAAAAGTCCTTCTCCAAACACCAGCATTTCCCTGAAGTTCCAAAGGGCAAAGTGTCGCGAGCGGCCGAGCTCGGTAAAACCATGTGATTCATGACAGCATTTCCCGGGAGCGATCCCGGGCGACAGTTCGGGTCACTGACCCTGCCACCTGTACGCCATTAAACACGCAGGCACACTTGGAATCAGGTGTCGCGCCAGTGTCTCTTTCCTCGATAGCAAACGCGTGTGAGCATTGCGAGCAGTTAGGAACATATCAGTCGGTATTCTAAGCCAAAAGTATCAAAAGGCAACAACCTTTGCCATCTACAAAACTGACATATTTCAATACAGATGGAAGTAAAAATGTGCCTCGCACGCTGTTAGCAAAGCGAGATGTCATACATGGCGGCCACTTGGAATAATTCTGATCCGCTGCTTGTGTGTCTGTTTATGAGGTCTGGATGTGTGTTCAAACTTCCCAGCGTGTTGCGCCAAATCACACCTACGACTCTCTTGACGAGCAGCTCCATCCAGGGCGCCGGCTCGGCGGCAAGACTGTGATGCCAGTTTCGAATCGATCGGTGGCATGTGGCACGCACCGAGCGCCACCAGCAACACCTCTCCGCCAGAATGCGCATAATCGATGGTCAACAGTACAGGTCAGACAGAGGGTCAACCTTGGTAGAATGGTGACCACATCCAGCTGGGACAGGGCTGTTCCTCACACCTGGGGTGTGACCAAAGATCAGGCAACCGGCACAGCTGTGCCATTGTTGCCGACCTACAAGTGCTGAGACAGTGGAATTTGGCAGGTGGATAGCATAATGCATATCACTTGATGGACAGCTGTTTGAAGACCCAGGTTGCATGGGATGCTCATAGAGTCAAATCTGTTAAAGTCATGTCAAACATTTGAAGATATTGAAGCAAACACCAGATATGATGAAATAAGCAACTTATAACATTTGGTGTGATTTTGAGGTGCTCTTAACAACACAATTCATCTGTTCAGCAAACATACTCCTCAATATCTCACCCTTCAATCATATCATGTGTGTGCCATTGAGGCTTTAAGATGCACTAAGCTGCTGAGGCTATACAGCATCACCTGCCTCTCACCCTGGCAGGGAAGGGCGGGCACTGCGGGGAATCAACCTCATATGTCTGGTTTCCCAGACGCTGTAGTGGTAACACGACGTGTAAACCACTACACTATTCGCACCCAAGTTGATTATATCATCATACCTCGAATGACATGGATTGAAAGCCAATTGACAGCCATCATTAATTAAGAAATCATGCTCAAGAATCCCAGATATACAACTGAGCATGTGTTTCTCCTGGCCTTCACCACTGCATGGGCAATGGAATGACAGATTTTAATGACATTTTGAGGGTGTTATGGATGCCTGGGTGAGCTCAAAATAGTCCCCCTGAAATATTCTGCACATCTTCATATGCATGTATAGTTCAGAAACTAGAAGGGTCTAGGTCTCAGGAATGGCACAGCTATAAACTGCATGAAATGATCTAGATCGCTAAAGATTGCTATTGCTATTTCTAAAATGATTGCTATTTCAGTTCAAAATTCTACACAAATGCAGAACTCTGTTCAAAGGGAGTGTTCCACATGCATATAGGCTTTGATTTTGTTACTGTAGTTAGACATTCATTATGTGCACACAAATGATTACTGACCACTAATCAAACATCACAGGTTGTAGTACACTTTGTAAGGTCTGATTAGTTATTCACATTGCTGCCAGAGTACAAATGGTTCTCAAACATAGGAAAAAACAATAGGCATAAGCTGCAAGTAAGTATGATGCCACAATTGTCAATACAAATTATGGTAAAATATTGAACAAATTGCTTACCAACCAACCAAATTTGCAGACCTCACTTCTGGGATGTCAGGTTATTATGAAACTTGGACCCAAACCCAAAGTGGAGCTTCACAAACACTAACACACCTCCCCTGATGTTGGGTCTGGGCTGAGTGATCACAAGTTCATGAGTTGTTGGGATACACTGAGTTATCTGATGCAAAAACTATCAGTGCTCTGGTGGCCAAGCCAAGACCTAACCTCATACACTCAAGTGCACCACAAATCTGCATACAGCATGGCATCAGCATGGATAACCCACTTGTATCCCAACAGGCACTTGATTGATAATATTTTTCTTTTTATATGCCCTAATGCATTTATTAATGCACCTATAATAAACAGACATCTCTTCCATGAAGTACTACACAGAGTGTACGAAAAACGTAGAAACTTTTAATTACAAACCCGGACATCACCCGATCAATCGCGAAGCACTACGGGATCATGCGTCAAAGCGTCAGCGGCACATTTTTATTTCCCAAGCACTCGTAAGTTCCTTTCATGAAAAGAAAGAAGAATCTTCCTTTCACCTACCTTCCTGTATGGACAAACGGATCCTTTCGCCAGTTATTGGAAACAGGAATGGCAGGGCGTCAACCTACGAAAACGTGGGCGTAAGTGTGGGCGTGCCGGCGGAGTCTGCCGCCGTCAAGGTCAACATCACCGGATTTCAGCGCAGGGCTATGTTTCCCACACCATGCCTACCTTGGTATGCCACGAAAAGTTTAAAACGCAGATTTCACGGGTGTGTGCGCGCCAGTGCAGATTCTCTTCGAAAAATTTCAGCGGCCAGCAATTGCCACCTGCCTCGCCACTGACACGCCTAACCCCTCCACCTTGCGCAAGATTTAGGGTTGTGCGCCATGAATGTAAGAAGAGGGGCTGCACTCAGCTGATACCTTGTTGGACTGTTTTCTTTCCGTACTGGGACCCCAAAGAAGCCACCTGTACTATTTGCCCTGACAGTAAATTATGCAGTGTTTTTGCCATCTTCAACCCTCCCTCATCCCCCGATTACGCACTGATTATGCCGGACGACCGCTTCCCTTGGCTACGCTGTGGTAAGCGTTATGTCGTAAAAGTAATGTCTGCTCGATCTCCAAGGAAGCTGCGAATCAACTAACGGACGTACTCCTTGTAATGAGAGGATGGGAGGAGATTTCTATGGCAGTGTTGCTGTCTGTAAAGTTTTAATTACCGTTATAATTTTTAGTTTGATGAACAGTCATATCGGAGCGTAACAGTTACCTTGTACAAAGCCCCCTTCCTTCGTTGCTACGCTTCCATAACGTTCCCCTCCCTTCCTCCATGCGTAACGTAGTTTATGGACGGCCCCAAACCGATGACGAGGTACCGTGTGGCCATGGACAGTCCGGTCTCAATGACTTCATGTCAACGGTTGAAACCAACCGGTCATCAAGGACAGATCCCGCACATTGGGGGTGGGGGCTGGGAAGAATGGGAACCAAGTGTCTTAGTGCTAAAAACGCGTCGGATTTCGCTTGTCTTGCATCATCTTCCGTCTTTGTTCCATTACCTTGTCCAGTTGGTCCTCCTGGATCAGCCTTTGTTAAACATTGTAAATTTAATCCATCAACCATTCCAACCTTTACACCAGATCCGAACCCGATCTGATTCTATCTAGCGCAGCAGAACTTATTGGCGAAGGCCGCCTCAGTAAAGTGTAATAAGGCTCCGAAGACTTCACAGGCTCCCTTCTTGTAGCCCCGTGCGCAGACTAGCCCGCCGACTCAGCACAGCAGCGGTCACCCGCGCTTGCGGGAAGGACCTGATACTGCGAGATCTGTGCAGAAATACCCTGTTGGGAGGGGAGGGGGGGGGGGGGCGTGCCATCGAGTTTCCCACGCCAGTCCAATGAAAAGGCATCCTCGACTGCACGTCTTTGCCATAACTGTCATAATCACTAACCCCTTCTGGTGTCTTAAAAACAGGCCAGTCTTTCTGTCACTCGCCTGACCAGTTTTGACACAAAGTTTGACAGAACCAAGGGAGCAGTGCCAGCCAGTATCAGATTAGTGTTATCCCATTCAGAATCACATCTCGGTGAGCAGCTGGCCGGGCCGTTCGTCACTCATGCGAACATGGCTGTGGTCGTATGAGTGACGACCACAGCCATCTTTCTCTAATGCATCACTGAAGTGGATGACTCAGTAATAACATCAAACTGTACGGCAGAACACAACGCCATATGGTTCCAAGCGACATCCAATCTAGGTTTAGCCGGTGATGAATGGAAGTGCATCGTGCCATTTATTATACATCACCTGGCAATAAAATTCAATTTGGCGAGTCGTATCAAGTCGTGTATTCAGGACGCCGAAAATGAACACCTGGCAATCATGGACAAAGCACCTGGAACGGCCATTACCTCATGTCACGATCTAAGCTCTTTCTCGAAAAGTATTCAGAAATAAAACTACGAAACAAAACAACTATGCCAACGATGCAAGCGGAATATGCGTACATATCACAATAGGACCAACAGGAATGTTCGGCCGGCTCCAGCGTTTTGCTCCATAAATGTTTGAGGAATGAATGCCGGGTACAACGCGGACAGACGGACCGCTGGGCTAGGCAGTTGACGGCGTGCGCAGGCCGCGCCGCCTATCGTGCAGACGCAGAAACAGCGGCTAGACAGGCCTCCACCAGGCGGCGGCGCGGCGGAATCGGCCAGCGCCTACAGCTTGATCAGGTCCTGGACACCCTTGACGATGCAGGACGAGGAGATGCCGAACATGTCCATGAGGGCGTCGGGCGGCCCGGAGCGCGGCACCTTCTCCACGCACAGTTTCTTGACAATGACGTCCCGCTCCAGGGAGAGCGCCGAACACACCGCCTCGCCCAGACCACCTGCCAGAGCCGGAATACGCGTGTGAGGTATGGACTGCAAGGAAGATCGCTCCGTGCTGGTTCCACAGTTTCAACACAACACTAGCACCCATGTTAGCTTCAGCATGAACCGATATGACGTAAGCCGTAACCGTAAGCGTATTGCGCAAACACGCAACATCATTAGGGAGCGTGACAAAACATTACGCCGGCACGCGCCGACCACAAGGCACTGCTGCATTCCCCAGCGCTAATAAGTGCCACCTCACGCGCAACAGCTCGACGGCTTCATATGCAAATCATTCAGTCACCGGGGCAGAAGACGCCCGGCGGCTGTGGTGCTGCCGAACATCCCTGCTCATTGCATTTTCTCGCCTTGATCCTCACATGCCACTCTCGTCTCCAGCCCACAACAGGCGCCCCTCCCCCGCCTCCAGCTCCCGACAGCCACCCACCGGCCGGGTAGTGGTCCTCGACGGTCAGCACACGGCCGCCGCACTGCTTGGCGTTGTCGCGCACAGCCGCCACGTCCAGCGGCTTGACGGTGAACGGGTCCAGCACGCGCACGTGCACGCCCATGCCGGCCAGGTGCTCGGCGGCCGTCAGCGCGTTATGCAGCGTGATGCCAGCGCCGATCACCAGCACCTGCGGGGCCGGCCCACCGGCGCCGCGGTCAGTGCGGCAGACGGGACCGACAGGGTCAGCGACCGCTCACGGGGTTCGCGGCGGGGGGGGGGGGGGGGCGGCTCAGGGGTCAGGAACGGAGAGGGCAGAGCCGGTTCGAGGATCGGGGACATACGAGACAGGGGCGGCTCAGGTTTCGGGGGCAGAGGCAAGCAAGGGGAGCCCAGGAGTTAGGGGCGGTGGGGGGGGGGGGGGGGAGGGGGGAGGGGCGGCTCAGGGGCCAGGGACAGAAGGGTGGTGTCTGGCCGGTGACCATTACAATCGCGCAGATTGGGGTCACAAACTTATGTCTGAATTAAACTGTTAATTTGGGGACATTCAACCATAACATCTCAATCCGAAAACGCATGTTTTGAAATAAAACCCTCCTTCAAATGACATCTGAAACCTGTAAGGCTCCTGGGGATCAAACTCCGACCCTCATTCGCGTGCGGGGTTATGCCGTGAGGTGCGGTGTGAGTTAATGGGGATAGCACTCTTCTCGTCTTAGAGCCCGAGTCCCGGGCTTTGGCTCCGACCCGGGACTCGGGCCCGAACTCATGCAAGTGGAAATATTAAGTTTTCTTTGCAAACCAATGCCTGATCACATCATGACTCGGCGGGGGGGGGGGGGGGACACCAGCAGTTGCGTGGTATTGCATAGAGCACGCCTGACAGCTGCGGTACTGTCGTATTGCACGAAAGGCAAATAAGTTACGCAGCACGCCGCGGACACGACTGCACAGTTGGTTAGCCATTCGTGCTGGGCGGGGGGGGGGGGGGGGGGGGGGGCGGAGGGAGGACAACAGCCAAAGCAGCACGGAACAGCAACGAGGGAAACTGCTCGCACCGCTTTCATGTTAAACACACCACACAAGACGAGTCAGAGCGTTCGTCGGCTGCGATTGGAGCGCTGTGTGTTAATTTCAACCAACGTTTTCACACCGAGCGTGACCTGTGAATTCAGAACCTAACCGGACGGCAGCCTTGGCGTCCGCACACCCGGGCGGGCGCGACAGGGCCGCGGTGCTCGGAACGCGCCCGGCCGACGCTCGGGAATGCGGCAGCATAGCAATGAGCCGCGATACAGCTGGACCAGGAGCAACGATGATCTCGGACATGCTTAACTTCAGATCACTTGCGCCAAAAAAAGCTGAGCGTCATGCGATAAAACAACATGGAAGCAAATCATCGCATAAGTACCTTTAATGAAATGTTTAACCAGCCCAGAAAAACTGAGGCAGCTAACAGAACAGGCAGCCCCAGGATGTGACGCCACTTCACAGGTCCCGCCACCAGATCTGATCCGCGGAGAGACATCACCCCAGGCTCGCCATTCTTCGTCAAAAGTCCGTGCGGCTTTGTGACACACTCCGCTGCTGAGGCTATATGGCCCCGCCTGTCTCTTCCCCTGGCAGGAATGGCGGGCACCGCGTGGAATCCAACCCCGTACTTCTGGTTCCTCAGATGCGAAACTTAACCAGTACACTACCGGTCCCCTATCCCCAGGCTTCAACAGAGTTGACCTAAGCATTTCTGGTCGACAACAGAGGCCCAGCCCGGTGCCCTTCTCCGCTCCCAGCGTCCCACACGCTAAACCCCACCCGCCCCACCCGTCTCACCTGGTCGTTGTTGGTCTGCTTCACCACCATGGCCTGCCCGATCTGCATGCTCTGCCCGTTCTCGTAGAGCACGGGCGTGGCCGGCCGCGACGTGCGGATGAAGCAGATGCCCGGGCGCGTGGCGGCCAGCTCACAGGCGCGCTCACAGCTGACGGCGTCGCTCGGGTAGAACACCGTCGAGCCGGGAATGGCGCGGAACATCGCCAGATCCTCGAGCGCCATCTGGCTCGGTCCGTCCTCGCCGATGCTCACGCCGCAGTGGCTGCCCGCGCACGTGATGTTGGTCTGCGAGATGGCGCCCATACGCAGCTGGTCGAACGCGCGCGTGAAGAAGGCGGCGAACGTCGAGACGAAGGGGATGGTGCGGCCGCGGCAGCCGGCGCCGATCGCCACGCTCACCAGGTTCTGCTCCGCGATGTAGCACTCGATGTAGTTCTCCGGCCGGGCCTGCGGGCACACGGCGGGGTCAGTGACGCCTCGACCCAGCCACGCCCGCGGGGACCCGCCCCGCGCGAGTCGCTGGAGCTGGGTACACCCGACCAGCCGGCGGCGGTTAGAACGGGTGGAGATGACGGCAGAGGCCACATGACAGGAAGACATGGCAGGACCAAACTGCCCGGAGAGTAACCGCCGCACACAGCTGCTGCTCGCACCCGGCGCAGGCTCAACCTCCGAAACATCGCGGCCGCCAGCAGCGTGCCGCCTGCCAAGCGCGGCACGGCAATGGTGATATCCTCAACGGCAACCTCGTCAGCAGCGTTCGCCCGCCGCTGCGGCTGCGGCGAGGAGCCAGACCCTGTTCAACATCAGGACGGCAGCAGCGCACGACAGGACACTCCGTGCGAGGCGCCGCAGGCGACCACCGCGCCGGGCAGCCACGCGTCGCGTGGCACGCCGGCTGCGAGCCCGCGCACGGTACACAGAGAGCGGCCCCACAGTTGTTCTGCGGCGCGTTCGCGGCCCAGGACGTGATCGTGACCGATCTGTGCTCGAATCATTGGCTGGCTGCCATGGCACCCAAGCCGGAGATTGGATATCACCGGGTGACCATGCAGCTTGAGCCCGACGGCCTCTGCGCTCCAGGGTCGATATCTATCCGCATATTCGCGCAGGCGGTCTACATTCCTCTCCGCTCGTGTCTGATCGTCATAGCTGACACTGTGGCGTAACCTCCCCACCAAGTGTCAGCACTCGGCACCATAAAACAGCGACCAGTAATGACCGGCCCGGTCCATACGAACGCCAGTGGCCGTGCTTAGCACATCCCGCCCTGACCATTACGACGCCGCCGCCGTCCGGCTGTTCGCACACCACGGAGTCGTGTCTGCCCCCGACCCTCCTCCCGCTCCAGGTTCGCGGCCGAACCCCCCCCCCCCCCCCCCCCCCACACTCCAGGTCTCGTGGCCGTCGTCGCGGCCCCGCTCCAGACCCGCGGCCGGCGGCACCGCTGACGCCTACCTTCTTGATCTTCTCAGAGTGCGTGGAGTTCTTGGTGTCGCCGTCGAGGCCGATGACGCGCGGGTTGTTCTGGCACAGCTTCATCAGGGCGGTGCCGTACGCCACCCGGGTAGCCACCTTCTCACCTGGAACGGCGCGGCGCGGCTGGTGAGAGCCCCTCAAGACAGCCGACGAAGCGTTCCCACGTGGAAGTTTGTTTTAATCGAGGCTACACGAGCGCTTCTACGATTTCGGTGCCTGGTAACAAAATACATAACCGCTGACGATGTTGGAGCTGATCAACGGCAGTGTCCTCCAGTCCCCCGGTTATATCCTGACCACCCCGGACCCTTTCCAGCCCGTCATTCTGTACGCTCCGCCCCCCCCCCCCCCCCCCCACACACACGCCCTCCCACCCACTCCCTCCCGTCGCACCCACCGAGCTTGTAGCTGGGCGGCTCGTTCAGCTTGACGTTGACGATGTCCACGTCGGGCGCGTCCTCCTTGAGCGGCTTCTGCGGCACCAGCATCGTCTTGCCCTTGTTGGAGATGAGGCTCTTGAGGTGCTCCAGCGTCTTCTCGGCGACGGCGCCCAGCGGCTTGCCGTGCCAGTTGAGGTGGTCCTCCACCTCCGGCACAAAGTCCTTGCCCTTGAACGTCTTGCAGATGAGCGCCGTCGGCTTCCCGGACGTGTTGGCTGCCTCGTGGAACGCCTGAAAGTCGGAACAGGACGCGTGAGGCAATGGACAAGCGGAGCAGCAGCTTCTGGCGACCACGCGGTTCACTGAGCTCTAGCTTCCAGCGCGTCTTTGTTCGCGGCTTCATTAGCATGGGGTACGTTGTTCCCGATTTGGAGCCCTGCTTGCCGAGTTCTCCACCCGGCTTCCCAGAGGGACCCGGCGCACTGCGTTCTACACATCGATGGTATACTCCCGAGCAACATGACGCAGCTTGTGCATCACACTCTATAGAGCTGATGTTCGAGCGAACGCGTATCATTTCCGTTTCCGAGGTCCACTTCAGGAGATCACTTCCCCGTCTGGGAGCCCGCACCCCGCAACCGACGCCGGCGCCGGAAGCTACTTCCGCCTTCGCCGATAGCGTCCGGACAACGCCGGCCGCGGCACGAGAGCAAGGGAAGCGCGCAGCCACCACAGAGTTGCGCAGCTGCCGCAGCCCCTATCGCCGCAGCTGGCTCCGAGGTTTTTGGGCGGCGGAGGACTGCCGGGCGGCACTTCTGCGCGCTCCGCCGTGACAGCCAGCGGGAAAACCATAGGCGGTCACATCGCGGTACCAGCGCCTTTCCCAATGATCCGCACCGGTTAGCTGGGTACCAATCACTCAGACCGTCGTGCTACTACGACCGACGAAAGCGAAGGCATCGCTGCAACAAGTGATAACCACACGTATGCACCACACTGGAGGAAACCGGTGGCACGGGCATTAGCCCGATAGCTCCAACAACACTTTTCGGTCCGGCACATCACCCCGCCACGCTCACCTTGCACAGCTCCTCCACATTATGTCCGTCGACGACGATGGCGTTGAAGCCGAAGCTGGCGGCGCGCTTGCAGTACGCCTCCATGTCGTGCTGCAGCGGCGCCTCCTCGCTCTGGCCCAGCCGGTTCACGTCGAAGATGGCCACCAGGTTGTCGAGATGGTAGTGGCCGGCGAAGTTCATCGCCTCCCAGATGGAGCCCTCGGCGCTCTCGCCGTCGCCGATCAGGCAGAAGACGCGGTAGCCGGCGCGGTCGTAGTGCTTGCCGACATACGCCATGCCGGCGGCCACGCCCAGGCCCTGGCCCAGGCTGCCGGTGGCCACGTCGACAAAGCTGAGGCGGGGAGTCGGGTGGCCCTCCAGGTCGTTGTCAATCCGGCGCAGCTTCAGCAGCTCCTCCGCAGGAATCAGGCCCGCCTCCGACCACGCTGGCGGGTCAGGCGGGGTCACACGGGTTGCGGAGACACACCGTTACAGGTAATGGCGTGCACGTGAATGGGGGAGGGGGGGGGGGGGGAGGCGGGACGGGCACACAGCTAATGGGAAAACGGCCTCTCACGATCTTTCGCACGTGCCAGAGCTCAAATGGCTACGAGATCGCACATCCCTGGGGTCAACGGGATCACGAGGATCACGATGGTCAGAGGGGATCAGCGGCAGTATGGTCGCCGGCGGTCTCTTGCAAATCTATTAAGCACGTTCCATCAATGACATCTAATACAGCAAAACTACAGCACTACATCACACGGGTGAAAACGTCGGCAGTCTTCGCGCAATCATATGCCAACAAATCCTCGCCATCACACACGAGTCCCCATCGTCCCACATAATCCCGCGGGCCGTCACCACCTGGGCGTGCCGCCGAGCTCAGGCCGCCACCACCCCGGCGTGCCGCCGAGCTCAGGCAGTCACCACCCGGGCGCGCTGCTGAGAGCTCAGGCAGTCACCACCCGGGCGCGCTGCTGAGAGCTCGGGCAGTCACCACCCGGGCGCGCCGCCGAGCTCAGGCCGCCACCCCCCGGGCGCGCTGCTGAGAGCTCAGGCAGTCACCACCCGGGCGTGCCGCCGAGCTCAGGCAGTCACCACCCGGGCGCGTTGCTGAGGGCTCAGGCCGCCACCACCCGGGCGCGCTGCTGAGAGCTCAGGCAGTCACCACCCGGGCGCACTGCTGAGAGCTCAGGCAGTCACCACCCGGGCGCGCTGCTGAGAGCCCAGGCCACCACCACCCGGGCGCGCTGCTGAGAGCTCAGGCAGTCACCACCCGGACGCGCTGCTGAGAGCTCAGGCCGCCACCACCCGGGCGCGCTGCTGAGAGCTCAGAACGTCACCACCCGGGCGCACTGCTGAGAGCTCAAGCGTCACCACCCGGGCGCACTGCTGAGAGCTCAAGCGTCACCACCCGGGCATGCCGCCGAGCCCAGGCCACCACCATCCGGGCGCGCTGCTGAGAGCTCAGGCCGCCACCACCCGGGCATGCCGCCGAGCTCAAGCCGCCACCACCCGGGCATGCCGCCGAGCTCAGGCCGTCACCACCCGGGCGCGCTGCTGAGAGCTCAAGCCGCCACCACCCGGGCGCGCCGCCGAGAGCGCGACCACCCACCTGCGTAGAGGATGGGCGCGGCGTGGCCCTTGGAGAGGATGAAGCGGTCGGCGTGCGGACTGCGAGGCTCCGACACCTTGTACCGCATCGTGTGGAAGAACAGCACCGACATGATCTCGGCCATGGAGGCGCATGATGTCGGGTGGCTGAAACGGCGGAGGAAGTTACGGGGGTCCGGCGGCGGCGAGCGGGGCGCGGGCCGGGCGGCGCGGCGCAGCGCGATCGGACGGGCGGGGCCGGGCGTGAAGGCATGTGAGAAGAGAGACCAGGGACGTACAGTAAAACGACGCTGGGCCAAGTGAAAACGAGCTCGTCTGGGTTAAGGGCGATGTATACATCACAGGTTTAGGACGTTGGTTGGCGATTTAGACTGTGTTAAACTTCCTGGTCAACCTGCGCTAGTCCGGGTGGATCGGAACTCTTAGAGACATAGGATGCAGTTTATCATCGGCCAAAGTTAGGCCTTAAAATAGGTTCTTCCAAGGAAAGGCACGTCAGGTGAAATTCATGTGGGACCTATCTTGGTTGAAGATGGCCTGCGGTTTTCAGACATACTTACGCGTCGGCTGGTCAATATCTCACTAATTACAGATGGCATTAATAAAGGATAGCAAAACTATGCATTCGTCTCTTATTTCTTTAATTCTTACGATCCAATCACAGGTCACAAAGAAAAAAAACGAGCCCTGACATCGGACAAGGTAAAAGTGGCCGATAGTTGGCCACACCACAAACCTTTTGAAACACACGATTAGGATGACATGCCCGAAAGTTTCCCCACCCGGGCCACGCGGCTCTTCAACCAAGCATATCGACGCTCCGTGGCTCGTTACGCCTACCACAACTCGAAATAACAACGCGTTCGGCCGAGCCGCCTGTGACGGCATCACGCCGACGTCGGTGAAGCAACACGGGAGTGTTGCCCGGAGCCGTCACCGGCGCGGCGGTGGGTTCCGGCCGGGCAGCCGGCGTGTCGTCACAGCGGGCCCACGCCGCCGCCCGTGCCCGCCCCACGGGCCGGCCGGCCACAAAAACCCCGCCAGACGGCTGTCGCCATGGCGACGGCGCCGGCCGGCGGCGGCTGGAGACCGCATGGGCCGGGTCGGCGACGGCGGCGGGCGGCCGGAGGGCGGGGTCGGCCGGCCGTGGTCCGGCGGAGCGGGACGGGCGACGCGTGACTGCCTGTTGGTACCGTGAGGAACTGGGACGGAACGGAGCGGAGCGGGCCGGGGCGGAGCGGAACGGCCGGCGGACCGATTGTGGCCGCCGCCCGCCGGCCCGGCCCGAGAGCGGTGGTAATGGTCGACCGTTTTCAAGACAGGACTCAAGTGTCGAGCACATGAGGACCGACTGGCACGCGGGGAGTTCAAGAGATATTCAGTCCAGTAACTAGGACACGGGTATACGTATGGTCATGGTTTTTGGATAGCACGCACCAACCAGCTACCATGTTAAACCATGAAGTTTGCGCCGATATCGTGCTGTTACCCCCGGCTTGGGAAAAAAACAAACTACCTTCCCAATACGCTGCTGATTTCTTCACAGTTGAACATCGAAGGCCCACGAAGACCTACCAGTCGGTTCCGTTTACAGTCATTCCACGTGCATCTTTTACAACTTCACGTATTACCTGTACGGTGCGCGACTCCGATGACTTACGCACCCGTCCCGAACAATGCAATATCGTCCACTACTTCAGTCGACCTTAACCAGTAACTGCATCAAGGGGGAACGAGCAGCTAATCGTGTATGCACTGAATGCAATGCAATCTCGCAATGCATCACACATGTATCGGGAAAGTAGGCAAGGCAACTTCTCTTCACACAGAAGTCAACCCACTTCTCTCAAGGCAACCGAATGAGAGGTTACCCACAGCCCCGCAGCATTTCGAGGAGCTCGGATGACACAAACAAGGTTCGCGCGCCACTTCGCCACGCGACGGAGCGGTCCGTGACTGGGAGGCGTGGGAGTCCGTGACTGGGAGGCGTAGGGATCCGTGACTGGGAGGCGTGGACATCATCTGTGCGTGGGGCATACCACGATCACGCAGGCACGTGGATGCAAGATATCCCCTTCGGAGCCGACATCCGACCGCAGCCAGCGGCGGCGGTAGCTCTGGTCCTCGCGTGTAGTGCACACGGACTTCCCAAACGTGAAGATTAGCACATTCCGCCTGGACGATATTTCTGCATAGGTGATAGGGCGCTCGGCTCACAGGTCCGCTGAGGGACGTCAAGGTCTTAGGCGCTGATTGACCCGGTACGCTAAGCTGGCTGGGCCAGGGTATCAGCAGGGGCAACGCCAGATGCCTTGCACGCAACCTGCTCAGCGGATGCCGACGCAAGATAGCGCATTACGACTGCAATGTCTGCGCCAGACGCTCAGTGCCAACGGCCTACCTAATCCCCTGCTCCGAGCAGTCGATCCAGTGCAGCAGTCACTTGCTTCCTTAGAAACCGGCACTAGATGCCATAAAGTTCATCGTAGCGCTCTAAAAAGTGGTGACGAACACCAGCGCGAGTCAAAGGCAGATCCTCCGAGTCAGCACCAGACGCTGAGCCAGCACCGCCTGACGCCAGAGAACATCGATGCCCACCTTTGCCCCCATCCAGGCCGCCGGCGTCCGGATGACCTTCACCGCGACCTCTACCCCGCCAACCCTGCAACGGCCGGTCACTCGGCCCACACCACCCTAGCGTCGACTTGGTCGGCCCCCAGCCCCCCACGGGCGGCGAGCCACCCGGCCTTCGCGACGGCCGACGCCGCGCCGGCGTGCAGCGTCTTACCCGGCCTTCGCGACGGCCGACCCCGCGCCGGCGTGCAGCGTCTTACCCGGACTTGGAGGCGGTCGTCATATCAATGCTGTGGATGCGCAGCTTGTGCGCCATGTCCACCAGCTCCTGCTTGGTCTTCTGGTCGATGGTGGCCATCCCGGGTCTTTGGTTCGCTACCTTTGGTTCTCAGCCTAGAGCGAGCGGGGGCGCTAGAGCGGGCCGTTCCGCGCGGGTCGTCTGACCTGGCGGGGAACGCCCGAGGGCAGTCTGACCCGGAGGGTGGTGTTTAGAGCCCGGCCGTGCCTAACGGGGCGGCACGGCGGCGGCACCGTTCACCACGCCTTGGGGAGAAAGCCGCGGGGTCGGAGGGCCCAGAGGAGAGCATGGGCTGAAAAGCAGAGGGACGGGAGAGCGCCAAGAGCGAGCAGGGGAGCCGAGAGCGGGGAAGAACCAAAAAGGGGAGAACTAAGAGGGGAGAAAACCAAAAGAACGGCATAACCAAGAGAACGAAAGAATCAAGAGAAGAAGGAGAGGCGCAAGAGAGGGGAGGCGGCATGACAGGACAGTCTGAGAAAACCGAAGGGAACAGCCGAGAGGCAGCCAAGAGGGGAGAGAACAGCCTGGCCGAGGACAGCAAAGCTAACGGACAGCCGAGATTAAACGGAGGCCTTTTGAGGAGAAAGTAGAGAGCATGAGCGTCCAGAGGAGCGAGCCCGGAGGGGGAGGGGGGGGGGGACTCATGACGAGCACCGGATCCTGAGTGGGCCATCAGACGCGCGCACAGGTGGACGACCGGCACTTGGCCGCCGGACAGCTGCAGCGGAACGAGAGCCGACCGGCGCGGCGCGTGTCCGAGGGGGGAGGCGGGCTACCGGAACACGGCGATCGAGCCACGCCAAGGCAGAGCGGGGACTGATGGCTACCGACGACACCTGTCCGAGCTGCTGGACCAAATGCCACTGAGCGCTTCCAGTGACGAACGGAGCACAAGAACGCCTTAAATACAGAACGACGCCGAAGCCACGGACCGGGCGGTCACGTGCTACAGCGTGAGGAGTGATACGAGGCGGGAACGGTCCCATCCGACTGGATGACAGCACGGTCCACGATCGCATCAGAGCTGCCATCGAGCGAAGGCAGGAAACTCGCAATGAGCCTGAACCGGCCCGGTGACATGACCCCCGCTGCAGCCTGCGACGCGCCGGCGTGCTTGCACGAGATCTTGCTGTGCGCTGCAGTGATGAGCAGCCAGGAGTTGCCGACAAGTTCGACGGAGCAGCGCAGAACCGGTAAGAAGGAGCACGACCGAGGCGCCCTGACCATGTTAAAGACGCTATGCGAGGCTGACGACGGTTCACACCGCTGGCGGCAGTTTCAAAAACTCAGGGAGCGACATACATACGAACCATATCAGAATCCAACCACTGGAAAACTGACCACGGATCACGCGAAAGCATCCATGAATAGCAACAACGGGCGAGGCGATCAGGATGCGGTCCTGCAGACCATCTGGCAAACTGCTCCGGCTTTTTGACGTCGGGCTGCACAGCCAAAAAGCAGATATCACTAAGCCGCCAGCACGTGACGGCACGCGCCTCACCAGCGCCCTGCGCCGCATTATAAGGCCGACCCACGAGACTGACCTCTGCTAGCAGGCCACTACCACGGACAACTGCACCACAGAGGGTCAAACGATGTGAGGCACGCCCCAATGACAACGTCCGACCTGCCTCCCGGCAGGGCAGCAGCCCACGAGTCGCACGGGTACATCGAACAGCGCTCCTCCCAGCACGCGCCAGGTTGCGTTCCAAAGGAGCCGAAGGTCCCGATCGCCACATGTGATACCACGAGTCGACACGCCAGGCCAGGCCGGGCCGGGCGGATGCCATCGGACTGGACTTCCTGGCCGCCTGAGGGCACCGCCGCGCTGCAGACGGCTTCCGGTCACCACCGGCCGGGCCGGCTCGGTGACCGGTGCAGCCGGACGGCGACAGATGACCTGGTCAGTGTCAGGCGCACCGGGTCACAGTCAGGGGGACTAGGTCAATGACATATCGCCAGCGTCACTAACTATGACCCAGGTGGACGCGTGTCGGGCCATGCCAGCAATATAGGGACCCAAATGTAATAATCAAGCGCTGGGTCGGCGCCACGTGGAACGGCCAGCGACTTGTAAACCACAGCCCATTTGTTAATACATCGCTGTTCCGTTACAGCAATGTTCCTACTTGTCTACGTTCGTTCGTTATGACATACCGCTTTTTGCCGCACAGATTTTGCTCCTTTCTCTGTTCGATCAAGCAAACGCTTGATCCAGGTAGATTCTACACCACTGCATTCTCGTTTTCCATTGCATGCTTCAGTGATCCTT